GGAAAATGTGTTTTAATCATTCTTTCCTTCATAAAAAGCATGGTCCTCTGTAGCTCAGGTGGTAGAGCACGGCGCTTGTAACGCCAAGGTAGTGGGTTCGATCCCCGGGACCACCCATACACAAAAATGTATGCACGCATGACTGTAAGTCGCTTTGGATAAAAGCGTCTGCTAAATGGCATATTATTATTATAACAACCTGAGAAGTATACTGTAGTCATAACTGGACAGTTAATCCTGAGGGGGGTTCTGATTACCTTTTTGATTCTCAGCAGTCTCACGTCTCGTCCAGCTATCTGCTCCGAGGAGAACTGTTAACACAGCCAGCAGAGAGGGATGGTTACATCACAATACTGGATCACAGTGAATAGACATGTATAGACAGGGGTTCCAAAAGGGTTATTCGGCAGTCCCCATAGGAGAACCATTTTTGTTCCAGGTAGAACCATTTTTGGTTCCTGGTAGAACCCTTTTGGGTTCCATGTAGATTGAACCCAAAAGGGTTCTACCTCGAAACAAAAGGGTTCTACCTGGAAACAAAAGGGTTCTACCTGGAACCAAAAAGGGTTATTCAAAGAGTTATCCTATGGGGACAGCCGAAGAACCCTTTTAGGTTCTAGAAAGCACCTTTTTTTTCTAAGAGTGTATGGATAGTACAATATATACATTATATCTCCATTATATATGGCTTTAGCTATAGAAAACCGCTTTCCTGAGGTGCATTTACTTTTTCAAAGAAAGACGAGAACAAAAGAGGTTTCCAGGATGGCTATAACACGAATAGAATGGCTGTCACAGCGACTCAATGAGGATCTATGGTTACCTAGAAGGCATGGCTCACATTGAAGGGAGACTGACATTTACACACGGCTTTATAGTCAAAGTCACGATTCACAGATCTTCAAAGGCACATCTTCTGTTCAGTCTCTTCGTAAAGATCTTATTGGCATCCCACTGGGCACACACTGGTTGAATCAATGTTGTTTCCAAATCATTTCAATGAAATTACGTTGAACCAACGTGGAATAGACAATGGATTGACGTCTGTGCCCAGTGGTATATGAATGATCTACTTCTTCAAAGAGATATATTTGCGTATTGTGGGTTCTACACCTGTATACAGACCCCTTGACTTTTTCCACATTTTGTTACGTTACAGCCTTATTCTAAAATGGATTAAATAAATAAAAATCCTCAGCGATCTACTCACAATACCCCATAATGACAAAGTGAAAACAGGTTTTTAGAATTATTTGCAAAAACCCCAGAAATACCGTATTTACATAAGTATTCAGACCCTTTGCTATGAGACTCGAAATTGAGCTCAGGTGCATCCTGTTTCCATTGATCATCCTTGAGATGTTTCTACAACTTGATTGGAGTCCACCTGTGGTAAATTCAATTGATTGGACATGATCTGTCAACTGTGGGACCTGTTTATCTAAGGTCAAACAGTTGACAGTGCATGTCAGAGCAAAAACCAAGCCATGAGGTCAAAGGAATTGTCCGTAGAGCACTAAGACAGGATTGTGTCGAGGCACAGATCTGGGAAACGGTACCAAAACATTTCTACAGCATTGACGGTCACCAAGAACACAGTGGACATCATTCGTAAATGGAAGAAGTTTGGAACCACCAAGTCTCTTCCTAGAGCTGGCCGCCCGGCCAAACTGAGCAATCGGGGGAGAAGGGCTTTGGTCAGGGAGGTGACCAAGAATCCCATGGTCACTCAGAGCTCCAGAGTTCCTCTGTGGAGATTGGAGAACCTTCCAGAAGGACAACCATCTCTGCAGCACTCCACCAATCAGGCCTTTATGGTAGAGTGGCAAGACGGAAGGCACTCCTCAGTAAAAGGCACATGACAGCCCGCTTGGAGTTTGCCAAAAGGCACCTAAAGGACTCTCAGACCATGAGAAACAAGATTCTCTGGTCTGATGAAACCAAGATTGAACTCTTTGGCCTGAATGCCAAGTGTCACGTCTGGAGGAAACCTGGCACCATCCCTACGGTGAAACATGGTGGTGGCAGCATCATGCTGTGGGGATGTTTTCTTTCGGCGGTAGGGACTGGGAGACTAGTCAGGATCAAGGCAAAGATGAACGGAGCAAAGTACAGAGAGATCCTTGATGAAAACCTGCTCCAGAGCTCTCAGGACCTCAGACTGGGGCGAAGGTTCACCTTCCAACAGGACAACGATCCTAAGCACACAGCCAAGACAACGCAGGAGTGGCTTCGGGACATGTCTCTGAATGTCCTTGAGTGGCCCAGCCAGAGCCCGGACTTGAACCTGATCGAACATCTCTGAAGAGAACTGAAAATAGCTGTGCAGCAACACTCCCCATCCAACCTGACAGAGCTTGAGAGGATCTGCAGAGAGGAATGGGAGAAACTCCCCAAATACAGGTGTGCTAAGCTTGTAGCGTCATACCCAAGAAGACTCGAGGCTGTAATCGCTGCCAAAGGTGCTTCAACAAAGTACTGAGTAAAGGGTCTGAATACTTATGTAAATGTGATATTTCCGTTTTCTTTTTTTTTTACATTTGCAAAAATTTATAAAAACCAGTTTTTGCTTTGTCATTATGGGATTTAGTGTGTAGATTGATGAGGGGGGGGAAAAACAATTTAATCAATTTTAGAATAAGGCTGTAACGTAACAAAATGTGGAAAAAGTCAAGGGGTCTGAATATTTTCCGAATGCACTGTACATGACATGATCCTATACGTTTAAAAGTCTGGCAGATATAGACAGGCTAAGCTCAGGCATACAGTACCATGGAGTGGGGATCAAAGTCTTCCACATATTTCTGAAAGCTCTGAAAGACAAACAACATATGATGAGACAGTTCAACATGTCATTCCTGCATTGAGGTTCAGCACCACTAGGAAACATGGTTGAGCAATAGGCCTATAATATAACCCTATATCACTGAAATGGCAATTCTTTATTTTGTTAGGCTACAACATTGTAAAACTTCTTCATAGGTTCAACCCAAACCAGTTCAATGTAGCGTATCATTTATCATTTATCATTACGTTTCTAAATGACTTTGGCATGTAATCAGGCCCTAGCAGAGAATGAGTGTGCTGAGTGTTAAAGGGCTAGATTTCTTTTGACAACCACTTCTATGTCTTTAAATGGTACTTTAAATGGATTGATTTAATAATATGAGAAAAACCAAGGCTGTGGATCCATTTTCCATATCTTTCCATCTTTGTAAAATAAAGTGATGACAAGGTCTAGGCAACTGTAGAGATAAGAACGTCAGTATGAATATCGGTCAAATTAAACGAACAAGGCTAACTTCAAAAATCAATCTTTTATTGCTAAAACCAACACATTTCAGTGTTTCAATGCATTGGATGTAACTATAAAACATAGATTTTTGAAGCAAACTTCCATTGTCCTACCAACAGTTGCTGAAAATCAGTTTTTCAGTTTTCTCCACTGTTCAAGAACTGTCATTTGAAAAAGCGAGATAGCGACCGCATTTTTTATTTTCACTTCAAAATATCTCAAAAGGAGTAAAAGAAGAGAGAAAGAAAACAGAACAGGCTTATTCAATCTGCCTTTCACGTGTCTCTGTCTGCTAATGTGACATTCACAATGTGACATCTAAAGGCTCATCTTTCTCCTCTAGGACAGGCCTCATTGATACGCACGCATGCACACACACAAAAGCATACACACCGTCATCTGTAACAAAGGAGGAATAAAAAGCGTCTCTATAAAAGCATTGTTTTCTGAATGAACGTTTGTCCTATTTCACACATGTACAAGTGCGAGTTGGTAAATAGTTTTCTTACATATCCCACAGAACCCTCAGAGAATGGGGTCAGAGCCAGGGAACAGCCATTATTGACGGTGACCCTGGAACAATTAGGGTTAAGTGCCTTGCTCATGGGCACATCAACATATTTTTGAAAAGCATCACCAGAACAAAAGGCCCTCTGAGGTACGAGGCTGCATTTCAAATTGTCTATAGTGCATCACTTTTCACCAGATACAGTGCAGAATATAGGGAACAGCAGAGTGACAATTGAGATTTCCACAGAGTTTGTTATGACAGATCTGGAATGAAGTTTAGAACAAGGACTGTCAAATCAAAAAATGTAATAACAATAATCATGTAGGTTAGAATAAAAACAGGGAGGTCTTTCTTCCTAGAGCACAGGAAGTGGTTTGTGGTCTCAGTCTCAGTTTGTATCAAACACTAAAAAGGCCTTGACAGCGGGACAATGCACTGTCAGCGCACATGAGGTCAACCTGGACACTTAAAGAAGACGTACACCCACATAATGTACACCATTCAGCATCCACACCATCTGCATATCTACATAGAGACAAAATAACGCCCAATTCATGTACACAGTCATTAGTTGAGCTATCGACTACAAGGAACTAGTGCATCCAACAGAGAGGACAGATTGGGAACCAGAGACGTAAAGGAGGCAGTCACTCCATGCATCACTCAAGGGAAGAAAGAGGGATTGATTTAGATAGGAAAGAGGAAGGGGAAACAGCCACTAAACTATTAATAACCACTCAGAGCAGAGGAGAGCAGAGAAGAGAAGTGGAGAGAAGAGGAGAGGAGAGTCAGAGGAGAGGAGGGTCAGAGGAGAGGAGAGTCAGAGGAGAGGAGAGTCAGAGGAGAGGAGAGTCAGAGGAGAGTCAGAAGAGAGGAGAGGAGAGGAGAGGAGAGGAGAGGAGAGGAGAGGAGAGGAGAGGAGAGGAGAGGAGAGGAGAGGAGAGGAGAGGAGAGGAGAGGAGAGGAGAGGAGAGGAGAGTCAGAGGAGAGGAGAGGAGAGGAGAGGCAGAGGAGAGTCAGAGGAGAGTCAGAGGAGAGTCAGAGGAGAGTCAGAGGAGAGGAGGAGGTCAGAGGAGAGGAGAGGAGAGGAGAGGAGAGGAGAGGAGAGGAGAGTCAGAGAAGAGGAGAGTCAGAGGAGAGGAGAGTCAGAGGAGAGGAGAGTCAGAAGGGAAGGTGGTGATGGGTATGGATTACTTGTCTCTTGTTGTTGGACCTAAAGGAGGTGTTATACGTCACCATCCGTTTCAGCATCTCGGGGGGCTGTAACAGGAACCAGACAGCATTCATAAGAGATTGACACTACAACACTAAGCTTCTTCTTTCTCTCTCCCTCTCTCTATCTATTTCTCTCTGCATCTTACGGTTAAGTACTCTGTTACTGACAAGTTCTGTAGATAAACTGCAAAGACGATAATACTCTCTGTGGATTCACCCTTGACAACATGGATGATATATAAAGAGCTGATCCTCTCTTGGTTTTTCTGGATGGTGGTGACCAGTGGAGGCTGCTGAGGGGAGGACGGCTCATAGCAATGGCTGGAACAGAGTAAATGGAATGGCATCAAACACATGGAAACCACGTGTTTGATGTATTTGATGCCATTCCAGCCATTACCACGAGCCCGTCCTCCCCAATTAAGGTGCCACCAACCTCCTGTGGTGCTGACATATGGTAAATGACCAGTGGGAGCAGAGTGAGTGCTATCTCCATAGAGACAGAGTGACAGGGAGAGAGGAAGGGACATTAGCATAGCCTCGCTGTTGGATGAAAACCTCTTTATCTCCAAAACAGAAACCTTTCAGGAAATGGACAAAACTGCCATATTTTCCCATTAACGAACATACAATTATGAAACTTCAGAATCTATTTTGAATACAGTGCAATCAAAAACATGATTTTCCTGTGTTTTATATATATTTCCACACTATGAGGTTGGAATAATAATGTAAACGAGTATCACGGCAAGGAAACAAAACACGAAGCGGATTTAACACCCCTAATGTTGGAAACAAACATAATTATGTTGTCATCCAGAGTCCAACATTTTTTTTTTAAACCTTAGCACACAATATTTTACATACAGCAGGTTTTTAAAGGACAGAACAATTTGGTCTTCTTCGTGTTTTCACTTTTGCTGTGGAAACAATATTGCAATCCTGGTATTGTCACAGCCCTAGTTTTGGTCTACCTGGTGACATCACCAGGCGGTAAATTAGTTAATAGACCAACAAGAAAGGGAGTTCCAAACCTCTCTGCCAATAACAGCTAGTTTTCAGTGTTCCCCTCCCCACTCAGACCACTCCCAGACCGTCCTAGCCAGATTCTTGCTTGAGAAATTGCTCTTTGCTATGATGATGTGTTTATTTTTGACCATTTGAATTGAAAACAATCACAGTAAGGTTCTTAATTGTTACCCAGAAATGATTTGATATTGAGATAAAAACTACTGCATTGGACCTTTAAGAGGTTTTCATCCAACAGCTATGATAGCCTCTGCCTGCCTAGCCTCTGGGTCAACCTGATAACATCCTGATAATGAAGTTAGCATCTGTACGCTAACCACCCTTGTCTGGTGCAGCACAGAAACCAGGGAAACAGCTTGAACGAGCACCCTGGCTAGGACAATGACAACAAACTAGCACCTTGGTTAGGGGCAGTGACAACCATCTAGCACCCTGGTTAGGGACAGTGACAACCAACTAGCACCCCGGCTAGGGACAGTGACAGGAGAACACAGCAAGCGTGCACAAAGGGGTTGAGGGAGAGAGAAAGAGGGGGGTTAGGAGTCTGTGTTTCTTACCACGCCCTCAGAGCGGAGGGTAGGTCGATGGGACTGGTTCTGGGGTAGCATGACTGGTTTAGACATGGCAGGGGCCATCTGACGCCTCTGGTTGGGTGGGCTAGGAGCTATTTGCTATTGGGAACATCCGATGAGCAGCAAATATGACAGCAAACAATGGGGTTACAGTGGTCTACAGTGAGAAGCAGAGCACCATGGACATTATTGAAAAGCACTCATAAGGATTCTACTGCTGAATCCCAGAACAAACAGCTCATGATGAAACCACTGACATCAGAGCTTTACCAACTGTGATTTAACCCTGTGTATCTCTATGTTTAACCCTGTAAGATCAGAGGCCTGGGGATGTTCTAGAACTGTGAAGAACGTGGCATGGCTTGTCTCAACATTTGTTCACATCACACAAGTAACTCCTTCTAGGCAGGCTTACTGAACAATCTCAAATATCAGACTTACCAGGGGATTGCTTGAATTGGATACACCATTGACATGGGAAGTGTTTCTCATCACCTGAACCAGGGAAAGAGTATTGTGTATTCATCCCTGAATTACTTTTGCCAAACGCTACTGGAATATCAATGTTACACACACACACACACACACTCAAAGGGGTGGTTTGAAGTGGAACATACATCAAGAGAGGAGAAATATTGCACTTAAAGATGAGCTATTCATTCTTGACTCACAGCCTCTCTCGCCTGCATAGACAACTTAACGTAAAACACCCACCACTTACTGCATATCACACCACAACACACCATGCGATTCTACACCCACTGCTGTCAAATACTATAACAACATTACAAATCACACAGCACCACCACAAACAGACTGAATAAAAACCAGCATTTCATTTCAATGGAGAGGAAATTGATGTCGTTCTTCACACCATTCAGTCATTGTGATGTTTTCCTCTCCCATACATCTTCCCGGCACAGATCATGCAGAGTTAATGTCCTAACAAATTACCCTGCCCCCTTGATGTTCTGAGATCTGAAGGAACAAGATGTAAGCAGCAATGTAAAAGTATCTTCCCTAAACCAATTGGATGGTTTACTGGGAACCATAACAATATTGTTACTCACACTTGTCCGCACCCATCAACTCAGCTAAAAGGTTTCGGGGCAAGGCAAGGGCTAGGGGCTAGGGGTTGTTTTCAGACCAGACCATAGACACCCCAGGGAGGCTACCTTAGAGTTCGAGGGGTAGGTCATTTCACTGGCGTTGGACAAGGAGTAACCTCCCCTCGGCAGGTACCCACCCCCTTCCCACTCGCTCCTTGTCTTTGGAGGACTGGAGGGGTGATGGTGGTGGTACCCTCAGGGTGCTGGGGAGGTGGGGGCGGAGGGGGTGGAGGAGGTGGAGGTTGAGGAGTGGGCCGGGGGGAGGAGGGTGGCCTGGGAGGGAGGGGGGTAGTGGGAGGAGGAGGAGTAGGAGGAGGAGGGAGGAGGGTACCTAGAAGGAGGAGGTGGAGGCGGAGGAGGAGGAAGGGGCTGACATCCTCTGGAGGCCGCGGTAGAAGCCGAGGGAGGGGGCTTGCGGGTCGATGGTCGTGGTGAGGGGGGAGAGAAGTTGGGGATGGTGGGGTTGAGTCTGGGGGAAGGTGGCGGGAGAGGTAGGGGTGGTGGGGGCTGGGAGGAAGAAGGCTGGGTGGGGTCCAGTCTCTTCAGGTGCCCCCTCAGACTCTGGTCCACCTCATCCAAGTTGAAATCATCCAGGTCAGTGGTTGCCAGCCAGAGACCCCCATGGAAACGCCTCACCATGGGCCCAGAGGCAGGAGACCGAGGAGGGGACATCTGAAGGACAAGCCCTGTCACTCAGACACTCACAACCACAGAGCTATCACAGTACTCCACACAGACAGTCACAGAGCACTATGATCACTGTCTTTGAATAACAAGATAAATGACTCACTGTATCCTACCACAAATCTATCAATTACCTACAAATAAAAAAATAATATGCGATAGGAACACAGGTGGTCCTCACTGATACAAGGAGGAAAGGGGGTTCTAGGAAAGGTGGTTCTACATAGCTCTAGGAGAGGTAGTTCTACATAGTTCTAGGAGAGGGGGTTCTAGGTGTACCTCTGGGGACTCGTTCTCCACACAGGAAATTTGTTCCAGCCATGTCTGACACAGACGTTCCACCCAGCGCTGCACCTTCTCCGACTCCTCCAGATCCTCCCGCTCAGTCTCTGACACCTGGGGCACTGCACAGCGCAACGCAAGGCAACGGAATACTCAAGACTGGGTCACTGGTCACTCATATAGAACAACATATAACTCAAGGCTGGGTTATGGCTCAGTCATACAGAACAACATATAACTCAAGGCTGGGTTATGGCTCAGTCATACAGCAAAGTATAAATGAAAAAAGAACGCACATACTATTGGCGAGATACCTCCTGCACCAGTTTACTGATCATTACTCCTACCTCCTGCACCAGTCTACTGATCATTACTCCTACCTCCTGCACCAGTCTACTGATCATTAGTCCTATCTCCTGTACCAGTTTACTGATCATTACTCCTACCTCCTGCACCAGTTTACTGATCATTAGTCCTACCTCCTGCAACGGTCAGATCATTACTCCTGCATCCTTCACCAGTCTACTGATCATTACTCCTACCTCCTGCACCAGTCTACTGATCATTAGTCCTACCTCCTGCACCAGTTTACTGATCATTACTCCTACCTCCTGCACCAGTTTACTGATCATTAGTCCTACCTCCTGCAACGGTCAGATCATTACTCCTGCATCCTTCACCAGTCTACTGATCATTACTCCTACCTCCTGCACCAGTTTACTGATCATTAGTCCTACCTCCTGCAACGGTCAGATCATTACTCCTGCATCCTTCACCAGTCTACTGATCATTACTCCTACCTCCTGCACCAGTCTACTGATCATTAGTCCTACCTCCTGCACCAGTTTACTGATCATTACTCCTACCTCCTGCACCAGTTTACTGATCATTAGTCCTACCTCCTGCAATGGTCAGATCATTACTCCTGCATCCTTCACCAGTCTACTGATCATTACTCCTACCTCCTGCACCAGTTTACTGATCATTATTCCTACCTCCTTCACCAGTCTACTGATCATTATTCCTACCTCCTGCACTAGTTTACTGATCATTACTCCTACCTCCTGCACCAGTCAGATCATTACTCCTGCATCCTTCACCAGTCTACTGATCATTACTCCTAACTCATGCATCAGTCAAATCATTACTCCTACCTTCTACACCAGTCAGATCATTACTCCTACCTCCTGCACCAGTGAGATCATTACTCCTACCTCCTGCACCAGTCAGATCATTAGTCCTACCTTATACACCAGTCAGATCATTACTCCTACCTCCTGCACCAGTCTACTGATCTTCAGCTGTTTCTCTCGTTCATACATTTCCTCCTTCTCTGCAGCCAGCTTCAGCTCTAACTCCATCTCTTTCTTGTTCTTCCTCTGTTCCTGCAGGGTGTCCATGTTGGACACCTTCTTCTTCTTCTCTCCTTTCTGAGGCGCCAGTTAAGTTTGTCATTATAGAAACCAAGGAGAAACCAGAACCCATGATTCCACTCCAAACCACAAACCATGCAAAAAACGATACAGTACAATAACGTTTTCCAACTTCCAACAGACACTGACGGCCATTACAATATAGGTTAATAACTGCCACAGCATTGTGGTGACAGAACCAGTAAATAAGTCATGTTATTTTGCTCCAAGTTAACCTTCAGAAATTATTCACATCCCTTGACTTTTTCCAAATGTTGTTGTGTTACAGCCTGAATTTAAAATTGATTTTGTGTCACTGACCTACACACAATACCCTATAATGTCAAAGTGGAATAATGGTTTTAGAAATTTTTACAAATTCCTCAAAAAAGAAAAGCTCAATAAATATCCAACCCTTTTGTTATGATAAGCCTAAATAAGTTCAGGAGTAAAGATTTGCTTAACAAGTCACATAATAAGTTAAATGGACTCACTCTTTGTGCAATAATAGTGTTTAACATGATTTTTGAATGACTACCTCATCTCTGTACCCCACACATACAATTATCTGTAAAGGTCCCTCAGTCGAGCAGTGAATTTCAAACACAGATTCAACAACAAAGACCGGGAGGTTTTCCAATGCCTCGCAAAGAAGGGCACCTATCGGTAGATGGGTAAATATTTTCTAAGCAGACATTGAATATCCCTTTTCTGCATGGTGAAGTTATTAATTACACTTATTAATTACACAGTCACTACAAAGATACAGGCGTCTTTCCTAACTCAGTTGCCAGAGAGAAAATAAACCGCTCAGGGATTTCACCATGAGGCCAATGGTGACTTTAAAACAGTTACAGAGTTTAATGGCTGTGATAGGAGAAAACTGAAGATGGATCAACAACATTGTAGTTACTCCACAATACTAACATAAATGACAGCGTAAAAAAGAAGGAAGAATGTACAGAATAAAAAATATTCCAAAACAAGCATCCTGTTTGCAATAACGCACTAAAGTAAAACTGGAACAATGTGGCAATGAACTTTATGTCCTGGGGGAAAATACAACACAATCCAACACAACACATCACTGAGCACCACTCTTCATATTTTCAAGCATGGTGGTAGCTACATCATGTTATGGATATGCTTGTCATCGGCAAGGATTAGGGAGTTTTTTTTGGGGGGATAAAAATAAAAGGAATAGAGCTAAGCACAGGCAAAGTCCTAGAGGAAAACCTGGTTCAGTCTGCTTTCCAACAGACACTGGGAGATGAATTCACCTTTCAGCAGGTCAATAACCTAAAACACAAGGCCAAATATACACTGGAGTTGCTTACCAAGATGACATTGAATGTTCCTGAGTGGCCTAGTTACAGTTTTGACTTTATTTAAATCGGCTTGAAAATCTATAACAAGACTTGCTGTCTAGCAATGATCAACAACCAACTTGACAGAGCTTGAATAACTTTTAAAATAATAATGTGCAAATATTGTACAATCCAGGTGTGCAAAGCTCTTAGAGACTTACCCAGAAAGACTAACAGCTATAATCACTGCCAAAGGTGATTCTAGAAAGTATTGACTCAGGGGTGTGAATACTTATTTAGATGAGATATTTCTGTATTTAGTTTTCAATACATTTGCAAAGATTTCTAAAAATGGTTTCACTTTGTCATTATGGGTTATTGTGTGTAGATGAGTGAAAAAAACATAAATGTAATCCATTTTGAATTCAGGTTGTAACACAACTAAATATGGAGTAAGTCAAGGGATATGAATACTTCCTGAAGGCACTGTATATGCATTAGCTTTGAGAGAACACACTCACAGTACACCAAACTGCGACCGTACAGAATACCTTGCGGAGTGTGGGCAGCTTCCCTTCATAGAGGAAAAACAACATCAACCAGAGTCACTTTGATGACAGACGCAAAACCTTGCAAGGCCGGAGAACTCACTCAGCGTATAACTTGAGCAACTATAGAGGAAACACATCTATTATAGTTGGTCAACTGAATCCACTGCACACAACAGAAATTAAGAAAGAAAGAGAGCTCAAGGGGTTGTATTGAGAAACATGGCACCCTCCTGGATGCTAGGCAGTTTAGGAAACACAAGACAAGCTAGCTAAAGCAGAAACAGCCTAGCATCCAGGCTAGCACTACTAATGTACAGTATATGAACATGTCAATGGGTTTTGGTTGTCAAAGGAAATTGAGCATGTTGTGAGTGGTATGTTGTGAGAGTCTCTGACTCTGCGATGTGTCGGTACACTGTGAGACTCAGTCACTCACTTCTCTCCCTTCTTCTTCTTCTTCTTCCTCCTCCTCTTCCTCCTCCTCCTCATCATCATTGTCGTCAGCCTGAAACGAGCTGGCTTCATAGTCTGGAAGTGAAGAAAGTCAGAAAAGCACGGCACACAGAGGAAGAAGACAGGAGACAGACAGCATGCAGAGATTCAACACAACTGTAAGACTAGGCCCTTCCTGGTCCTGCTGCTCTTCCTTCATCTATAGGTATCGCCTGTTCCCTTGTCCTTACCAGAGCTCTTGGACTTGGTGGGTGGGGTGTTGATTTCGGGCGGGGCCGGGGAGGGACTCTTGGTTTTGGGTTGTTCTCCAGGGGTACAGTCCTCCTCCCACTCCCTGTTGTCCTTCACCTCCGCAGCCTCGATCCTAAACACACACACACAGGTCAGGAGGTCACTGCGTCATCCAAAGTTACTAAACATTCTCTGATATAGTTGTCAACACACAAGAGAACTGAAACTCTTTTATTTCAACTAGATGGTCTTTGAAGTTTAGATAGATCCTGGGTTCCCTTTATGTCACTCTCCCATTCCCTGACTGATCCGTCTGTTTCTCCCATTCCCTGACTGATCCGTCAGTTTCTCCCATTCCCTGACTGATCCGTCTGTTTCTCCCAGTCCCTGACTGATCCGTCTGTTTCTCCTAGTCCCTGACTGATCCGTCTGTTTCTCCTAGTCCCTGACTGATCCGTCAGTTTCTCCTAGTCCCTGACTGATCCGTCTGTTTCTCCTAGTCCCTGACTGATCCGTCTGTTTCTCCCATTCCCTGACTGATCCGTCTGTTTCTCCTAGTCCCTGACTGATCCGTCTGTTTCTCCTAGTCCCTGACTGATCCGTCTGTTTCTCCTAGTCCCTGACTGATCCGTCTGTTTCTCCTAGTCCCTGACTGATCCGTCTGTTTATCCTAGTCCCTGACTGATCCGTCTGTTTCTCCTAGTCCCTGACTGATCCGTCTGTTTCTCCTAGTCCCTGACTGATCCGTCTGTTTCTCCCATTCCCTGACTGATCCGTCTGTTTCTCCCATTCCCTGACTGATCCGTCTGTTTCTCCTAGTCCCTGACTGATCCGTCTGTTTCTCCCAGTCCCTGACTGATCCGTCAGTTTCTCCCATTCCCTGACTGATCCGTCTGTTTCTCCCATTCCCTGACTGATCCGTCTGTTTCTCCTAGTCCCTGACTGATCCGTCTGTTTCTCCCAGTCCCTGACTGATCCGTATGTTTCTCCCAGTCCCTGACTGATCCGTCTGTTTCTCCTAGTCCCTGACTGACCTGTATGTTCCTCTAGGAGTAGAATACGTTATTAAGTGTAGCATTATTGTACAAAATACAAAATATACCAAATACATTTATTATAGAAACAGCAATCAATATGCAAACAGGGTGAACCCACTTCTCCATCTCCTTCTGGTAGCGTTCCTCTTCCTCAGCAGTCTTCTGAGAAATCTCCATCATTCGCCTGTTCACAACACAAAGAAACACATGTTAACAACATAAACATGTATAGGCTAGCTATCACACTGAGATGTACAGCCTATTCTTCTGGAGACAGTGTCAGTGTAATGCATTCACTATGAAAGTTATGTTGACAACAAGTAATCACTGGAGTCTTTGTATATCTTGGATGCCAATCAGAAAAAAAAATATGTATCTTCTGTTTTGCTTGTCTTCTCCTGTGAGTCTGATTGCTATCATTGCTAGTGGAATTGCAGTCCTTTTCTGGTGTACAGAGCCAAGCGATAGAGGCTTTTGTGCTCTGCTGATGTCTTCACAGATTGTTTTCTGAACAGAAGCCTGGACGGAATTTGGCAAACTGAGCAAAGATTGTCTTCTTGTGGGTTGAAAAGTGGAAAGCAACATGTGTTTGAGTCATCACCTACTGTCTGCCCAAAGAGATGACATATGTTCTCTCTCTCTAGGTGTGCCAAGATAGTTATCTGTTCATAAAGTATGTGCACAGACAACAATAACTTTTGGCAAAAGTACATTGATCAGTTCCCAAATGTCAAAGCTCCAGCTCTCTGAATACAATAATCTATAGTCATCAAGTGTTTTTTGTGAGTATTTCTGTCCAATCTCCCCATCATTGTTTGGAGGGAAAACTATTCTATAGAATATTTTTTAGAGGGTTTGGCCCTGGCTCTAAGCACCACAATGGAAATATGTTTGATCACCTCTTTGAGCTACACTTGATGATTTTAAATGCCCTATATCCACTTGTGTGGATTAAATTGTGTTTTTGGGAAGGGATCACCGCTGCTACCTCGTTTTCCAACCAAGGTGCATGAATTGAGGCGCAAACTGAAGTAGAGAGGAGATTCGGCAACTCTAGGAGGACAATGGAATTAAATAAAAAAGCTTATTTATTGTTAAAAGTAGAACCAAATATCACATTTTAATCAAGTCAATCAATCAGTCCATTGATATCCACTCACTGCCTCTCCTTCTCCTGCTGCTCCTTGATGATCTTGTTGGTCTCCATGGCAACCCTCTTCTGTTGCATCAGCTCTTGTCTGTCCAGCTCCCTGCGAGCCTCCACCGCCAGACGCTCCTCGCCTGTCATAAACAACTCACTGCCCTGTGGGGGACAGACAGACAGACAGGCAGACAGGCAGATAGACAGGCAGGCAGGTGGACAGACATCCAGACAGGCAGGACGGACGGACGGACAGACGGACAGACAGACAGGCAGAAAGGGGGCGTCAGAGTGTTCCAATCGCTCAGCTTTGGAACTTTGGGTGAGCCTTAGAATTACAAACGGGTTAAACAAATGTTAACTCACTCAAGCATATGGACAATCACAAGAAGGCACTTGTTTGCACACAAATCAACAGATAACACATCTGTGATGGACTGTAATGAAAGTGCCATTCCACTTGCGTAGGGTGCCGTCTTTTGGATGGGACGTTAAAACGAGTGTCCTGACTCTCTGTGGTCATTCAAAATCCCATGGCACTTATTGTAAGATTAGGGGTGTTCACCACGGTGTCCTGGCTAAATTCCCAACCTGGCCACATTCCATCATTGCCACCTAATCATCCCCCTCATTCCTAATGGCCATATATCACTCCTCACCTCTCCACCTGATAGCTGATGTGTGGTGAGCGTTCTGGCATAAAAATGGTCGCCGTGCATCACTGAGGTGGGTGCTACACATTGATGATGGAGTTTCACCCTACTATGGAAAGTGCTTTGAGTATCTCAGTTGGTAGAAAAGCACTATATAAATCCAATAAATTATTATTGTCACGTCTCCTCCCGTTGCTCCCCTCCGGCGCTCTGATTCGCCGGTCTACTGAGCCACCGGTCTGAGCGTACCACCTCGGCAACACCGGAATGGAAACCCAACGCACCCTAATCACCTCCAGCGCACCTGCACCTCATCATCTCATCACCACCCCTATTTAGCCCTGGACTGTTCTGGATGATGTTGTGTGTGATTGTTTAGCGTCGTGTCGTTTACTCTCTCTTTGTTATTCTCTTCCTCATTATTAAGTAAACCTTGACCTTGTTAATTCCTGCGTCTGCGTCCTGCCTCTTCGTATATCAGTACTCGTCACAGAATCACACACCACGAAAATGGATGCAGCAGGAGTTTCCCAGCGCCTCGACCAGCACCAGCAGCAGCTTGCCCAGTTGAACGCCGCCATGCAGGAAGTGCTCCAAACTCTGCATAATCTGCCCAGCGCTCCGGTTCCACCTCAGGGAGCGGCGAGTGCATCCAATCCACCTGTTCCCGTGCTATCACCCACTTCTGCGGGAACCCTCGCCCTACCGGAGCTCTATGATGGTAAAACTACTAAATGTAGCGGCTTCCTGCTACAGGTTTCACTTTATCTGGTGCGTCAGCCTGGGGCATATCCATCTGACCAAGCCAGGATAGCGCTGGTGATTTCGCTACTTACAGGAAAGGCGCTGGATTGGGCCACGGCAGTCTGGGAAGGAGAGGAGGCAGTGGCGCTTCCCTACCCCACCCTTCCTCGCTCGGTTCACGGCGGTGTTTGATGATCCCACGGAGGGAAAGGACGGGGGTGAGCGTCTCCCCCATCTACAACAGAGAGAGGGGCCCGCGTCCGAGTACGCTCTGAGCTTTCGCATGGTGGCGTGGTCTTCTGGCTGGAATGAGCGTGCTCTGTGCACGGTTTTCAGGAGAGGCTTACGGGAGGGCATTAAGACGGAACTCGCATGTCGGGACGACGAGATGGACCTTGATACCCTCATCACCATGTCCATCCGTCTTGACGACATGTTGAGAGAGAGACGGCGTTCCCAACACCTCCCGGAGCCTCAACGCTCACCCCATCTGAGCTATGGAAGCCGCCCTGCTTCCGAGTCCTCACCCATGGAGGTGGGCAGCACCCCCTACACCACCAGAGATCTCCTGGTGGCTCCCTATCTAGGCGGTGTGACTCCCGTCGCCACTCCGTGAGTGTTACGTCATAACGGTGAATGGTTATTCCTTCTCTTCCATTTCTACTGCAATGATAGATTCCGGATCAGCAGGGAACCTTATACTGTAGATAGGGAGCTGGTCTCTGAATGCGGGTTACCCACCGTGCCACTGCCATCTCCGCTACACGTCACCTCACTGGACAATAAACCCCTTGGATCAGGCACCATTATGCACGTCACTCTCCCCATCACCATCACCATTCCCACACTACCGGAGCACCACGAGGAGCTGTCATTCCACATCGTCACGTCACCCCTTCACTGGATCGTCTTGGGATTGCCCTGGCTCAGACTACACAACCCCACCATCAATTGGATCACCAAGAGGATCACAGCCTGGTCCACCTCATGCCGGAAGACCTGCCTGCTGGTGGTTTGTTGTTCCACGTCAGTGGAGAGTCTGGAGTCTGCCCTCCAGCCCAACATTCCACATGAGTACGCAAATCTCTCCGATTACTTCTCTTCATTAAAGGCTACGTGTCTCCCTCCTCACAGGCCCTGGGACTGCGCCATTGACCTGCTGGAGGGACAACACCCCCCGAAGAGTCGCATTTACCCCCTTTCCATGGCAGAGACTGAGGCCATGGAGAGGTATGTTGCGGAGATCCTGAAACAGGGGTTCATCAGACGCTCTACCTTTCCTGCCTCCGCCAGCTTCTTCATGGCCAAAAAAGACAGAGGACTGAGACCATGCATTGACTACAGGGGACTGAACGCAGTCACCACCAAGTACCGGTACCCGCTCCCTCTGGTGCCGTCGGCCATCGAGCAGCTACGAGGGGCCCGGTACTTTACCAAGTTGGACCTGAGGAGTGCCTACAACCTGATCAGAATCCGGGAAGGAGACGAGTGGAAGACGGCATTCAGCACTACCTCAGGCCCCTATGAATACCCTATGGCCTCGCAAACGCACCTTCTGTGTTCCAGTCCTTCGTCAATGACGTGTTCCGGGAGATGCTGGGTAGACAGGTGGTGGTGTACATCGACGATATCCTGATCTACCCAGCTACGTTTGAGGAGCACGTCAGGGACGTCCGAGCTGTCCTACTCCACCTTCGGGAACACAGCCTGTTGGTGAAGGGGGAGAAATGTGAATTCCACCAACAGGCCATCTCCTTCCAGGATCAGTCCTCAGGGGGTGTTCATGGAAGAAGTGAAGACAGACGCCGTCAGGTCATGGCCAGTCCCCACCACCATCAAGGGCCTACAGAGCTGCCTGGGCTTCGCCAATTTCTACCGGCGTTTTATCAGGTCCTTCAGCTCCATAGCCGCACCGCTCACCTCTCTCCTTAAGGGTGGGCCTCAGAAGCTGGCCTGGAACCCTGAGGCTGACGCTGCCTTCAAGAGGCTGAAGGAGAGATTCACCACAATGCCCATCCTAAAACACCCAGATCCATCTCGTCCTTTCATCCTGGAGGTGGACGCATCGGAGGAGGGCATGGGTGCGGTCCTCTCCCAGCGGCACGGTACGCCAGAGAAAATGTATCCCTGTGCCTTGTTCTCTAAAAAGCTTACTCCCGCAGAGAGGAACTATGGAGTTGGAGACAGGGAGCTGTTGGCGGTGGTCCTCGCTCTGGAGGAATGGAGACACTGGCTGGAGGGCGCAGTCCATCCATTCCGGATTCTTACTGACCACCGGAATTTGGAGCACATACGGGCAGCGAAACGGATGAACTCTCGTCAAGCCAGGTGGGCCCAATTTCTTACTTGCTTTCAATTCATTCTGTCCTACCGCCCAGGATCCCAGAATGTGAAAGCCGACGCAGGATGCACCATACCGGAGACAGGAAGGATCTGGGGGGTCCTATCCTGCCCTCGTCTCTCATCGTTGCACCTGTCATTTGGGATGTGGATGAAGACAGCCACCTGGCGGCTCAGGAGGACCCCCCGCCTGCCAACGCCCCTCCGGGGCGTGTGTATGTACCCACCAGTGTGCGTGACTGCCTGCTGATCTGGGCGCACTCCACTCTTACGGCAGGGCACTCTGGTATTACACGCATCCTGCATTCTCTAGCCCAAAAATACTGGTGGCCCACCTTGGCTTCTGATGTCTCCCACTATGTCAACTCCTGTTCCGTATGTGCCCAAACGAAGACACCTCGGAACGCCCCAGCAGGCAAACTAGTTCCTCTCCCACGTTCTGACGGCTTCACCACAGTCATGGTGGTCGTAGATCGGTTCTCCAAATCATGCAATTTTTTGCCACTAACTGGTCTTCCTTCTGCTCTCCAGGTCGCTGAGGTCCTGTTCCAACAGGTCTTCCGGCATTATGGACTTCCGGAGGACATCGTCTCTGGCAACCATTCACCCGGCACCCTCGGGATACGAGAGCGTGTCCGCCCTCATCTCCTGTCTGTCGGGGAAGGCGCTCGAGTGGGCCAACGCAGAGTGGGGAGGAATTGACGCTACATCTGTCCGCTACGAGGATTTCACGCTCGCCCGCCGCTCTCCCCTCCGGTGGATGATCGAATACCGCCCGGAAGCGGCGGGCGAGCGTTTGTTCTACCTAAGACAGGAGAGGAGGAGCGCCCAGGATTTTGTGCTGAAGTTCAGGACTTTGGCAGCCAGCGCAGGATGGAATGAGAGGGCCCTGATCGACCACTATCGTTGCAGCCTAAGGGAGGACGTTCGGTGGGAACTGGCCCGCAGGGATACCAACCTCAACCTGGACCAACTGGTGGAGATGTCCATCAGGCTGGATAACCTGTTGGAGACCTGCGGACGTTCTGATCAGGGCCCGTTCATTCCATCTCCCAGCACCTCCGACCCTACCCCCATGGAGCTCGGAGGTGCTGCGCTTAGGGAGACCAGGAGAGGGGCCGTCCCCTGCACCAACTGTGGCCGCAGAGGACACACTGCGGGTCGGTGCTGGGGAGGGTCCCCAGGGAGTCGAGGCAGTAGGTAGAGCACTGGTCGACCATCTCAGGTGAGTAAGCACCCGACTCACCCAGAGCTCCCTGTTGGTCAACTGTGTATAGAGGTTGTTTTCCCAGAGTTTTCTCCTCATTCCCAGCATAAGGCGCTAGTAGATTCAGGCATGGCTGGGAATTTTATTGATCATCAGTATTCACTTAGTTTAGGGATTCCCACTGTTCGTGTTGATGTGCCCTTCCCTGTACATGCATTAGATAGTCGCCCGTTAGGGTCAGGCCTAATCAGGGAGGTTACCACACCACTCTTAATGAGGACGCAGGGGGGTCATGAGGAGAGGATTAGTCTCTATCTGATTGATTCTCCTGCGTATCCTGTGGTGTTGGGACTTCCCTGGTTAACCACTCATGACCCCACTATTTCTTGGCAACAGAGGGCTCTCAAGGGATGGTCCAGTCAGTGCTCAGGGAGGTGTGTAGGGGTTTCCTTAGGGGCTACTACGGTGGAGAGTCCAAACCAGGTCTCCACAATGCACATTCCTTCCGAGTATGCCGATTTGGCTCTCGCCTTCAGTAAAAAGAGGTATTACTGTATTGGTTCTTTACTTATTCAGTAAAGTACGTTTCTTAAGAGTTCTGTGTCCTGCACCTGACTTCGATCCACCGCATTACACTGACACTCGTGACATCTACAATGTAGAAAATAGTACTGTCACAACTTCCTCCGAAGCTGCCTCCCCTCCTTGTTCGGGCAGGCTTCGGCGTTCGTCGTCAACGGCCTACTAGCCACTGCCGCTCCATATCTCATCATTCCATTTTGAAGGGTGGGTGATTCTGTGAGAGTGTGATTTGAAGGAGTCAGGCGCTGAAAGGTAAATCACTGAATACAGAGTTTATTCCGTAGGACACAGTTACGCTGGATAGCGTCAACAAAATACAGGCACACGGGGAACAATAGCCCCGGAAATACAAGTGACGGATAGCTCAACCGAGCTACACTCAACTCACAAATAACAATTACCCACAAGGAATTAGGGGTAGAGTAAATCCTTAGGGGTATAGTAAATCATTAGGGGTATAGTAAGTCATTAGGGGTATAGTAAGTCATTAGGGGTGTAGTAAATCATTAGGTGTATAGTAAGTCATTAGGGGTATAGTAAATCATTAGGGGTATAGTAAGTCATTAGGGGTATAGTATATCATTAGGGGTATAGTAAGACATTAGGGGTATAGTAAATCATTAGGGGTATAGTAAATAATTAGGGGTATAGTATATCATTAGGGGTATAGTAAGTCATTAGGGGTATAGTATATCATTAGGGGTATAGTAAATAATTAGGGGTATAGTATATCATTAGGGGTATCGTAAATCATTAGGGGTACAGTGTTTTTGAGTGGACTATTCCTTTAAGGAAGCACTATTCGTAACAGTTGATGGTGTACTTACAGCACCAGAAAGAACAGTGATGGTTAGACTCCTGCTGCTCTTCAGAACTCTGACAGCCTGCAGACACAATACAGATACAACTTTACTAAGCAATAAACACAAAAGATTACAATATTACAAATGTATTATTTACCAAGCAAAACGGTTTTCTGGAGGTATCAAACCTTTGTTTGCATTTCGTGTGTCCTACCTCTTTGTGGTCCAGATTGGTGAATTCCACCCCATTCACCTCCACGATCTGGTCACCAATCTACCAACACAAAACACAATACAACCCGCAATACCAACCATGCAACAACACACACACATTTCAGTACTTTATTGGAATCCATATTGGGACATTGTGGCATACTAGGACCCAGCTAGATGGAATATTCTCACATAAACACTCACACAATATTGAGACATGGTTCAGAAACAATTCCTAGCCAGTGAAGATTTCTCATTGAACTTGACAAAACACTATGAGTTTATTATGCACAGGTGATCATCATGATACATTTCTAGATGTTCATTTCAAAGTGGTTTACAGTACGCTGAACAGGGCCAAACTCTTACCTGTAGTCCTACTTCAGCAGCGAGAGAGCCAGGTTTGACGTTACTGACGTAGATACCAGGCTGCTGTGTGGGGCCACTGGAGATGCTGACGCCCATGCCCTTGGTGCCCACCAGGCTCAGGAACACTTTCTTCTCCTTCATCTCCTTGCTTCCCATGGACACCAGGCCTGCCACACTTCTCGTCTTCTCCTGAGAGAGAGAGAGAGACAGAGACAGAGACAGAGACAGAGACAGACAGACAGACAGACAGACAGACAGACAGACAGACAGACAGACAGACAGACAGACAAAACAGAGATAGAAAATGATGTGGTTGGTTGCATTACAGTATGTTATTTTCTGCCCCTCTATTTAGGTCGTTCTGGATAAGAGTGTTTATTCAATTACAACAATGGGAATGAAGAAGGGCCAAAAGAATAAAGAATATGAGAGAATATTGAATATAAAAGAATATGAATCTCATTCTCACCCCAGACTCAGACACAAACTGGTCCACGAACTGCCACTTCAGAGGCTCCTCTGTGGAACTGGAGAAGAACAGAAATCTAATTCTATATTCATTTATGTATTTATTTAACCTTTATTTAACCAGGATGATACCTTGAGGACAGTTGAAAACCTATTTTGTGAGGGACACCTGGCACAGGAAATACATAAAACATGAATCTAGTTAACATCTCAGTGCTCCCCGGATGCCTCTTATCCAGAATATATAGTTAGTTGTTTTATTCATCTCAGTCTTTGCTAAAACAGAAAGTTGTCAAATACAATACCAACCAAGAGAGAAACAGCCCTACCTCTTCACTGGTATCATCCCAAACTCTGCACAGAGAAAAGAAGGAAAGAGACAGAAATTGAAATTAAGTCTTATTACTTAGATGGCATAAAGATAGGTATATTATTAGGATATGCCATTAATGGGTTGGGTGGACTTACGCCTGACTTTGAGCGACACGGTCTTCTTGGTCTTGATGAGGTTGATGACTTCCTCGTGGATACAGGAAGAAATGGAGTATCCATTTATGCGTACAATCTCATCTCCCATCTGGAGGTCACACAGGGGTCAGACGTTACGACGACCATCACTTTTTATGGGTTGTGACAAAGTGTGACTACATTTCTCTGAGTGTTATGTTTCGCATTATGTGTTTGCTTCTCTTCAGATGTCTGACAACAACCCCTCCGCCCTCCATACTGGGTACTCGATGAGCAAAAGACGTTGAAAATACATATTTTCAATGTCTTGTGCTCACTGGGTAAGGATGTGTCTCAGAATAATTTTTATCTCCAGATGCCAGACAGGATGGCTGTGACACCTCAGCTGTAGCGGTGTGTCAATTTGTGTCACCGGTTATTGAGCTAATGGAAGTGTGGGACATCTGTCGCGCTGGCTGAGGGGAATAACTACAGTATACAGACAGACAGGACAGCAGGTCCAATCAGTCTTGACTCAGGAGCAAATTACTTCATGAAGGACAGGAAGGTACTTAAAAGGTTTTTATCAAAGAGGTTGGTTCCTCTGATTGATTTTATTTGAGGCATGCATAGGTGATGCATTCGATTACCAGCAGGATTGAGGTCAATTCAATTTCAATTCCATACAATTCAGAAATAACACTGAAACTCTAATTCCAATTCCAATTTTCTTCAATGCTTTTCAATGAGGAAAATGTGGAATTGGAATTTGGTTTACTTTCTGAATTGACTGTATTTAAAAGGAATTGACCCCAACCCTGATTACTATATGTAAAACAGCAAGGGGAGATACTCATATGAACTGCATAATGACTAATACAAAGACGTTTGACGTCATGACGTTTCCCATTTCTCAACGGAGTCAAGTGGTGCTGTCTATGAATCTGCTTCTCAAGGGTTATCCAATCAATGTTTCTTTACTCCACCTAGTGGAAATACTGACCATATCATATGAAAGACTGTCCCTTTCATGACCTCATGAAAATACACACACACACACACACACACCTGCAGGCCACTGTTTCCAGCCTGTCCATCCTTGACGATCTGTGAGATGAAGAGTCCACAGCCGAACTCCAGGCCCCCTCTTACACTCAGCCCCAGCCCCTCAGGATGAGTACGATCCAGACGCACCTCCTTTAGCTTACTGCGCCAACAGGATGGAGAGGGGGAGGAGGAGAAAGACAGGAGGGGAGAAGGAGAAGGGGATAGATGGAGGATGACATATCAGTTATGTGTATCAATGTAGTGTACATTCTCATTACCTTGGAATAGTGACTAGAACGTATAAGACAAGGGCATCTTATTGAAAGTCTATGGACTGTTAAAGCTCCAGCCTGGTGGATGGCAGCGACCCCTCCACTCACCGTGACCTCTTGGGGGTGAGCAGGTCGTACTCCACCTGGTGTTTGAGGGGAATGAGGGGCCGGATGGCATCAAACAGCGGCAGGCGGCTGGGCTCGTTGATGACCAGTTTCAGGTCCCCCACCAACACTGACAGCTCCATGGACCTGATGGAGAGAGCAGAGGGTCAGAGGACAGCTCAACACACACACACACACATGCTTGACGGAAGCACACACACACACACTGTGTCACTGCACAATAATCTTAGAGAGAGGGAGACGTTTTGAACGCCTTTCTTTATCATTTTTTTTTTTTTACATGACTTTGAGGACAAAGTGACTCAAAGCAGCGTACAGAACAACTAGGACAGAACAGTATGATAAACACCACACCCTTATGGGTCATCAAGGATTCCAAGAATGTGCAATCAACCTATCAATGGGAACAAATAGGCCTATGACCTATGACTATTAATTATTAACGTTCACCATTTCACTCCTGACTCGTGTATGAAAGTGGAAATGGCTTTTGTGAATAGCTGGCCAGGCTTGGCGGAGCACAATGGAAAACTGAACATAGGTCTAACCAATGGGGTCTTAGGGCTCTGGCTCCACAAGAGCACATGGAAACCAGCACCTCTAACTTCCCATTCAGTCCACATTAACATCACAGTCCTGAATGAAACCTTATCTTCCAACATAAAATACCTGTATACACACACAAGCACGCACACAAGCATGCACACACACATACACACACACACACACACACACACACACACACACACACACACACACACAGGAGACTTAACCCTCCTATTATACATAAATGTGTAATTTGAGAGAAATCAAGACATTTGCTTTGACCATTTCCATCTTGGTTGAAATAGAAGTGACAGAAAAAAGTATAGTAGTACACTACTAACAACTACTACTACTAACTACTAACAATTGATTAATCTAGTACTGGCAGAGTACACTACTAACAAATACTACTAACTACTAACAATTGATTTATCTAGTACTGGCAGAGTACACTACTAATAATACCCAAATAAAGGATCAGCAAACTGAAATCAGTTAAGGGAAGAAAATGTAACAACTGTGGTGAAAATAGGTTGTCCTGAAAATTACAAACAAGTCAATAATTTAGCACTAAACTAATGTGAAAGTCAGACAGAGATGGTGGTACTCACTTGTGGTACATCCGCAGGACATCGTACAGGTAATCCTTTTCTGCCTCATTGTCAATGAGCAGCTCCACCTAGACAACAAATACATCTTCATCATCATCCTCATCCTCATCATCACAGACAAGATGGCAGCTGCCACAGGCAGAGAAGGCTGCAGATACTTACTAACACATCCCTCTCAACTGTGGTCCTTTCACCACGGCATGGGGCATGCACTCTAGCCCTAGGTGTGTGTGTGTGTGTGTGTGTGTGTGTGTGTGTGTGTGTGTGTGTGTGTGTGTGTGCGTGTGTGTGTGCGTGTGTGCGTTTGTGTGCCTATAAAAGTGTTAGCATCAATAGTATCTCTGCTCTATTGTTGATGCTGGTGGCAGAAGGCCAGATAGCTTTCCCTCTTTCTAGATCCTTTCTCCTGTGAAGTGGCCGGCTCTTACTATGACTCTGGGCTGGGAGCCACTCTTATGCCACCGGACTGGGGAGAGGGAGTGAGGGAGTGAGACGGAGGGGAGAGGTTGGAGGGGGGTTTGGAATAGTGAGGTGAGAAATACAACCTTACAGTACAACCCTGAGACAAGAGGTCCACCACCATACAAAAAAAAGTATTAGAGATACACTCACACACACACACACACACACACACACACAGTCTTGTACAACTAACCTTGTGGGGACACAAAATTCAGTCCCATTCAAATTCTTATTTTCCCTACCCCCTAACCATAACCCTAACCCTAACCCTAACCTTAACCCCAAAACCTAACCTTAATCCTAACCCTAAACCTAACCCTGGCTCCTAACCCTAAAACTAACTCTAGCTCCTAACCCTAACCCTAATTCTAACCCTAACACTAATTTTTACCTTAACCCTACCCCCCTAGAAATAGCATTTGACCTTGTGGGGACTTCTGGTCCCCACAAGCATAGTTAAACACGTCCACACACACACGCAAGCACACACACACACCTAGATACACATTACCGCACACAAGCACAAACATGCAAAGGTTGCTGGGTGTATGCCGGTTTATAGTGTTGTAAAGCTCTCTAACTCAACATTGAGAGACAAGGTAAGCAATGTGACTATGTGTAGACTTTGGCCACATAAACTGATGAAGCAGATCATAAAGCACCACCCACAGAACACTGGGTAGTCCGGGAACATGGACCAACACACAGCTTATTCTCAAACATTCAACAAAAGCACAGGGGTGAATACAACACACATTAATGTCAAATCAGCTATAAGAGAGATTAAAGGGCCCACTTCAATCCAACATTAGCCTATATTCACCTCTAAAAGACAAATCAAATGAGTTGTTGTTGCTCATGCCTGCCTGCCTGCCTGCCTGCTCTCTCCTTCTCTAATTGCTGCTGTAAATTGTCCCTTCCTTTCAGCTGTGTTGGACATCCCTGACACTGACTAAATTATCAAATGGGGAGCGACCCAGTGACAGCCTACAACATTGAGGCCAGATGGCTAGGGATCCACATTACGGAGGATTGAACCCAAATGTATCACGTTCCCTTTACACAGTTTATGTTTTGACATTATTACCCGGATACTGTAACCTGCATTTGGGAAATGAACAAGTGTATGCCTACGTAGGCCTACAAAATGCATCATTGGTATATTTGTGTTGGGATCAAGAATGACCAACAAACAAAATAGAAGTTGGAAAACCCAGACGAACTTTCTACGATACACATAGTGCACAAAGACTAACCAATCAAGAACGCCGACACACAGGCCATATGTCATCATGATATACTGTAGCCTAGTTTATCTGTACAGACTCTCCCGATCATCTAAATGTATGTTACTGTATAGCCCATACACACATACAGTGTTAAAAAGGAATATATTCAATTAAATATCCTTACATATGAGGGGGCAACGTTTTAATCTTACAGAGAATGAAGTTGTATTACAGTTGTATAACACAAACAGCCTAATTTCACAATTGTGAAATAAAGGATGAAACAATGCAATAAAAATCCAAGACAGAACTTGTGTTAGTCCTATACTAATTAGTTCTCAACACCTATCAATACATAATAAACGCATTTAAAGACTGCTGTGTAAGTAAAAGCGTTACCCCAATAGGGTTCAGAGTACATCATACTTTGATGACAGCCAAAGAGAACTGAAACACCAATTGCTTTGCTTAACACATTATGCAAATATTTCATTCTTAAGTTCTTACCTTGTGCTTAAATTCTCGAGCTACTTTTCGTTCCATTTTCGACAACAAAAAAAACGGTGCCACCGACCAGCGTTCAATCGACAGTTCCCTACCAACAGTGGCGCTACCGATAATGAACGCTGGGTGGTAGATGCGTGACACCAGTGGCCCTATTTAGAGAATAGCTCCGGGTAACAGTTGCTCAGGAGCAGGTCTAGGATCAGCGTACACTCCCCAAATCATAACCTCAATTGACAGGGTTATGAATGCAAATAATTCATAGCATAGGCCTTATGCCACCACCTCTACTACTACTGTACATTTAGGTTATTTAACATATGATAAACTAGTGCCTGTGGCAATTACGTTTTAGGCCTAATTGTCTATGACAAATAAAAAACATAGTTAGGCTTATATATCACTATTTCCTTATGGGCTACCTTAAAACAGTGATGTTGCTACATCAAATGAAATGCAGAAATTGGTGCACAAGTCCAGCCGGCCACACAATGTTTCAATTCACTACAAAGAACAGTAGGTGGCGGTAGAGCATCGCTACTCGAATCACACTGCACTTCTTTTTTTCTCCGAAGAAAGACATTTGTAAACTTCCGGTATCTCAAGCGGCAGACAGTTAGAAGTTTCATGAAACAGTAAAAGGTAACGAGAAAACGAATGTCAATGTTTAAAACAGAATCATTGTTGAAATAATGCCATCTGATATGGCACTCAAACCTGAGCGTTGTACTGTTATCCATCGGTGTTAGCTAGCTAACGCAAGCTAATTTGACTGGCGAATGTTTTTGAGACTTGTTTGTGAAGTGAGTGCACTGTTGCGTTGTTCTAGCTGGCAGCTCACTTTGTTAGAACGAACGAACTAGCAAGCAAACGATTGTATTTCATCAATACATTTAATAGACACAAATCGCTACCTAGCTGGGTAACCAAGTGCAACCAGTGGTGGTGGTAGCCAGCTACAGTAGCGTTGTGCAGTTTCAAACTCACCGCGTCCCTTGCCACGCAGGCGCTTAGCAACGACGGGAAGGCTACCCTGAATGAATTACACAGGAGAGCGGCCAGACACCTGTTACTCAATTTGGGAATTACATTGTTTTGAGAGGTCCTGTTACAGTGTTAGCATCTCTTAGACTAGATGCTTTCCTGTGGGCAACTGAACACCCAGTATCATGGCACAAGTCACAACAACAGATAGCTGCTATAATGCCCTACTTAAAACCTACCAGGCTTCCACGCAGATCATAACAATCATCTAACTGTGTCTCAAATTGAACAATATATGTATTACAAGTCAATATTGTAAATCTGTTTCAGGTCAACATGATGGAGTCACCTCCAACAAGAGAAAGGTAAGTAAAGTGGTCCTCTGTAGCTCAATTGGTAGAGCATGGCGCTTGTAACGCCAGGGTAGTGGGTTCGATCCCTGGGACCATCCATACGTAAAAATGTATGCACACATGACTGTAAGTCGCTTTGGATAAAAGCCTCTGCTAAATGGCATATTATTATTATTATAAAGGCTACCTGTATTGTGTTGTTTAATTGTTTCCTCTATCAGATAACATAATTGTAGTGACCAACTCTGACGAATCCACTAAAGTCAAGAAACCTAGTAACTGTAATCACAGAATACTTAACATTATTGTGTCTAATCCCCCTACGGCTCCTACTCTAATCTGACTCTAAGGAATTGTTCCTAGATTGGTTTTATCTTTGTTAGCTTAGTGGGATAATTTCCTATTTTCTGGGTTGTCTTCCCTTCCAGGCCGACGGGCCGCACCCCTGGGGTGGAGGACTCTCCCCTGCCCCCCATCACGGAGCGTCTGGCCTACCTGCGCCCCTCCAGAGAGCTGCTGGAGTTCTACAGGGGGAAGATTGCCCAGTTTGATGGAGAACACGATGACCTGATGCAGATGCTGGAGAAGTACAGAGGCACCACAGAGGACCAGGTAAACTGTGTGTGTGGTGGGAGGGGGCATGCATGCAGACAGAGCAACTGATGAGTGTGTTTTAATCCCCTGTCTCTCCCTGCCCTCCCAGCACAAGCTGCAGTGGGAGGTGCGCCAGCGCGAGGGGGAGATCTCTGAGCTGCAGAAGGCTTTGAGCGACATGCAAGTGTACCTCTTCCAGGAGAGGGAACAGGCCCTGCGTCTGTACGCAGAGAATGACAGGCTCAAGATCAGGTGAGCTCTCATTTGATTCACAATTACACTTTACAATTGCTATTGACATTTCCAGCTTTAGACATGAAAAACATGAAAGTTGAAGGTTTTATGTTGTCTTTGTGTTCAGAGAGCTGGAGGACAGGAAGAAAATCCAGCATCTGTTAGCCCTGGTGGGGCCAGACACTGGGGAGATCACCTACTTCCACCGTGACCCTCCTCACAAGGTCAGGGGTCACAGTCTCACTTCAGGACCTATTCTACCCCATTGTCTTATTTTACATTACATGACTTCGGACAGGGATCGATATCTAGTTGGCGGCTTACAGTTAGGGAAAAAAGTATTTGATCCCCTGCTGATTTTGTACGTTTGCCCACTGACAAAGAAATGATCAGTCTATAATTTTAATGGTAGGTTTATTTGAACAGTGAGACAGAATAACAACAAAAAAATCCAGAAAAACACATGTAAAAAATGTTATAAATTGGGAAATAAGTATTTGACCCCTCTGCAAAACATGACTTAGTACTTGGTGGCAAAACCCTTGTTGGCAATCACAGAGGTCAGACGTTTCTTGTAGTTGGCCACCAGGTTTGCACACATCTCAGGAGGGATTTTGTCCCACTCCTCTTTGCAGATCTTCTCCAAGTCATTAAGGTTTCGAGGCTGACGTTTGGCAACTCAAACCTTCAGCTCCCTCCACATATTTTGTATGGGATTAAGGTCTGGAGACTGGCTAGGCCACTCCAGGACCTTAATGTGCTTCTTCTTGAGCCACTCCTTTGTTGCCTTGGCCGTGTGTTTTGGGTCATTGTCATGCTGGAATACCCATCCACGACCCATTTTCAATGCCCTGGCTGAGGGAAGGAGGTTCTCACCCAAGATTTGACGGTACATGGCCCCGTCCACCGTCCCTTTGATGCGGTGAAGTTGTCCTGTCCCCTTAGCAGCAAAACACCCCCAAAGCATAATGTTTCCACCTCCATGTTTGACGGTGGGGATGGTGTTCTTGGGGTCATAGGCAGCATTCCTTCTCCTCCAAACACGGCGAGTTGAGTTGATGCCAAAGAGCTCGATTTTGGTCTCATCTGACCACAACACTTTCACCCAGTTCTCCTCTGAATCATTCAGATGTTCATTGGCAAACTTCAGACGGGCCTGTATATGTGCTTTCTTGAGTGGGGGGACCTTGCGGGCGCTGCAGGATTTCAGTCCTTCACGGCGTAGTGTGTTACCAATTGTTTTCTTGGTGACTATGGTCCCAGCTGCCTTGAGATCTTTGACAAGATCCTCCCGTGTAGTTCTGGGCTGATTCATCACCGTTCTCATGATCATTGCAACGCCACGAGGTGAGATCTTGCATGGAGCCCCAGACCGAGGGAGATTGACAGTTCTTTTGTGTTTCATCCATTTGTGAATAATCGCACCAACTGTTGTCACCTTCTCACCAAGCTGCTTGGCGATGGTCTTGTAGCCCATTCCAGCCTTGTGTAGGTCTACAATCTTGTCCCTGACATCCTTGGAGAGCTCTTTGGTCTTGGCCATGGTGGAGAGTTTGGAATCTGATTGATTGATTGCTTCTGTGGACAGGTGACTTTTATACAGGTAACAAACTGAGATTAGGAGCACTCCCTTTAAGAGTGTGCTCCTAATCTCAGCTCGTTACCTGTATAAAAGACACATGGGAGCCAGAAATCTTTCTGATTGAGAGGCGGTCAAATACTTATTTCCCTCATTAAAATGCAAGTCAATTTATAACATTTTTGACATGCGTTTTTCTGGATTCTGTTGTTGTTATTCTGTCTCTCACTGTTCAAATAAACCTACCATTAAAATTATAGACTGATCATTTCTTTGTCAGTGTGCAAACGTACAAAATCAGCAGGGGATCAAATACTTTTTTCCCTCACTGTACATGACTATTGCCTGTCTGTCTGCTGTGCTGTAGGTTACCATAGCCCAGAAGGAGCTTGAGCCCAGGATTCTGGACCATCGGAAGACGGCAAAGTCAAGAACTGGATCTGCAAAAGGTTGAAGAAAATTTCCGTGACTTGATAAATATATTTTTGGGGTATACATATTTAGATGTATCTGTTGGTTTGAGATATTGCAGAAGGTTTATAAGTAAAAATCATTCTAGATGGCATTTGATCAGGGCCGGCCCCAGGCATAAGCGACATAGGCGACCGTTGAGGTCTCAACTTACTGTTGATAGTTAGAATAGTAGAATACACAAGGTGCAATTCCGAAATTTGGTTGTGGATTAGCAGTTTTCTTCTTATGTCAGTCACTGACAATCACTCAATTAGCCCATGTCAACTCTAACGTTTTAGATTGGTAAGTTAGTCTAGCCAGCTATCTAAACTTATCGTAATCATGGTCGAATTACCGACCGGGCATCCAGGGCACGTGCCCAGGGGCCCTGACCTCCAGGGGGCCCCCATTTGATTTTGTTATTCACTCTCCCTCAGATATCATATCAGCATGGGATAAGTCATGGCAATGTGTAGAATTGCAGGAAAGTAGCTGTAAAACTGCACATTTTTCTCTCCGACCAACGCAGAAATTAGTAGAATACCATAAAATTAGTTATAAAATAGCACAATTTTCTCTCCGTCCCATGGCAAAAATGTGTGGGCTAGGGCTGGCCCTGCATCTCATAACAATTTGCTCTACCTAAGAGTTGAAAGATGTTCCCTACGTAAGATAAACCTAAGCCTAAGGAGGGGAGCTACTAAAATCAAATGTAGTAAATAGGATCACAGTGGGCTCTTAGCACATCAGTTTAGGGAAATGTGGAATAATCCGTTTTGGGAGTGCAATATTTTCCTGACTGTGGCACTTAGCCTTGGTTCTGTCTGTGAGCAGAGGGAAGCCGGGCGTCCAGATCAGTGGGAGTGGTGAATGGAGAAAGCCCAGAGCAGTACAGAAGAGACAACCAGACCTTACTGCTACAGGTAGTACGACACACACTCACAAGCAACTCCTTTAGCTCCTTGAACACTCTTGCTGTAAGTTGAACTGGTGTAATGTGCAGGTGGAGGCGCTGCAGGCTCAGATGGAGGAGCAGACTCGTCTGTCCAAAGAGCAGGTGGAGTCTCTGCTGGAGGACAGGAGGATCCACGTGGAGGAGGGACAGGTCCAGCACCAGAGAGACCAGGACCGCATCACCGCACTCACTGACAAGTATGCTAACTACCTACTATACTGTACTCTTCATATCACTACTACCTTTCATATTTCTCCACCCCACATACTGTACCATGAAATGATATGTAAGAGAGAGATGTCTCTACTAGAGAGGCCAGGACTGCATCACTACTCTTACTGTCAAGGTGGGTTCACATTTGGGATGGGTATGAGTACTCCAACTGACGTCAAAACTCCATCTTTAACCAGAGATCGAAATTTTGACTTGAAGACAACGTTAATTTGCTTTGACTCTAGTGTTCCATTTGTTCATGTGCATTTGCGGGGCACAACAAAAAATTAACCAAGCAAATCATCACACAGTTCTTCTCCCTAAATTCCCTTTCCCCTCTGTCTCACTCACTCACTCAATTGCGTTCCGACAGATTCCTATACACACATGTGCTGAGTGCGTACACAAGCTCCCGTTAGGCCTACAGAAATACAGTGCCTTCAGAAAGTAATTGTACCTCTTGACTTATTCCACATTTTGTTGTTAAAGCCTGAATTCAAAATGGATTAAATATTATTTTTTTTCACACACAATTCCTCATAATGACAGTGAAAATATGTTTTTAGAAATGTTTGCAAATGTTTTGAAAATTACATTAAATTTTTTTATTTTAGTCATTTAGCAGACGCTCTTATCCAGAGCGACTTACAGTAGTGAGTGCATTACATTTTCATACTTTTTTCGTACTGGTCCCCCGTGGGAATCAAACCCCCACCCTGGCGTTGCAAGCGCCATGCTCTACCCACTGAGCTACATGGGACTAAATTAAATATCTAATTTAAAAGTATTCACACCCCTTTGCTGTGACACCCAAATTAAGCTCAGGTGCATCACATTTCCTTTGATCATCCTTGAGATGCCACTACACCTGTTGCCAATTCAATTGTTTGGACATGATTTAGAAAGAAACACACCTGTCTATATAAGGTCCCACAGTTGACAGTCCATGTCAGAGCGGAAACTTTACCATGAAGTCCAAGGAAGTGTCCGAAGATCTTTGAGATGTGTGGCATGTATCTGGGGAAATGTATAAAACAATTTCTAGAGTTTAGAAAGTTTCCAAGAGCATAGTGGTCGCCATCATTGGGAAATTGAAAAAATATGAAACTACCCAGACTCTGCCTAGAGCTGGCCGTCCGACCAAACTGAGCAACAGGGCAAGAAGAACCTTGGTCAGGGAGGTGACCAAGAACCCAATGAGCACTCTGACAGAACTACAGAGTTCCTTGGCTGAGATGGGAGAACCTGCCAGAAGGACAACAGTCTCTACAGCACTTCACCAATCAGGACTTTATGGGAGAGTGGCCAGATGGAAGCCACTCCTGAGAAAAAGGCACATGACAGCATGCCTGGAGTTAGCAAAAAAGCATGTGAAAGACTGAGATAGTAATGCAAAAGATTCTGTAGTCAGATTTATACTTTTTTTTAAACTCTATGGCCTGAATGCAAAGTGCTATGTCTGGAGAACCAGGCACAGCTCATCACCCATCTAACACCATCCCTACCGGGAAGCACGGTGGTGGCAGCATCATGCTATGGGGAAGCTTTTCAGTGGCAGGGACTGGGAGACTGGTAAGGATAGAGGACACAATGAATGGAGCCAAGTACAGGCATATCCTTGATGAGAACCTGTTTCGGAGTAGAAAGACGACCTTAGACTTGGGCGAAGACTTACATTCCTACAGGACAATGACCCCAAGTATACAGCCTTTTTTTACATTTTAGTCATTTTAGCAGACGCTCTTATCCAGAGTGCATACATTATTTATTTATTTTCATACTGGCCCCCCGTGGGAATCGAACCCACAACCCTGGCGTTGCAAACGCTATGCTCTACCAACTGAACTTCAGAACAAGAATGTGAATGTCCTTGAGTGGCCCAGCCAAAGCCCAGACTTGAATCCCATTTGAAAATCTATGGAAAGACTTGAAGATTGCTGTTGACCGCCGCTCCCCATCATAATTAACAGAGCTTGAGAAAATTCTCAAGGGAGAAGGGAGAAAATCCCCAAATCCAGATGTGCAAAGCTGATACAGACATACTCAAGACTACTCAAAGCTGTAATCGCCAAAGGTGCTCAGGGGTGTGAATACTTATGTAAATTAGATATTTCTGTATTTTTAATACATTTGCAAAACATTCTCAAAAAATGTTTTCACTTTGTCATTATGGGGTATTGTGTGAAGATGGGAGAAAAATTAATCTAATCCATTTAGAATTCAGGCTGTAACACAACAAATGTGGAATAAGTCAAGGGGCATGAATACTTTCTGAAAGCACTGTAAATGTCTATAAAAACTATCTAACTGATGGGATACACAAGCTTGCCAAAAGACGACAGTTTAATCACATTCAAAATTGACTGGTTGACTGAGGTAGGGAAATATGTGTTCCAACAACGAGAGCTGCAGTTTTGAAATATTTGCATCCTGTCTATTTTCTGCTTAGGCTACTTTCCCAAGTGCTAGTGCCATTTAGAACCCCCCTAAACATAGACGGTGAAAATAGACAGAGCGTATTTTCATCAGAATCATTAGCCTAGGCCTACTCACCAAACAGATGTTGTGGCCATAATTCATCCCCATGCAGTGTTCAATGTGGAATTGTTAATCCATTTGTAAAATTCCAAAGAACAGGCTAAATATACTAAATTGAACGTCTGTATATCGAAAATAAGACATGAAAAAACTGTCTTTGAACTCGCCAAATTGAGTCCCGTTTCAAATTATAACTCTTTGAGAATAACTGTTTCGACGCGAGATGCGCATCACTTCGTACTGTCAACTTTTTTTCATTTGGAAAAATATTATGTACCATTTTATTCTGTTATATTCAATGATGTATATAAACCCTGGTGCTGATGCTATGTATTGGCCATTAAGAGGCTTGGAAGCCACTGGACATCCATATTGGCACTCCCCAGCAGGAGCAGTCCTCCATAGGAATGAATGGAATTCTACAGTATTTCAATTAAATGTTTCAAGGACAAAATTACATTGTATTTAAGTATTTTTGTTGTTGTAGTGGGGACAGTAACAATAGTACTCTCTAAAAATATACTTTAAGGAACAGTATATACAGTGCCAGTCAAGTTTGGACACACCTACTATACATTGTAGAATAATAGTGAAGACATCAAAACTATGAAATAACACATATGGAATCATGTAGTAACCCAAAAAGTGTTAACCTCTTAAGGATCGGACCCCTTTTTTCAATTTTCGCCTAAAATGACATGCCCAAATCTAAATGCCTGTAGCTCAGGAGCTGAAGCAAGGATATGCATATTATTGATACCATTTGAAAGGAAACACTTTGAAATGTGAAATTAATGTAGGAGAATATAACACATAAGATCTGGTTAAAGATAATACAAACCAAAAAACATGTTTTTTTGTTTTGTTTTTTTTCATCTTTGAAATGCAAGAGAAAGGCCACAATATAATATTGCAGTTTAGACGCAATTTAGATATTGGCCACTAGATGGTAGCAGTGTGTGTGCAAAGTTTCAGATTGATCCAGTGAAGCGTTGCAATACTGGACAATTTTGTATCAAGTCTGCCCAAATGTGCCGAATTGGTCAGATGATATATTTTCAAGTACATAACTATAGAGAACATACAAAAATGATATGGTAATACAAAATGTAAGTTTATACACTCCCAGGAATGTCATACATGATGGATCATTAGCTTATACACTAACTTTCACATATCTAGATGGCCGGGCGGGGTGGGTGTGGAGCCAGAGACAGCAGGGGTTCAAACTACATATTCCTACATTTGAAAATAAAAATAGATTTTATCAAACAAAACTATGCAACATTTTATCTCTGGGACCCTTAGGATGACAAATCAGAGCAAGATTACTGAATGTAAGTACATTATTTACCTTCAGAGGTGAATGTATCAAACCAGTTGCCGTGATACATTTTTTGTTGATGTGCACTCTCCTCAAACAATGGCATGGTATTTTTTCACTTTAATAGCTACTGTAAATTGGACAGTGCAGTTAGATTAGCAAGAATCTAAGCTTCCTGCCCATATAAGACATGTATATGTCCTGGAAAGTTTGCTGTTACTTACAACAGTCATGCTAATCATATTAACGCACGTTAGCTCAACCGTCCCTTATACGGGACACCGATTCCGTAGAGGTTAAACAAATCAAAATATATTTTATATTTGAGATTCTTCAAAGGAGCCACCCTTTGCCTTGATGACAGCTTTGCACACGCTTGCCATTCTCTCAACCAGCTTCATGAGGTAGTCACCTGGAATGCATTTCAATTAACAGGTGTGCCTTGTTAAAAGTTAATTTGTGGAATTTCTTTCCTCCTTAATGCGTTTGAGCCAATCAGTTTTGTTGTGACAAGGCAGGGTTGGTATACAGAAGATAGCCCTATTTGGTAAAAGACCAAGTCCATATTATGGCAAGAACAGCTCAAATAAGTAAAGAGAAATGACAGTCCATCATTACTTTAAGACATGAAGGTCAGTCAATGCGGAAAATGTCAAGAACTTTGAAAGTTTCTTCAAGTGCAGTCTCAAAACCATCAAGCGCTATAATGAAACTGGCTCTCATGAGGACCGCCACAGGAAAGGAAGACCCAGAGTTACCTCTGCTGCAGAGGATAAGTTCATTAGAGTTACCAGCCTCAGAAATCAGCAATTAACTGCACCTCAGATTACAGCCCAAATAAATGCTTCACAGAGTTCAAGTAACAGACACATCTCAACATCAACTGTTCAGAGGAGACTGCGTGAATCAGGCCTTAATGGTCGAATTGCTGCAAAGAAACCACTACTAAAGGACACCAATACGAAGAAGAGACTTGCTTGGGCCAAGAAACACGAGCAATGGACATTAGACCGGTGGAAAGCTGTCCTTTGGTCTGATGAGTCCACATTTGAGATTTTTGGTTCTAACCGCCGTGTCTTTGTAAGACACAGAGTAGGTGAACGGATTATCTCCGCATGTGTTGTTCCAACCGTGAAGGAATGGAGGAGGAGGTGTGATGGTGTGGGTGTGCTTTGCTGGTGACACTGTCTGTGATTTATTTAGAATTCAAGGCACACTTAACCAGCATGGCTACCACAGCATTTTGCAGCAATACACCATCCCATCTGGTTTGCGCTTAGTGGGACTATCATTTGTTTTTCAACAGGACAATGACCCAAAACACACCTCCATGCTGTGTAAGGGCTATTTGACCAAGAAGGAGAGTGATGGAGTGCTGCATCAGATGACCAGGCTTCCACAATCACCCGACAACCCAATTGAGATGGTTTGGGATTAGTTGTGGTCATCTGTAGCTCAGCTGGTAGAGCATGGCGCTTGTAACGCCAAGGTATTGGGTTCGATCCCTGGGACCACCCATACACAAAAAAAAATAATATGCACGCATGACTGTAAGTCGCTTTGGATAAAAGCGTCTGCTAAATGGCATATTATTTATTATATTATGAGTTGGACCGCAGAGTGAAGGAAAAGCAGCCAACAAGTGCTCAGCATATGTGGGAACTCCTTCAAGCATTCCAGTTGACTACCTCATGAAGCTGGTTAAGAGTGTGCAAAGCTGTCATCAAGGCAAAGGGTGGCTACTTTGAAGAATCTAAAATCTAAAATATGTTTTGATTTGTTTAACACTTTTTGGGTTACTACATGATTCCATATGTGTTATTTCATAGTTTTGATGTCTTCACTATTATTCTACAATGTAGAAAATAGTAAAAATAAAGAAGAACCCTTGAATGAGTAGGTGTGTCCAAACTTTTTGACTGGTACTGTATATATATATACACAGTGGGGAGAACAAGTATTTGATACACTGCCGATTTTGCAGGTTTTCCTACTTACAAAGCATGTAGAGGTCTGTAATTTTTATCATAGGTACACTTCAACTGTGAGAGACAGAATCTAAAACAAAAATCCAGAAAATCACATTGTATGAAGTAATTAATTTGCATTTTATTGCATGACATAAGTATTTGATCACCTACCAACCAGTAAGAATTCCGTCTCTCACAGACCTGTTAGTTTTTCTTTAAGAAGCCCTCCTGTTCTCCACTCATTACCTGTATTAACTGCACCTGTTTGAACTCGTTACCTGTATAAAAGACACCTGTCCACACACTCAATCAAACAGACTCCAACCTCTCCACAATGGCCAAGACCAGAGAGCTGTGTAAGGACATCAGGGATAAAATTGTAGACCTACACAAGGCTGCGATGGGCTACAGGACAATAGGCAAGCAGCTTGGTGAGAAGGCAACAACTGTTGGCGCAATTATTAGAAAATGGAAGAAGTTCAAGATGACGGTCAATCACCCTCGGTCTGGGGCTCTATGCAAGATCTCACCTCGTGGGGCATCAATGATCATGAGGAAGGTGAGGGATCAGCCCAGAACTACACGGCAGGACCTGGTCAATGACCTGAAGAGAGCTGGGACCACAGTCTCAAAGAAAACCATTAGTAACACACTACGCCGTCATGGATTAAAATCCTGCAGCGCACGCAAGGTCCCCCTGCTCATGCCAGCGCATGTCCAGGCCCGTCTGAAGTTTGCCAATGACCATCTGGATGATCCAGAGGAGGAATGGGAGAAGGTCATGTGGTCTGATGAGACAAAAATAGAGCTTTTTGGTCTAAACTCCACTCGCCGTGTTTGGAGGAAGAAGAAGGATGAGTACAACCCCAAGAACACCATCCCAACCGTGAAGCATGGAGGGGGAAACATCATTCTTTGGGGATGCTTTTCTGCAAAGGGGACAGGACGACTGCACCGTATTGAGGGGAGGATGGATGGGGCCATGTATCGCGAGATCTTGGCCAACAACCTCCTTCCCTCAGTAAGAGCATTGAAGATGGGTCGTGGCTGGGTCTTCCAGCATGACAACGACCCGAAACACACAGCCAGGGCAACTAAGGAGTGGCTCCGTAAGAAGCATCTCAAGGTCCTGGAGTGGCCTAGCCAGTCTCCAGACCTGAACCCAATAGAAAATCTTTGGAGGGAGCTGAAACTCCATATTGCCCATCGACAGCCCCGAAATCTGAATGATCTGGAGAAGGTCTGTATGGAGGAGTGGGCCAAAATCCCTGCTGCAGTGTGTGCAAACCTGGTCAAGACCTACAGGAAACGTGTGATCTCTGTATTTGCAAACAAAGGTTTCTGTACCAAATATTAAGTTCTGCTTTTCTGATGTATCAAATACTTATGTCATGTCAAATTAATTACTTAAAAATCATACAATGTGATTTTCTGGATAACCTGCAAAATCGGCAGTGTATCAAATACTTGTTCTCCCACTGTGTATATTTATATATTTTTATGTTTAGCTCGCATAATATAATTTAAAAGTATGCATTAAGGTGTCTGTAATAGAATAAACGTGTCAAAACGAATGTAGACAATTAATAAATGCATTTCTATAGCTTTCAAATTATTTTCTACAATGGAGGAGGATTGCCAAGATGGCTGTGTGGTCGCTTCAATATAGCGCCCCCTGTCAGTCATCCAGTGTTTATACACATTATTGGTTATACAGTGCATTCGGAAAGTATTCAGACCCCTTGACTTTTTCCACATTTTGTTACGTTACAGCCTTATTCTAAAATGTATGAAATATATTTTTTTAAATCCTCATCAATCTACACACAATACCCCATAATGACTAAGCAAAAACACATTTTTAGACATTTAAGCAAATTTATAAAAAATTTAAAACAAATCTTATTTACATAAGTATTCAGACCCTTTGCTATGAGACTCAATTGAAATCAGATGCATCCTGTTTCCATTGATCATCCTTGATGTTTCTACAACTTGATTGGAGTCCACCTGTGGTAAATTCAATTGATTAGACATGATGTGGAAAAGCAAACACCTGTCTATCTAAGGTCCCACAGTTGACAGTGCATGTCAGAGCAAAAACCAAGTCATGAGGTCGAAGGAATTGTCCGTAGAGCTCAAAGACAGGATTGTGTCGAGGCACAGATCTGGGGAAGGGTACAAAAAAATTTCTGCAACATTGAAGGTCCCCAAGAACACAGTGGCCTCCATCATTCTTAAATGGAAGAAGTTTAGAACTCTTCCTTGAGCTGAGCAATCGGGGGAGTAGGGCCTTGGTCAGGGAGGTGACCAAGAACCCGATGGTCACTCTGACAGAGCTCTAGAGTTCCTCTGTGGAGATGGGAGAAACTTCCAGAAGGACGACCATCTCTGCAGCACTCCAGCAATCAGGCCTTTATGGTAGAGTGGCTAGACGGAAGTCTAGAGTTTGCCAAAAGGCACCTAAAGACTCTCAGACCATGAGAAACAAGACTCTCTGGTCTGATGAAACCAAGATTGAACTATTTTTGCCTGAATGCCAAGCGTCACGTCTGGAGGATACCTGGCAGCATCCCTACGGTGAAGCATGGAGGTGGCAGCATCATGCTGTGGGGATGTTTTTCAGCGGCAGGGACTGGGAGACAATATTATTATTATTATTTTTTTTCACCTTTATTTAACCAGGTAAGCCAGTTGAGAACAAGTTCTCATTTACAACTGCGACCTGGCCAAGATAAAACAACAAACACAGAGTTACATATGGAATAAACAAAACGTACAGTCAATAACACAATAGAACATATATATACAGTATGTGCAAATGTAGTAAGTTATGGAGGTAAGGCAATAAATAGGCCATAGTGCAAAATAATTACAATTTAGTATTAACACTGGAGTGATAGATGTGCAGAAGATGATGTGCAAATAGAGATACTGGGGTACAAATGAGCAAAATAAATAACAATATAGGGATGAGGTAGTTGGGTGGGCTAATTTCAGATGGGCTGTGTACAGGTGCAGTGATCGGTAAGCTGCTCTGACAACTGATGCTTAAAGTTAGTGAGGGAGATAAGTGTCTCCTGTTTCAGAGATTTTTGCAGTTCGTTCCAGTGATTTGCAGCAGAGAACTGGAACGAATGGCGGCCAAAGGAGGTGTTGGCTTTGGGGATGACCAGTGAGATATACCTGTTGGAACGCATACTACGGGTGGGTGTTGCTATGGTGACCAATGATCTAAGATAAGGCGGGGATTTGCCTAGAAGTGATTTATAGATGACCTGGAGCCAGTGGGTTTGGCGTCAAATATATAGTGAGGGCCAGCCAACGAGAGCTTACAGGTCACAATGGTGGGTAGTATATGGGGCTTTGGTGACTAGTCAGGATTGAGGGAAAGATAAATGGAGCAAAGTACAGAGAGATCCTTGATGAAAACCTGCTCTAGAGCGCTTAGGACATCAGACTGGGGTGAAGGTTCACCTTCCAACAGGACAACAACCCTAAGCACACAGCCAAGACAATGCAGGAGTGGCTTCGGGACAAGTCTCTGAATGTCCTTGAGTGGCCCAGTCAGAGCCCGGACTTGAACCCGATTTGAACATCTCTGGAGAGACCTGAAAATAACTGTGCAGCGACGCTCCCCATCCAACCTGACAGAGCTTGAGAGGATCTGCAGAGAAGAATGGGAGAAACTCCCCAAATACAAGTGTGCCAAGCTTGTAGCGTCATACCCAAGAAGACTCGAGGCCGTAGTCGCTGTTTTTTTTAATACATTTGCAAAAATTTATAAAAACCAGTTTTTGCTTTGTCATTATGGGATATTGTGTGTAGATTGATGAGGGGAAAAACAACCTAACAAAATGTGGAAAAAGTCAGGTGGTCTGAATACTTTCCGAAGGCACTGTATTACATAATTTTGATAAAATAGGTGTGTCTTTACTGTGATAAGGGCTCGGAAATAAGTGTCTTGTCTGCTAAATTAACAAAGCAAGACTATGCCAATGCACAGCCATAGGCTTCTACAAGCAAGTGCCACTGGTGAGGTTGCTGCCGTTTTGAAGATTGTGTTCCACAATATAATGTAACTAGTAGGGCTGTCAAATGATTAACATTTTTAATCAAATTAATCAGAATTTTCAGTGGATTAATCATGATTAATCACTATTTGCAATTACACCTGAATCCTAACCATTTTTTTTCTGAAATGCATACCAAAAGATAAATAACAGGACACAGATACATAATTTTCATATTATGTCTGTTTATTAACACAGCCAAATAATGGTGTTTTAAATCAAGCTGAAACATACTACACACCATAATATTTGTCTTTGGCTGTGGCTCTTGACGGTGGCTTATAGAATGAGTCTTGAGACGCCACTTGCAAAACATCAAGGAAACCTGAGTCTTCTACAATGCTAATGGGTCTACAATCCTTTGCAATCCATTTTGCTATTGTGTTGGTCAAATTATCTGAGGTTGATTTTGTTAATTGCCTGCAAACATTCAGCGTGGTCTGGCGCAAACCACTTGCTGAATCTGACGGCCCAGCAAACGCATGTTTGGCGTTGACATGGTACTTCAAGCTTGAACAGCTCCGGTGAAATTGAAACTCCTTCTTACAAATCTTGCAAATAACCTTGTACTTGTTAACTGTACCATCATCATTCTTTTTATATTTGAATCCGTCAATAGGCCCACTTTGCTCACCGTTGCTCCATCTCGCCTCTAGCTCCCAACCACTTTCCTGACCTGAATAATTTGTCACACTGCGCATGCGTGAAATGCGTTAAAAAAATTGACGTAATTAACAGCAAACAACTAATTAACGTCGTTAACGCGCTATTTTTGACAGCCCTAGTAACTAGTTGATATTACGGTTTCAATAAATTAGTCTTAAATGGCATTTTTTTATTGAATGAATATACGCTGAGTATACAAAACATTTAAGAACACCTGTTCTGGGTATCCCGAGTGGCGCAGCGATCTAAGGCACTGCATCGCAGTGCTAGAGGCGTCACTACAGACCCAGGTTCGATCCCAGGCTGTATCACAACCGGCTGTGATCGGGAGTCCCATAGGGTGGCGCACAATTGGCCCAGCGTCGTCCGGGTTAGGGGAGGGTTTGGCTGAGGGGGCTTTACTTGGCTCATGGCGCTCTAGCGACTCCTTGTGGCGGGCTGGGTGCCTGCAGGCTGACCTCAGTCGTCAGGTGAACAGTGTTTCCTCCGACCCATTGGTGCGGCTGGCTTCCGGGTTAAGTGGGCAGGTGTTTTAGAAGCGCGTTTTGGCGGGTCATGTTTCGGAGGACGCATGACTCGACCTTCGCCTCCCGAGCCCGTTGGGGAGTTGCAGCGATGAGACAAGATCGAACAAGAGGGTAAAATAAAAACACCTGGTCTTTCCATGACATAGACTGACCAGGTGAAAGCTATGATCCCTTATTGATGTCACTTGTTAAATCCTCTTCAATCAGTGTAGATGAAAGGGAGGAGACAGGTTAAAGAAGGATTTTTAAGTCTTGACAATTGAGACATGGATTGTGTATGTGTGCCATTCAGAGGGTGAATGGACAAGACAAAATATTTAAGTGCCTTTGAATGGGGTATGGTAGTAGGTGCCAGGCGCACTGGTTTGTGTCAAGCACTGCAACGCTACTGGGTTTTTCACGCTCAACAGTTTCCTGTGTGTATCAAGAATGGTCCACCACCCAAAGGACATCCAGCCAACTTGACACAACTGTGGGAAGCATTGGAGTCAACATGGGCCAGCATCCATGTGGAATGCTTTTGACACCTTGTAAAGTCCATGCCCTGACAAATTGAGGCTGGTCTGAGGGGAAAAGAGGGGGTGCAGCTCAATATTAGGAATGTTTTCTTTATGTTTGGTGTACTCAGTGTATATGTGGCAATTTAGCAATTCAGATTTGTTATCCTGTAATGGCTATGTTATATTAGGCATTGTTGTTGGCATATAGATAAATGCGCTTTTTTTTTTCCAGTGTGGGCCTGAGTACTCAGAAAAAAATCATCTGAGTACTCGAACAGTCAGAAAATGTCAAATGCCCATCCTAGTTCACGTACCACTATCCCGAATACATGTGCTCTCCCTTCCTTTCTGTCCCGCTCCCGCTCCCTGTCCCTCTCTACTCTCCCTCCCAGGCTGGACCGGACCCAGAACCTGCTGTACGAGAGCACCAGGGACTTCCTACAGCTGAAGTTTGAGACGCGGGCCCAGGAGAAGGGCTGGATGGTGGAGAAGGACCGGCTGCTGCGAGAGCTGGACTCAACCCAGGACCGTCTGAGGAAAGACAGTGATGGTCACGGGAGGGAGCAGCCGGGACCAGGATCCAGAGGACACAGCAGCAGCATGGCCCTGCTCCTAACCCAGCCCCAGCCTGACACACAGCACGTCCACAGGGAGGAGATCAGGGTGAGTAGTGGTACACATGCTTCAGATCAGAGGTCTTACATAATTGGGATCATGTCCCACCCAACACCTCAAATAAAGGAGGGTCTCTTCTTTAAAGTGGTGTTAAAAGCGCGGCTGTTGCGGTGACCATATTACCGCTGTCAAATTCCACGTGACCGTCACGGTAACTAGGCTTCTCCAAATCTGCGCTCTGATAGTCATTAGTAGCCTACCAAACTTGCTAATGGCCTGGTACTTAGCGCTCTATTGTCTCTCTAATCACTCTGACATCTATGCAAATGTAATCGAAAATCAAATCAAGCACTTCATTAGAGCCCTGGCGTTCAGAGTTGGAGTGGAATATGATCATCATCTGTTGCACAGCGAGAGCCAGCTCCTCATAGCTGGTTGATGCATGGAATGAAATGTGTTCCTATAATCCCATGTTGCATAACATTTCTATAGGCTATGTAATTGCGTGAGAAAACAGTTCTGATGGCCTCTATTAAAAAGAGGAAGATCCCATCAGCTTTCTATAGGCTAACAATATTTATTTAGGAACTTTCCTAATATTAAGCACATTGCTTTGCTTTACAACCGGAGTCGCCTACCTGGCTGGCATGAAAATGAACCTTGGGAAAAGCGTCCTCCATTCCCTATTTAAGTGCATACGGATTACGTCTTTTTTTCCCTGCCCCTGTTTCAACAGGTGCATGATAATGGTCTATTCTAAATCAAAACTAATGTCACACATATTATATGTAAAGACAAGATTAAATTGAGAATAGTCTGATGGGTGAGAATGTTATCACTTGTGAATGATACCCTGCGTGTGCAGTCTAAGGCAAGAAACAGCGCATGCATTTTTTGCAACTTTTTAAAAATCATAGACGCAAGCATCACGTAGCCTAGCCTATAGGCCTATATGTTTAGATAAGGTTTGTATCACAACTGAAGTGGCCAAATAACCCTGAGAGTAGCCTATAGGCCTCGGACCTCTGGAACAGGGTTGGAGAGCCCATAGCCTACAGAGCATAGTGAAAGGTGTTCTTATAAGCCCAGTCATTGTGGAATCGACTGGCCACTATTTAAAATAGGATCCCAGCTTTCTCTTCTGCTAAAATGAAGCACATTAATCCGCTTTACAAATGGTGTAGCCTACCTGGCATATTAAAAACGTAGGGTGGCTTGGAGTTAAACGCCCCCCTCCTGTAATTCTCACAGAAACCATTTTGTCACCCAAAATAATTTCAATACTTTCCCTGGATGCCTTGTCTTGCTCAACTAAAAATATAATCTGTATCATCTCAACTTTTTAAGTCACTCCAACAAAACTATTTTGCAGTACTAATATTTTGTCATATAGAAAAAGTTATATATATATATACATACAGTGGGGAGAACAAGTATTTGATACACTGCCGATTTTGCAGGTTTTCCTATTTACAAAGCATGTAGAGGTCTGTCATTTTTATCATAGGTACACTTCAACTGTGAGAGACAGAATCTAAAACAAAAATCCAGAAAATCACATTGTAGGCCACTCCAGGACCTTGAGATGCTTCTTACGGAGCTACTCCTTAGTTGCCCTGGCTGTGTGTTTCGGGTCGTTGTCATGCTGGAAGACCCAGCCACTACCCATCTTCAATGCTCTTACTGAGGGAAGGAGGTTGTTGGCCAAGATCTCGCGATACATGGCCCCATCCATCCTCCCCTCAATACGGTGCAGTCATCCTGTCCCCTTTGCAGAAAAGCATCCCCAAAGAATGATGTTTCCACCTCCATGCTTCACGGTTGGGATGGTGTTCTTGGGGTTGTACTCATCCTTCTTCTTCCTCCAAACACGGCGAGTGGAGTTTAGACCAAAAAGCTATATTTTTGTCTCATCAGACCACATGACCTTCTCCCATTCCTCCTCTGGATCATCCAGATGGTCATTGGCAAACTTCAGACGGGCCTGGACATGCGCTGGCTTGAGCAGGGCGACCTTGCATGCGCTGCAGGATTTTAATCCATGACAGCGTAGTGTGTTACTAATGGTTTTCCTTGAGACTGTGGTCCCAGCTCTCTTCAGGTCATTAACCAGGTCCTGCCGTGTAGTTCTGGGCTGATCCCTCACCTTCCTCATGATCATTGATGCCCCACGAGGTGAGATCTTGCATGGAGCCCCAGACCGAGGGTGATTGACCGCCATCTTGAACTTCTTCCATTTTCTAATAATTGCGCCAACAGTTGTTGCCTTCTCACCAAGCTGCTTGCCTATTGTCCTGTAGCCCATCCCAGCCTTGTGCAGGTCTACAATTTTATCCCTGATGTCCATACACAGCTCTCTGGTCTTGGCCATTGTGGAGAGGTTGGAGTCTGTTTGATTGAGTGTGTGGACAGGTGTCTTTTATACAGGTAACGAGTTCAAACAGGTTTAGTTAATACAGGTAATAAGTGGAGAACAGGAGTGCTTCTTAAAGAAAAACTAACAGGTCTGTGAGAGCCGGAATTCTTACTGGTTGGTAGGTGATCAAATACTTATGTCATGCAATAAAAATGCAAATTAATTACTTAAAAATCATACAATGTGATTTTCTGGATTTTTAGATTCCGTCTCTCACAGTTGAAGTGTACCTATGATAAAAATTACAGACCTCTACATGCTTTGTAAGTACGAAAACCTGCAAAATCGGCAGTGTATCAAATACTTGTTCTCCCCACTGTATATATACACAGTGAGGGAAAAAAGTATTTGATCCCCTGCTGATTTTGTACGTTTGCCCACTGACAATGAAATGATCAGTCTATAATTTTAATGGTAGGTTTATTTGAACAGTGAGAGACAGAATAACAACAAAAAAATCCTGAAAAATGCATGTCAAAATGTTATAAATTGATTTGCATTTTAATGAGGGAAATAAGTATTTGACAACCCTCTCAATCAGAAAGATTTCTGGCTCCCAGGTGTCTTTTATACAGGTAACGAGCTGAGATTAGGAGCACACTCTTAAAGGGAGTGCTCCTAATCTCAGTTTGTTACCTGTATAAAAGACACCTGTCCACAGAAGCAATCAATCAATCCGATTCCAAACTCTCCACCATGGCCAAGACCAAAGAGCTCTCCAAGGATGTCAGGGACAAGATTGTAGATCTACACAAGGCTGGAATGGGCTACAAGACCATCGCCAAGCAGCTTGGTGAGAAGGTGACAACAGTTGGTGTGATTATTCGCAAATGGAAGAAACTGTCAATCTCCCTCAGCCTGGGTGTCCATGCAAGATCTCACCTCGTGGAGTTACAATGATCATGAGAACGGTGAGGAATCAGCCCAGAACTACACGGGAGGATCTTGTCAATGATCTCAAGGCAGCTGGGACCATAGTCACCAAGAAAACAATTGGTTACACACTACGCCGTGAAGGACTGAAATCCTGCAGCGCCCGCAAGGTCCCCCTGCTCAAGAAAGTACATATACAGGCCCGTCTGAAGTTTGCCAATGAACATCTGAATGATTCAGAGGAGAACTGGGTGAAAGTGTTGTGGTCAGATGAGACCAAAATCGAGCTCTTTGGCATCAACTCAACTCGCCGTGTTTGGAGAAGGAGGAATGCTGCTTATGACCCCAAGAACACCATCCCCACTGTCAAACATGGAGGTGGAAACATTATGCTTTGGGGGTGTTTTTCTGCTAAGGGGACAGGACAACTTCACCGTATCAAAGGGACAATGGACGGCGCCATTTACCGTCAAATCTTGGGTGAGAACCTCCTTCCCTCAGCCAGGGCATTGAAAATGGGTCGTGGATGGTATTCCAGCATGACAATCACCCAAAACACACGGCCAAGGCAACAAAGGAGTGGCTCAAGAAGAAGCACATTAAGGTCCTGGAGTGGCCTAGCCAGTCTCCAGACCTTAATCCCATAGAAAATCTGTGGAGGGAGCTGAAGGTTTGAGTTGCCAAACGTGAGCCTCGAAACCTTAATGACTTGGAGAAGATCTGCAAAGAGGAGTGGGACAAAATCCCTCCTGAGATGTGTGCAAACCTGGTGGCCAACTACAAGAAACGTCTGACCTCTGATTGCCAACAAGGGTTTTGCCACCAAGTACTAAGTCATGTTTTGCAGAGGGGTCAAATACTTATTTCCCTCATTTAAAATGCAAATCAATTTATAATATTTTTTGTTGTTATTCTGTCTCTCACTGTTCACATAAACCTACCATTAATATTATTGACTGATCATGTCTTTGTCAGTGGGCAAACGTACAAAATCAGCAGGGGATCAAATACTTTTTCCCCCTCACTGTATGTATATATATATATATATATATATATATATACAGTACCAGTCAAAAGTTTGGACACACAGACTCATTCAAGGGTTTTTCTTTAGTTTTACTATTTTCTACACTGTAGAATAATAGTGAAGACATCAAAACTATGAAATAACACATATGGAATCATGTAGTAACCAAAAAAGTGTTAAACAAATCAAAATATATTTTATATTTGAGATTCTTCAAATAGCCACCCATTGCCTTGATGACAGCGTTGCACACTCTTGGCATTCTCAGTCAAGGCGTCTGAATACTTTCCGAATGCACTGTATGTTAGCATTTTCCAAATCATCTATAAGCTCCAGAGTGGCGCAGCGGTCTAAGGCACTGCATCTCAGTGCTTGAGGCGTCACTACAGACCCCCCTGGTTCGATTCCAGGCTGTATCACAACCGGCCGTGATTGGGAGTCCCATAGGGCTGTGCACAATTGGCCCAGCGTCGTCCGGGTTTGGCCGGTGTAGGCCGTCATTGTAAATAAGAAATTGTTCTTAACTGACTTGCCTAGTTAAATAAATAAAATAAAAAAGTCACTTCTTTGCTACTGTTAAGAGAATTCCTATCTCTAATTCAACCTAAGCTTGAATCATTACCAGAGGTTGTAAGGCTCTGGTTTTAATCATAAATGATTCAAGGTCCACAACCAACAAGGATTATCTGTATCTTTATTCATGGAGAGCTCTGGCGCCAAAACCCATACCCTCCTGTTTTATACCTCTTGACACACAAAGGCACTTTGCTCCGCCCACCTTTAGGAGGCTTTCTTAAACAGTTTCCACCTTTCTCCTTCACCCTGGAATGTTTAGTCCCGCCCCCCCCCCTCTGTTAGTGGGTTGATAATTGTTACACAGTTTACACATTTATACTGTATTTGGGGTGAAATCCTTTAGTCATTATTCTTAAAATACAAATTAATCTATCAATCCACCCCTTTGACTAAATGGTTTCATTTTCAGGATAAATGTATTACATATTCAGGATAAATCTCAGAGATCACGTCAGAACTAATAAACATTTCATCCAATTGCGGTCTTTCAGGGTCCAAATCCTCGTCATCCACCAAGCCTGGAGGATCGTTTTTTCACATTCCCCTGGTCAGAGTCCGGAGTCAGTCCATCTTTCATCATTGTTTAGATACTGCATTTCACCAACGCCTGATTCACCAATCCTCGGACACAGGGAACAAGACAACAACCACATAATACAAGAATACCCATACAAACACTGACCGCTCCTAAGATGGTGGCTGCTATGGTTTTCCATTTACCAAATATTTCCTCAAACCACCCTATCCACGATGTACTAACTTCTGAGTTCTCAGTTCATTCTTCACTTAGTGCAGTTAATTCTGTAAGAGCTCTGGTGACTGTCCCATCCAGTGTGGTGTTGTTAGGGATAAATGTGCAACAATGGCTTATCATTCTATAGACACCGGCCCTTTCTGCCTGATCTAGAACCATCATCTACTAAGTTATGAGCGGGATGGCGGATAATTGCTCGAAGATCCCCTTTACTGCATCTCTAGTCTGGTCAATAAATCGTTGTTGGTTGTAATAGATATAATTTATCCAATCAACATTTTTGTTTATTGTCACCCACCAGAAAAATGTTGTGGTAAAACCCTCCCATATTTGATTCATAGCTTTGTATTCGTCTGGAACACCCCTGGGGATGCCTATACCATCTTTCCAAATTGGGCTATTTCCTTCCTGACCTATATTTCTCCTCCTCCTGATTATTCTTCCTGTCACTGGTCTTTGATGACTAATTCTTACAGGTTTGGACGGACCAACAATACTGGTGCACAAGTACCCACCCATCCTTCTGGTAATGTCTGTCGAATGCTCCCTTTGTTAGTGCATGCCCACCACACATCAGTCAGAGGGATGGTAAGGTTCCTAATTTTTCCCCTCCCTTCCTTATCTAAATCAGTGACATTAATTATCTCTTTACAGCCATCAAAATCACCCAAGTTACGGGTGCCATTTCTATGTCTGTAACACTGGTATTCGCCAGGAGTTAAAGTGAATCTAGGTGGGCTGGCCGAGTATGTCAATTTTGCCAGCCCAATCCCTGTGCAATTTGGCTCTTTTTGATTGGACCCCAGGTCTAATACACAGGGAAACATTGCCTTTGGCATTGGGGCGTTCAACATTGTCGGTCGCCCAATTGAGCATGTATAACAATTGGTCTCCCCCAAGGCCCTAGCGGTGTACTTCATCCACTTTAACCAGAGATTCTCATCAGGGACCCCCTCCACTTCCCCTTGGTTCCATTCTTGGAGGAGAAAATCTTTCATAGTGGACGGGTTAGTCGAATTGACTCCGTCATCCCTTGACTGATCTACTCGGTCTATTGCTATTAATGGATTAATGACAGTACCTGTGCCCTCCATATCTTTTGACTCCATCAAATGTAATCTTAGACAAGTATCCCATCCGTATTCGTCCGCGCAAGCCCAGTAAGTTATTTTCATGTCCTCTTTAGTGACCTTTACTATTGTTACTACCATCTCCGTGGGGATGTCGTTATACCTTCTTATCCTCCATCTGGACGTCCAGCCCCCCCCCCCCCCCCCGTCTCATATCTCCGTCCCCCAGTTTGTCTAAATACCTGAGCCCAGGAACAATCCGCCGAGGGAGCTGAACATAAATACAATGGGATTTTATAATCCCACGTTGCTTGCTTATCCGTCCTGATAAGATCCCTAATCCTAATTTTGAATCTTACTCCCCACCCTTCTCTGACTCCTATTTTGTAGATCACTCGTCCTTGACGGTCAGTATGTCGGGTCGCTTCCCTTTTATTTCTTAATAATGGTATGGCCATAGCGTAATTGGTGCGAGGTGGTGGTGGATCTTGACATACCAAGACTATTGCCGAGACTATGATGCAGCTCAGGGTCACCCATATTCCCCAAAACCGCCAACCCTCTCCTGCCTTTAGTCCTTCTGCTTGGTACCACCCCATACTCACACCCTAAGAACACACTACAGTGATGATAGGTCGGGGTAGGAGATCTTCGTTGACAGAGGTGATCCCCGGACCCTATTGGTCTAGTTCTGCTCTCCAACTCTGCGTGTGCTAAGTGGTGCTTGTATGTGGTCTTACCTTCTTGCAGTGGGTAACATGGACCCAGGTTCCTCTCTCTGCTATTCTAATGGCAAAGGCGGTGACCAATATAACCTGATAGGGCCCTTCCCAACAGGCCTGCTTCCAGTTTTCCTTCTAGTGACTGGATGCTCACCAGTCACCTGGTTAGATAGTGGGTCACCTTCTCCTTTAGTTCACCTGTGGGGCACAAATCCTCTGACATACGGGTGTGGTTAATAAACTATCTTCACACATGTTCAGATTAATCTAACAATTTCTGACTGCATTCTCTTTCTAGACTGTATCTAAAAAAAATGTTTTTTAAAGTATTTTGTCCTCTCCTTCATATATTATTTAATCCTACAATTAGCCTCTTCCCCCCTCTTGACACATAGTTCTGCTCATGTGTCAATATTACCACCTACCTAACCATTCCCTTAGGTAATTTATCAACCAATTGCCATGCCTTTCATTTTTGAGATTGTCTTTTGCTTCTTTATTGCTCCTCCCACTTCCTTTGTCTTTATGGCGGCTAAATTCGACTTTCATTCAGTTCAGAATCAATTAGTAATCCAATCAATCAATCTCTTATCTTGTAAAAACACTTATGTTTAGTTCAAACTCTGTTCTACCCCGGCTCTCCCGGGCTTGACCTGAAGACTGATTGTTGGAGATGACAATTCCATATTTAGGTCACCTAAGTCTTCTGCCTAGCAACAAAGAATAAAAACCTCTATGTTCGTGATTAACCCAGTTATATCTAATAGCCCACCAAAAAAAACCTCATCATCTTTAAATCACGACCAATGTCATATTCCTCTTTACTCTCTACCATTTGGGTAACATCCCTGATATATGTATGCCTCCTTAGAGTTCTAAATGATTTTACCATGGGCTGCCATTGCCTTCCCATAGATAAGATCACTTAATTTACCCGTATGCAGTACATAATGGAGTACCCAAGCTTTACAGCAGTCTATCATCACCAAAAAGCTCTGAATTCTTCATCTATTTATTTTTATTTTTCCTCTAGTCCCTATCTTCCTGATCCTATTGCTAAATCAATGATCTAGGCAATAGCTGTCTCGCCTTAGATTGTACATTCCTCTGATTACTGCAGCTTATTGCATTAATTTAGGTTCAAATATCCCCCAACAAACCATTCCATCCCACAGCATAGCAAACACCACCTATGAACTGTTGAAAATCCCCTAAATTCAACATAACAACCCTTTATAAACATCATGCTAGGTGTGTTGTTTTTTTATTTGAAAAACCCAATTGAAAAACAACAATCAAAGATAGCCAGGCTCAACTTAATTTGGTAGCTCCCTTCTATGACCTAAATACTGCCTAACTTCACTACTGCTCCCCCTTAGCAACATTCCAATGAGATAAGCTAATCTCTTCCTCCTGGTTATACATTTTGTTAACCTTCAATTACCATCAGTAATCTAAAGATGGTAGTACACACAAAACATGATACAGATATCCCCAGTCCTAACCCATCAATAGTGTTTGTATCAATCTAATTCCTCATAACTAATCCATAAAACCACTCAAAATTCCTCGAATATCCAATGATTATTTAATTGATTACCCTAAATCTGCTACATGTGATCTCATTTCAAATGATCCATTATCCATTATTTGTTCAACCCCCTAGGAAAATATGTCTCCCCTTCTATTGTTCCTGTCCCCCTTGTAAATGTCATATTTCAGTTTTTAGCCAATACAATCACGGTTACATCAAATGTTCCCTCAGTTAATGGTATTTTCTCCCTAATATTTCATACTCTTCTTATTTCCCTAAATGAGATTGAATCCCTTGCCTTTCCTCTACTATCCTTCTATCATTACTGAATCAATGATAATAACTGTAATAACTATCAATAATAATTGTAATAACTATTACAAATTATATTGTGCCCTTTTTCTGATGTTATAATTGTAGCCTATTCCATCACTTTAGTTTAAAATATATGTTTCTTTATAACAAATCCAGAACCCACCACAGGCTGGCCCTATTCCCCCAGCACAACAGCCAATGCCACTTGCTTCCCCGTAACGAAAATAAATTATCGTTCCAAAATTTTCCAACTATTTGTATTTTCCCGCTAACCCATTTCAGTTCACTATTCAATCTATTTAACCGTTCTCTCTGATTCGGCCCCAATCAATAAAAGAAATACTTGATATCGTTGATAAGCATACACTTAATGACATTCCTACCATCTGAACTATGTATTGTCTCTCACCTCTCCCCCCCCTCTCCTGCTCCTTCCTACATTATTGGGGAGGCGCGGGACCTTCCCTACACATTTTCCTTCTTAGGAAATAATGTCATTCGTACTTGTAACATATTTTCATAGACCTATCTAGAATACTACTAAAGCTATCTAATGCAACTTTTAATACACGTAAAAACTCTCTCTTCCTACACCCATTCCCCATTGAATAAGTGCGTCTTCCTAGTTACCCCATAACCACGCCTCAAATCTTTTATTCAGCATTTAACCAACCAAATACTAAGTAGTATCCGGTTATCATTCATACCCGCCGTTGAATTCCCTCATACACACATATTTCACCTTATGCCATTCAAATGCCGAACAAAACATAATAGTTCAATGGAACCCTCTATTGGCTCTCTACTATTTATACATTACTTCTATAACCACTTTAGTTATGGTCCGATTACCCATTAAACCTTATCACATAACCTTATCACCTAATCAAACAACGGCACAACCTTAAACTCATCCCCGCCGGCTGGTAGCCCAGTAACCAAGCGCACCGTCTCAGTAACCGAGGTCGCCGGCTCCAACTCCCGAGCCGACCAGGCGAAAAATCTGCCGATGTGCCCCCAAGCAAGGCACCCAACCCCCACTGCTCCTGCAAGTCGCTCCAGACCAGAGCGTCTGCCAAATGATCAAAAATGCAAATGTAAATATTCTCTACTTTCTCACTCATGACGTACGTCTACGTTTGAGTGAGAAAGTTCATACATATGCATCGTTGGAATTTTATAGGTACCTCTCAAATAATCGCTTCGTGGTGTTTTTAGCCAATTCTTAATCGACACGAATCATTTTTTCAAACATTTTACCCGTTGAACCAAAAAATTGACTGTCCTATCTCCGACACTGCCCTTTCCTTTACCCCTGCAGTCAAGATGGTTAAATATTCCTTTGTTACCGTTAAAGCACTTTCGCGCTTAAAAAAGACCCTCGCTGTCTCTAGCCCCTCCCCTCGCTGTTTTTTCAAATCCGTTCCACAGTTTACATGCAATCATAACTTCACATTTTTAATCTAGATGCCCAATAAATCTGTACCTCTTCTCCCAAATGGATCCATAAAACATATTTCTTCGATCTCTTCCTAACATATATCTTTCATCCCCCGTTAATTCTCGGACCTCTTTAGAAGATTTATTTCCCATGGTGGAAAAATAAGAAATCCCCCCGTTTAGTAATAATTCCCAGAATTATTCTCCTAGGAGCTATTATTTTAGTGCGTCTCTTGAGCCAATGTATGATCTGCTTTTGTAATTAACCATTTAAAATTATTTAACCCCTAACCCAGAGTTTTTTATTTAAAACTCCGGTTTCATGAAAAGAGTCAGATAACCATTTTTTCTCACGCGACTTATTTTTAGCTCCTTCCTTGAAACAATTATCACGTATTCCGATGGATTCATAAATCTCACACGTACACAACATTATACAATCATTTGCCAAACCTATTTGTAACCTAGAGGTCGTAACTGCTCCAGTTTACAGAGTTATAGCAAATCCCCAGTTGTTTACGCGACTTTTGACCTGTTTAATGTATCCATAGCACACAATGAAAATCATCCCCTCCCTGTTTATTGTAACATTGTACCCAGTACAATCTCAATAAAAACTAGTTTACATTGGTGATGGCCATTCACCCCGGGTCATTTCGGACTAGATTATTTTGGTAATAGCTATTTACCTAGGGTCAATTTCGGACCCTCCCCATTTAGTAATAATTATTACTTCCTTTGAGATTTTGGTAACTATTCTCTGCCCTTCACAATAATTACTTATTCTTATACAAGTTCAAATCATTTCACCAAAATCCATGAATAAAAATTACTGACCTTTTCCTTGCAGTTTGGATTTAAATGCTTTTTCAAACTCGTTAACGTCTTTATCATTCATAAGAGTAATCACCGGCCTGTTTATAACCTTAACGTGGAAGGCCAGGACTATTCTCCACGGATGCAATCATCCGCCCGTGCACGGTTTCGGTGTCTTTAGAACGACAAAGACGTATTTAAGCTCCGCTCAAAGGACCACTCTGTTAAGAGAATTCCTATCTCTAATTCAACCTAAGCTTGAATCATTACCATAGGTTGTAAGGCTCTGGTTTTAATCATAAATGATTCAAGGTCCACAACCAACAAGGATTATCTGTATCTTTATTCGTGGAGAGCTCTGGCGCCAAAACCCATACCCTCCTGTTTTATACCTCTTGACACACAAAGGCACTTTGCTCCGCCCACCTTTAGGAGGCTTTCTTAAACAGTTTCCACCTTTCTCCTTCACCCTGGAATGTTTAGTCCCGCCCCCCCCCCCCCTCTGTTAGTGGGTTGATAATTGTAACACAGTTTACACATTTATACTGTATTTGGGGTGAAATCCTTTAGTCATTATTCTTAAAATACAAATTAATATATCAGCTACACAATCAATTTTGATTTGAGATACTTTAGGATAAAAATAATAAAAAGAATGGTGAAAACATCAGAACCTCATCATAGTGAGGATATTAATAGAGAGATGTGCAATGTCATTTTGTTCCAATATTTGATTTATTTAATTAAAATAAGATACCTAGACTTTAGCTTTTAAGAGTCAATTACTCAAAAATGCCAAAATAAAACATATAGTATAGTATGCACATATCTAAATCTTACCAAACTTTGCTTTTTTCTGTTAGGAAATAGAAATTTCCCTTAAGGGGGGCATTTACTAAGGCTACGGAATATATATATTTAATTTTTTTGTGGGCCATTCTAAATACAAATAATAATTCTACACATATATAAAGACCATATTAAATTGAGAATAGTCTAATGGTTGAGAAAATGATCAAGTGTCAAATTGTGAATGAGAGACTGAAGTGTGTAGCATGTGGAACAAACAGAGCAGTACGCATGCCTTTTAATGCGACTTTTTTCAAATCATTATTAGTCGCATCATGCAGCCTTAGAATGTATTAGAAATCAAAACATATAGCCCAATGATTGTATCACAACTAAAGTTGCATAAATAACTCTAAATTAAGCATATAGGAGGACCTGTTTCAAATGATCACTTTGTTAACCGCTCAACACAGAATAGCCGCATGTGCACACTCCCTCTGAAATTGTTTGGGGAAAAATATATTTTATATTTTATTAATCTATGTTCAATTGTATTCTTCTTACTCTAAAATAATAACATGGGAATTCTAAGCAAATCTTGTCAGCTAAATGAACTAGTGTAGCCCACAGCCATATGGCATAGCCAGATCAGGGTCTAACAAAAGGACGACTCAGAATATGCTATTCTGTTCTTCTGAAATAGGCTACATTTTCTTCATATCATAATGTTTCTTTAGATCTGCCTAAAATAAATAATGGATTTGTGATGGTGTAAGCTATATTAAATGGATTAATTAGACTTTTAAAAATGTAAATGTTCCAATGGTCCTCATCAGTGGCTTGAGACCGGCAGTTATTTGCATGACAGTTACCAGCTGACAAAATGTAATGACTGCCACAGCCCTTGTTGTGTCCTGCTATTTCCTGTGGTGTTAAGAGCGTTGTTGTGTACTGCTATTTCCTGTGGTGTTAAGAGCATTGTTGTGTACTGCTATTTCCTGTGGTGTTAAGAGCATTGTTGTGTACTGCTATTTCCTGTGGTGTTAAGAGCATTGTTGTGTACTGCTATTTCCTGTGGTGTTAAGAGCGTTGTTGTGTCCTGCTATTTCCTGTGGTGTTAAGAGCATTGTTGTGTCCTGCTATTTCCTGTGGTGTTAAGAGCATTGTTGTGTACTGCTATTTCCTGTGGTGTTAAGAGCATTGTTGTGTCCTGCTATTTCCTGTGGTGTTAAGAGCATTGTTGTGTCCTGCTATTTCCTGTGGTGTTAATAGCGTTGTTGTGTCCTGCTATTTCCTGTGGTGTTAAGAGCGTTGTTGTGTCCTGCTATTTCCAGTGGTGTTAATAGCGTTGTTGTGTCCTGCTATTTCCTGTGGTGTTAATAGCGTTGTTGTGTCCTGCTATTTCCTGTGGTGTTAAGAGCGTTGTTGTGTCCTGCTATTTCCAGTGGTGTTAATAGCGTTGTTGTGTCCTGCTATTTCCAGTGGTGTTAATAGCGTTGTTGTGTCCTGCTATTTTCTGTGGTGTTAATAGCGTTGTTGTGTCCTGCTATTTCCTGTGGTGTTAATAGCGTTGTTGTGTCCTGCTATTTTCTGTGGTGTTAATAGCGTTGTTGTGTCCTGCTATTTCCTGTGGTGTTAAGAGCGTTGTTGTGTCCTGCTATTTCCAGTGGTGTTAAGAGCGTTGTTGTGTCCTGCTATTTTCTGTGGTGTTAATAGCGTTGTTGTGTCCTGCTATTTCCTGTGGTGTTAAGAGCGTTGTTGTGTCCTGCTATTTCCAGTGGTGTTAATAGCGTTGTTGTGTCCTGCTATTTCCTGTGGTGTTAAGAGCGTTGTTGTGTCCTGCTATTTTCTGTGGTGTTAATAGCGTTGTTGTGTCCTGCTATTTCCTGTGGTGTTAATAGCGTTGTTGTGTCCTGCTATTTTCTGTGGTGTTAATAGCGTTGTTGTGTCCTGCTATTTCCTGTGGTGTTAATAGCGTTGTTGTGTCCTGCTATTTCCTGTGGTGTTAATAGCGTTGTTGTGTCCTGCTATTTTCTGTGGTGTTAAGAGCGTTGTTGTGTCCTGCTATTTCCAGTGGTGTTAATAGCGTTGTTGTGTCCTGCTATTTTCTGTGGTGTTAAGAGCGTTGTTGTGTCCTGCTATTTCCAGTGGTGTTAATAGCGTTGTTGTGTCCTGCTATTTTCTGTGGTGTTAATAGCGTTGTTGTGTCCTGCTATTTCCTGTGGTGTTAATAGCGTTGTTGTGTCCTGCTATTTTCTGTGGTGTTAAGAGCGTTGTTGTGTACTGCTATTTCCTGTGGTGTTAATAGCGTTGTTGTGTCCTGCTATTTTCTGTGGTGTTAATAGCGTTGTTGTGTACTGCTATTTCCTGTGGTGTTAAGAGCGTTGTTGTGTCCTGCTATTTCCAGTGGTGTTAATAGCGTTGTTGTGTCCTGCTATTTTCTGTGGTGTTAATAGCGTTGTTGTGTCCTGCTATTTCCTGTGGTGTTAATAGCGTTGTTGTGTCCTGCTATTTCCTGTGGTGTTAATAGCGTTGTTGTGTCCTGCTATTTTCTGTGGTGTTAAGAGCGTTGTTGTGTCCTGCTATTTTCTGTGGTGTTAAGAGCATTGTTGTGTCCTGCTATTTCCAGTGGTGTTAATAGCGTTGTTGTGTCCTGCTATTTTCTGTGGTGTTAATAGCGTTGTTGTGTCCTGCTATTTCCTGTGGTGTTAATAGCATTGTTGTGTCCTGCTATTTCCTGTGGTGTTAATAGCGTTGTTGTGTCCTGCTATTTCCTGTGGCCCCAGGCAGTGCAGGAAGAGCTGAAGCAGGCCCACCGCCTGGCTGAAATGTACAGGGAGCAGTGTGTTACCCTGGAGACAGACCTGGCTCAGATCAGAGAGGAGGGGGACATGGGCAGGGAGATATTCAAGGTGCGTAGCCACGAATCCTTACTTGATATGAATAATTCTGACTACACTATATTTTGCTAAATTATTGTGTTTGTGTTGTTATACAACCAAATGTTTTATTATTATTTATAAAGCCCTTTTTACATCCGCAGATGTCACAAAGTGCTATACAGAAACCCAGCCTAAAACCCCAAACAGCAAGCAATGCAGATGTAGAAGCACCTTGTGTTTGTGTGTGAGTTTACGCCACTGTGTTTTGCTCACCTTTGTGTGTAGGATCGGTCGGACAAGATGGCGAAGCGTCTTCAGATGACGACCCAGCGGTACGAGGCCCTGGAGAAGAGGAGGGCCAGGGAGGTGGAGGGCTTCAACACCGACATCAAACACCTCAGACAGAAACTCAAAGATGTGGAGAAACAACTCTTCAAGGTGAGTAGGGGGTGTATATCGTAGACCTAGGTGTGTTACCTGGTTGGATGTTTACTTAGCTTCTATGTGTAGGCTCACGTGTGAGTGTGGTACCTGTGTGTTTCAGGTGACCCTGAACGTGGGCCCGAATCAGGACCTGGCCATCCTACACGAGGTGCATCAGACCAACGCTCGGACCAAGAAGGTCCAGGGGGAGCTGAAGACCCTGAAGGCCAAGATCTACGGCCTGGAGAACGACCTCCGATACAGCTGAGATACAGCGCACACTGGCCCACTGGGGATCAGGGTACTGTTCAGTAGCCACGAAACAGGAAACTGAATAATTTTACATTGTTGTTGGACAAGTTAATTTAGAATGCCCTACTCATCATGATCCTGTATTCCCCCTTCGACATGCTAAGTTTGAGTTTGGCTAGTATTTTTGTCTGACACCTGATGATATGAGATGCAGCACATGTGCCTATCTAGAATGTCTCACGAATGTCTCAGAACTTTGTTTGCGATTAGGTTTTAGGTTAGGTTTTAGGCCAAGGAGACCTTGGTGTGTATGACATGTATTAAATTTCCTTTTACATTGATACAGTAATTAAATACAAACAGAACAGCATGAACAATGTGCACAAAACAAAGTTCATCCTAGACACACTTGTTTTTCACTACTGATTTATCTATTGTGTGTTGCTATGAAAGAACGAGTGGGTGTTTCATTTTGATCAATAAAGATGTTTTTTTTATAATTAATTGTAATAACTAGATTGAAAATGCCTGTTTACAAACCAAATGCACAATTAAGTGAGCTAGATGCATTAAACATGTTTGATGTTTCCTCTGAACAGAAACAGACCGCAATCAAAATATGAATCGAAACTTTATTTTAGAAAAAAAGCCCATTGGCTCAATTCGATGTAGGCGACGTCACTTCCATCAAATTGAGATGTGCGCAAGCGCGGTATGGGTTGACACTAACAGAAAGCTAGCTAGACGAAGTGAGGCCATCTGTTATTTATATGGCAGCTAGCTATCAAGTTTAGAGATGGCACACTTTTCACTTTCCTACTGTCGTGTATGATATAGCTAGTTATGTAGTTGCTGTAGCTAGTTAGCGCTTGGTAGTGTGTAACGTCACTGCTGTTGTTTTTTTGTCTGTAGCAATTGTTTTAGCTAGCTTACGCTTGCTAGTTAACGCGTTAGAGGAAATGGCAGAGTTTCTGCAAAGATTTAACGTTTTGAAATTTGGTTGGCGACTCCTGAAATCAAGTCACGCAGGAGCAGGCAAACAACTTTATATCTCGTATTTGTCATCACGGAGTTACAGCAATGTAAGTCGAATATTTCATTGTTGATTCTGATTCGTTTATAGTTAGCTAGCTAACTAGTTACCATAATCAAACTTTGATTCAAAGTGTGGTCACTCAATATTCACATTCCAGATAGCTAGCTACAAATCTCAGTTTCAAACGCACAGTTATCCAATCTGGTGACTTTGATAATGGCATTTGCATGGTAAACCACTGACATAATATTTTCATCCGAGTTGGCTAGATTAGCTAGACAGTTTCCCTTGTGTCACCTTTACACTTGCTTGTCCTTAATGACCCACAGTCCCTGCCAATACTGTCCTAAAAATACCACTCCCAACCGGCTGAAACTTGAAAGAGTTGGTTGACAGGGACAGAATATAGTACATGTAAACACACCACTATGATACAGTATGTTCACTGCCTGTCTTTACCTGTCCTTGGCTTGGACAGCCCCCTTACAGAAGGGAACCAGTTCAGGACATTGCTGTTGCGTAACTGTTGGGCTGGTCACTGTATCACTGCAGACTAATCCCACTACTAACCCACCTTAAAGGCCTACCATAAAGAAAATGAGGGTGGTCCGGCATGTAGACCTAAGGCCTACACACATACAAGGATGCGAGACCACTACTGTAAACCATCAAGTCTCAAAGTCCACTAAAGAAAGGCTGCACGTCACACACCATTCCTATTTCTCCACAGGGCCACAACTTGTTCGGGCTCCTCTTCGACATCGATGGGGTGCTGGTGCGGGGCCGCACACCCATCCCTGCAGCCAAACAGATCTTCAGGAACCTGGTGGACAGGAAAGGGAAGTACAAGGTGCCTGTGGTGTTTGTGACCAACGCAGGGAACTCTATGAGGCAGACCAAAGCTGAACAACTGTCACACCAGCTGGAGGTGGAGGTGAGGGATGCATCATATTGTCATATAGCACCCAACAATCCTGCACTAACATCTGGGTCATATTGTCATATAGCACCCAACAATCCTGCACTAACATCTGGGTCATATTGTCATATAGCACCCAACAATCCTGCACTAACATCTGGGTCATATTGTCTCACCTGCTGGAGGTTGAGGTCAGGGATGCGTCTTGGTCATGTTGTCATGTCTCACCTACTGGAGGTGGAGGTCAGGGATGCATCTTGCAGCCAACAATCCTGCACTAACTGGTTCTGTGCTTTACTGATTGTTTTGCTTGTGTTTTCCCCCACAGGTGTCTCCAGACCAGGTGATGCTGTCCCACAGTCCTTTGCGTATGTTCAGTCAATATCACAACATGTGTGTGCTGGTGTCAGGTCAGGGCCCAGTGCTGGAAGTGGCTTACAAGTATCCTTACTAATCTCCAGGCAGAGCAGTGATCATGGGGGTGACTCTCTCCTAGACATTTTGAAGAGAGATAGATGATCTATGTAACAGAGCAGCAGTGATAATTGGGACGACTGTGAGATGTCTAGGGATATACACAACATTTCAGTCATTTTAAAAGTGGTGAAGAGCAGTACACTATGTATAGATTAAGTCTCTATTGTCCTCTAAAGGGATGTCCTTTCACAGCCAACTATGTAAAATGTACACTGCGATCAAAACTGATGTGCAGACTGTAATACAATAGAAGACATCTATTGGGCAAAATAGGCACACATTTGTTTTCCTGAGCCATTCAGTAGTCCAAGAAAGATGAGGTCTTTGTCTAGATTTTGCTTCAACTGTTTGGTAAACAGTAGGACGGTTTAAAGGGGCAATCTGCAGTTCCAACAATAACAAAGCATGAACCCCCCACTGTTGCAGTAAACAGCTGAGGGATGGGGCTGGAGAATTGTAACCACTCTCAAATTCATAGACATCGTTTCTGATGCAAGGACTGACCATCCATGATACATTGTAGTTTAAACCATGTTTTGAGGCTTTAGTGATTGTTTACAAACAGTGGAGTAAAACAAGCCTATATTTTGGGTTCTGATGGGATACAACAGTTGAACTAAGCTCGTGAGGCATTTATAAGTTATATTCTTCAAGAATCAATGGGTATATCATTAATTTAAAAGACCAATAATTTAAAAGTGCAGATTGCCCCTTTAATCCCAGCATAACCTTTTTAAATGCTCACTGTTGTGCTGCTCTCCCTCTATGAATGTGTTGCATTGTCTTGCTCTGTTTAATGTTCTGTTATTTTCAGTTTGACCTTTAACCTATCCAACACCAGTCTGGGATTTCAGAATGTTGTTACCATAGACATGCTGAGGGATGCCTATCCTCTCCAGGACATGGTGGATCACAACAGAAGACCCAAAGACATGGTGAGGGTTTAGTTGGGGGAGAAAGGGTGTGACCTGGGTTGTGTTCAGCAGGAACAAACTAATAATGGTATGAAAGAGGAGAATAGAGAGCTAAATTAGACCTTTATGATGCATACGTTCTTATGGATTTACCGTTCGGATCTCCAGCATGTTTACAGAGTGTTGAATTATCTTACAGGTTCCACCAAGTAAAGAGTTACCCCCGATAGAAGGTAATATAAAAATAAAACATTTTTAAACTTACAGAAGATTGACTTTTGACTGATTGACTGTCTTAACTTTGTTTTTTTTTAGCCATCATTCTGTTTGGCGAGCCAGTCAGATGGGAGACCAACCTCCAGCTAATAATGGACGTGCTCTTAACCAATGGGAAGCCTGGGAATGCCCTGACAACACTGCAGTACCCTCACATCCCAGTGCTGGCCTGTAACATGGACCTGATGTGGGTGGCTGAGGCCAAGAACCCCAGGTGGGAACACATACTTACACTGAGCATACCATCAAGGCGATTTAGCTCAGTCTCAGTGAACCTGTAGCCAAATTGTTGAAAACAACTGTAAATGTCCCTGTTTGCTAGGTTTGGTCATGGCATGTTCCTGGTGTGTCTCGAGAGTCTGTATAAGAAGGTGACTGGCTGTGAGCTGAAGTATGAAGCTCTGATCGGAAAGCCCAGTGTGGTGACCTATAACTACGCTGAGCTGCTCATCCGACAGCAGGCTGAGAGTCTGGGCTGGACTGAGCCTGTGGAGAGACTCTACGCCATCGGGTGAGACTGCCTGCCTGGGTTACATACTGTTTATGCCATCGGGTGAGACTGCCTGCCTGGGTTACATACTGTTTATGCCATCGGGTGAGACTGCCTGCCTGGGTTACATACTGTTTATGCCATCGGGTGAGACTGCCTGCCTGGGTTACATACTGTTTATGCCATCGGGTGAGACTGCCTGCCTGGGTTACATACTGTTTATGCCATCGGGTGAGACTGCCTGCCTGGGTCACATACTGTTTATGCCATCGGGTGAGACTGCCTGCCTGGGTTACATACTGTTTACGCCATCGGGTGAGACTGCCTGCCTGGGTTACATACTGTTTACGCCATCAGGTGAGACTGCCTGCCTGGGTTACATACTGTTTACACCATTGGGTGAGACTGCCTGCCTGGGTTACATACTGTTTACGCCATTGGGTGAGACTGCCTGCCTGGGTTACATACTGTTTACGCCATTGGGTGAGACTGCCTGCCCGGCGTAGATACTGTTTCAATCAGGCCTGGGTCACATCTTTGCATTCCAACTTGACTATTTAACTCAAGTTCCTTAACTCTCTGCCTTCCCTCCCGTCTCTCCCTCAGTGACAACCCCATGGCAGACATCTACGGCGCCAACCTCTACAACCGCTACCTACAGTCCTGCCACCGCACCCGGGCCCTGATGCAGCTCAAAGGGGGGGGAGGGGGGGAGCCTCAGAGCCAACCCCTGGAGGACGCCCACGAAATGACCTGTGCCGAGATGGGAGGCGTTACAGGGGTGTACGGGGGCGAGGAGCCCCTCCCTATGGGGTGCAGCTCCATCCTGGTGTGTACGGGGGTGTACAGCCGGGACCAGCAGGAGCTGCCACCTGACCCCAGGCATACGGTTACAGAGCATCAGATCTTCCACGGTCACAGGGACTTCCGCTTCGACCCCAACCTGACCCAGCCATCCTTCATGGTGCAGGATGTGAAGGAGGCTGTGGAGCTGGTGTTCCAGCAGGAGGGATGGCCTCTGGAGTAGGAGGGGCCTGAGTCTCAATACTGTCCTGTCCCGTACCCTGTTCACAGCACTGCCTGCCAAGTAAATTAACAGCCCCTCAATGTCTGGGTCTATAAGGCTGTGTTTACACAGGCAGCACAATTCCCCCCCCAAAACATTTTTTCACTAATTGGTCTTTTGACCTATCACATCAGATCTTTTTCAGAGTTGATCCAATTGGTCAAAAGACAAATTAGTGGCCAAAACATCTATTGTGCTGCCTGTGTACTCGCATCCTCTTGGGTTAGGACAGGGTCTAAGAGTTCAGAGACCCCTCTGTGACCAATAAACTTCTAAAATACAAGTTCACATATGAAAGCAACGTCCTCCTCAACCGCCTCACTCGGCCATACTAGTACAGTCACTCATACAGCAAAAGTCTAGAATGTCTGTGCACATTTACTGCCATTGAGATTTCCCTAACTTTTACCTTACTGTTACGTGCCCTGTTCTAAGGAGTGTAGCATGCTGACTAGACCTGCCAAGTTGCATGCGCGAGCATTGCAAAATAAATGTACACATGCATGTTATTCCATCATTTAATCCGAACTGCGGGCGGCGCTCCCATCTACTCAGTGGTTTTCTCGAGCATACTAACCCACGTGGGTGACTGAAAAATGAACGAGGAGAGATTAACTACAAGATTTCCCCTTTTATCTGTGGATTAATTGTCAATTTTGTATGACTCAAAATGGGTCAAAATTCTATATTTATTTCAGGTGAAATAACAACCCAATGTTTATCTCCAGGACAAATTGGCTAGCGATAGCAAGCTAGCTAAATGTCCATGAATGTTTCATGTGTGTTTTGACCCGTCTCCAAATTAATATAGTTGGTTTTGGTATTTTAATCTGCGTGTCATGAACGCGTCTGGTGGGGAGAAACAAAATCACCCGTGGGCCTGTTTGAAGGTGTAATGCGGTCTGTTTTGGCTTGATTAATATTCTTAGTCAACTTGAAGCAGCATCAGTGGACTGAATACATGAAATACACTGTTGATAGGCCAGTTACTTTACTGTGATGGGTTAGCTTTTAAGATATACAGTTTCCCTTTATATCTGTCTGCCATGTCTCTATCCAGGCCTGTTACAGAATCACAGGAACAACTTCATGCAAGTGACCAGTTTAAGTCCAGGAATGTTCTTCGATGGGCTCCACAATTGATGCAAGGCTAGTTGTTCCATTTACCATTAACTAAACAGGTGCTACATATCTGGTTGTGTTCCAAGTAACGTTTGGAGCGTCTTACAATAGCCATTAGCATGTGAAGGCAGGACATTGTGGGGATGTAAAGCATTTTGTGATATTTTATGAAATGATTTATTTTTATGGGATTTGTTATTGAATGTTTTATGCAGGGGTGTCAACATTTTTAGCTATGTTCAATTGGCCAAAAGTTCTGAGGGAAAGACGTGTGAGACTGTGGAATTGTCATAAATGCAACACTGTATTTGACAAACTGAAGGACAATAATAAAAAAAAAAAAGGTAAAAGCTCAAACAGGAGTATTCATTGAAACCAGTCATTTTTTTCCCCCCACGTAAAATAGACCACAGGTGACTAGGGATACTTTCAACACGTTTGGTTATTAAGTACTGGCATTGTTTATACAATAATAGTATGTTAACAATAATGAGGTGCTTATGACTACTGGCAGCCACGTTTAAAATTACTGGTAAACTTGTGAAAGTTAAAAGTGAAAACAACTTCAGTGGCAGTGATAGTCGCCATCATCAGTACAGTACTCCTAAACCTACAGCGCATTGGGAAGTATTCAGACCCCTTGACTTTTTCCACATTTTGTTACGTTACAGCCTTATTCTAAAATTGATTAAATAGTTTTTTTCCCTCATCAATCTACACACAATACCCCATAACGACAAAGCAAAACATTTTAAAATAAATTTTTGCAAATGTATTAAAGATTAAAAACACAAGTACCTTATTTACATAAGTATTCAGACCTTTTGCTATGAGACTCGAAATTGAGCTCGGGTGCATCCTGTTTCCATTGATCATCCTTGTGATATTTCAACAACTTGATTGGAGTCCACCTGTGGTAAATTCAATTGATTGGAAATTATTTGGAAAGGCACACACCTGTCTATATAAGGTCCCACAGTTGACAGTGCAAGTCAGAGCAAAAACGTAGCCATGAGGTCGAAGGAATTGTCCGTAGAGCTCCGAGACAGGATTGTGTCGAGGCACAGCTCTGGGGTGGGCTCCATCATTTTTAAATGGAAGAAGTTTGGAACCACAAAGACTTCCTAGAGCTGGCCACCTGGCCAAACTGAGCAATCGGGGGAGAAGGGCCTTGGTCAGGGAGGTGACCAAGAACCCGATGGTCACTCTGACAGAGCTCCAGAGTTCCTCTGTGGAGATGAGAGAACCTTCCAGAAGGACCACCATCTCTGCAGCACTCCACCAATCAGGCCTTTATGGTAGAGTGGCCAGACGGAAGGCACTCCTCAGTAAAAGGCACATGACAGCCCGCTTGGAGTTTGCCAAAAGGCATCTAAAGGACTCTCAGACCATGAGAAACAAGATTCTCTGGTCCGATGAAACCAAGAATGAACTCTTTGGCATGAATGCCAAGCGTCACGTCTGGAGGAAACCTGGCACCATCCCTACGGTGAAGCATGGTGGTGGCAGCATCATGCTGTGGGGATGTTTTTCATCGGCAGGGACTGGTAGACTAGTCAGGATCGAGGGAAAGATGAACGGAGCGAAGTACAGAGATCCTTGATGATAACCTGCTCAGGACCTCAGACTGGGGCAAAGGTTCACCTTCCAACAGGATCTGTAATCGCTGCCGAAGGTGCTTCAACGAAGTACTGAGTAAAGGGTCTGAATACTTATGTAAATGTAATATTTCAGTTTTTTATTTTGATTAAATTTGCTAAATATTCTAAAAACCTGTTTTTCCTTTGTGGTTATGGGGTATTGTGTGTAGATTGATGAGGGGGAAAAAACAATTTAATCAATTTTAGAATAAGGCCGTAACGTAACAAAATGTGGAAAAAGTCAAAGGTTTGAATACTTTCCAAATGCACATTTATCACATCCACACAATATAGTACACACATCCCCTATCCTAAGACATTTCTTGGCAGCACCTATAGGTGTAAGCAGACTAAAACTAGTGGGCTTTGTGGCTTTACATCTACAAGTGTCAAGGGACAGTGTGTAGGCAACGTTGATTCCAGACAGGTTATCAGTACCACAACGTCTCCCACGCTTCCCGTCAATTCTCTCAACAACATGATTTCCTGTCTGTAGGATCGGAGCCATGGATTGGATGGGAGTTTGAGGAGAAGTGTGGGGAGGCCTGTGAGTGTTGGTCTGTGACAGCGAGGCCATTCCTCACCATCAGCTCCCGGGCCATGAGCAGGAAGGCTGCCTCCACATTCTGGGCGTCCTTGGCCGAGGTCTCCAGGGCGGCCAGCGCACCCCTCCCCTCAGCCAGGGTACAGGCATCCTCAAACAGCACTTGTCTCTCCGACTGCCGGTCTGACTTGTTCCCTAGAAGAGAAGAGCAGAGGAAGTTACAGAAGGAAATGTGTCTTTCTATGTTAGTTTCTGTTGATGAATGTTGATTGTTTGGAAGATTACATTTTTTTGTGTGTGCGTCAGACATTTCTCTCACCCACCAGTGAAGATGAGCACCACATCTGTTATGTCATAACTGTTCAGTAGGCTTTATAACAGAGTTTATCTAAAGCCATGTTTTTCCTGTGTCTCTCCCACCCACCAATGAGAATGAGCACAACGCTAGCAGCCCCATCCTGTTCCACTTCTTGGATCCAGTGTGTCAAAGAGTCAAAGGTTGGCCGGCGTGTGATGTCGTAGGCCACTATGGCGCCGTGGGCACTACGGTAATAACTCTGGGTGATGGAGCGGAAACGCTCCTGTCCAGCTGTGTCCCACACCTGCAGCTGAGGAGACGAGACGACACACGCTTCAGCTGGAGAACACACACGCACAGTACACCAATTCCTTACACACACACTCAGCTAAGGAACAAAGGGTCCATTGAAAAAGCACCCCTAGCCCTTTCCCCAACCCTTCGGTGGAACGAGATCGGTGTAAGCATGGAGAATGTTCCCCTAAGCACATTAGAAAGCCAGCTGGAGACATCACCATATTGCTTTTACCTAGTCGCTTCGGCAAACCCTTAACAGGGAAGGGACTGTGTTTTTTAAACTTTTTTTAAAACTTCTATACATCACTGTGGAGGAGAAACTGGTACAGGGAGGTTTGTCACTTGTTTAATTTATGGAAGATATGTTTTTAAAGTCCATAATATCTCCATTCCCTCCTCCAAATACACAGACAAACATGCACCTAGGAAAACACTTATACTATCCATATACTCAATTGTAGTCACTTGACACACCCAGAAAACTCACGCAGCGGGGCGATCGAATGTTAGTTAGACCACCCTTGTTCCTTAAAAGACAAAAAAGTATATGCTGAATCCTTCTTTGCCCGACGAAGACAGCAGAGGCAGAAGGATTCACACAGTGTAAAGACAGTTGAGATAGCTAGGCCTATTGACACAACTTAAACACTGACGAAGCAAAGACAAAATGTCCTGTACTTATCATTGATTATCCTAGAAAAATGGAAAATGTACACATGCACCTTACCTTGACCTTCCTGCCATTGATGACCATGGTTCTGACGGTGAAGTCCACCCCGATAGTATTCTGCTGTTTCTCCATGAAGACACCAGACTTAAATCTCTGGACCACGCAGGTCTTCCCCACGTCTGAGTCTCCCACCAGGATAATCTTAAAGAGGAAGTCAAAGGAGTCATCCTGCTCCGGCCCAGAGGACTGCATGGTGAGGGGTCGCCACAGGGCCAGTCAGAGACACCACTAAACTAGGGCCAGGCTGAGATGCCCTGCAGCAGTGATAGAACTGGTTCTCTAATGTGTATGTTGTTAGCTGTGTCAATAACAGTTGAAACTGTTGACAGAGATTGGTTACATCCTGGTCAGAAACATGGGGAGAACTCTTCCTCAAGAGGAGCTAAAGAAGTACATGAACACTTCCTACTTAAACTGTGTCACTTCTATTCAGATTGTCTTGGGAAAGCTCAGGAACTTAAAAAATAAAATAAAGGTTCCTATGCAGAAAATAAATTGCTGAAGTATTGAAGATAAGGCTTCATTCAATAGGCTATATCCTCTACCTCTACAGGTGTTCCCTACTCGGCACCTCTTCAGATATTTCCTCAGGTGTCCATCTCCCAAAGTGCGGTCATTCCACACTAAATCAAATGTTGACCTGCAACAGATTCATTCACAGTATAAACAATATCACATATAAAATGCTAGTCCTCAATGAACAGTGTGTTGGATTATTATTGATTTTTTGATTTTTTTAAGGTCCACGTTTCAAGTCCTATTTACCCTGTTCGATAGGTTGTATACATCCAAATCACTCACATTCTTTGTGCTCATTCTTCCAACTGCTTCCCTGTGCAGTTAGTGTGCTTATGCCTTTCATACCATATCCCTCTCTCTACTCTGTTGTTCTCCCCACTCTCATTGGTTCACAGACCGCTAAGGTACACCCCTTACCTTTCCTGGCAGGTGTGAATACCAGTTGTCTGGCCACCTGCACCGCTGCATCTTGAGAATTGTAGTTTTCTAGGCAAGGTCCCAGGTCTGTGAGGACAGGAAGGAGGGATTAGTCAGTGAGAAGTTCATTGTTTATCAGTCGCAGCGGTCACATCTAAGACTTGTCTCTGGGTTCTTACAAGGCTCACTAGGTACACATCGTTCAACAGAGGGAATCACTCCTCCTAAAGCTGCTCCTAAAGAAATGGAAACACTCAACTATTTTGTCTTGACAGGTGGCATTTGGACCCCAGAGAGCTGCATAGAAAACACTCAGAAACACACATGAACAGACACACACGGCCTGCCCCTCTCACTATTGCCACCTCCTGACAACTAACACATTCCAGTGCATTCAAAACCACACGATAACAGCTAAGTAAAAAGCAGGCAAAAACACAAGACAACACTTAAGCATTTTAAACATCTTCTTTTCTTTTGGAGGGGGGGTAAATCAGCTTTAATATTGCAGATAGATTGTAGCATCCATCAATGTAATTGTCTGCATCCTTTCCAAACCCCCATATATTTTATTGGTAAATATATATATATATCCCTAAGTGAGCTCATTCCACACTAAATCAAATGTTGACCTCCAACAGCATATGTATTTAAAAAACATATTTTTTCCTTTATTATTTTCCCCTAACCCTACCACCCCTCCCCTAATTGTAGTAAACTAATGGACAACAACACTTGGGCTTCTACTTCTAGCTTATACATACTATATACATTTTACGGACACAATGTATTTTACAATAGTTATATTTTGTTTGTTTTTAATCCCATCCTTCAGCTACCCTCAACCCCTCCCATCTATCTCTGAAGAGTATACAGTTTTGATTTCTATTTGCCATATATTTCTAACTGTGCTTTTTCACTAAAGTTCTGAACCAGTATATTTTACATGAGTTATCTTGTTGTTTATAGACATCTTGTTAATGAGGGTTGATTTAATTTACTCTGTGTAATGAATCCATTTGACCTCAATCCATACAATGACCTCTCAGGGAGATGTTAAGTGGAGTGATGAAGAGTCTACTGTTCTGGAAATCAGAGACCCCCTCTTCTCTCTCTCTCTACCCACACACTGGTTCGTTGTCATCTCAGCCCACAGAGGCACATGGCAAAGCTGGACACAGAACAATGCATGTGAGTGTGAAAGGCGCTGTGCACCATGGCTGGCCACCATCTTCTACCTCAGTGTGTATGTGTGTATGTGTGTGTCACATGATGGTTCCACATTAAGCACTGTAGCCTGAGGAATGTTTATATTTCACCCACATCTCCTGTTATTGACTACACACACACATCCTGTTATTGACTACACACACACACACACACCCACCGACCGACACCGTATCTCTTGTTATTGATTAATATTCTACAGCTCTCTACTGATTTCACCATGTTAGCATTTTTTTTACTGTATCAGAGAAATACAGTTAGGGGAGAATTCAGACCTGAGTTAAGCGTAAATGGAACTTAATTTCCTTTTTATGCACCTTTTTCTCTATGGGTATTTTGACCTTGAACTTTAGCATGGGCAACGCATGGGTCAGCCAGGAATTTGTTTGGGGTGGAGATCGCAGAAATGGAGGTGTGGCAGAGTTGTGTCAACAGATACAGTGGGGGAAAAAAGTATTTAGTCAGCCACCAATTGTGCAAGTTCTCCCACTTAAAAAGATGAGAGAGGCCTGTAATTTTCATCATAGGTACACGTCAACTATGACAGACAAATTGAGAGAAAAAAAATCCAGAAAATCACATTGTAGGATTTTTAATGAATTTATTTGCAAATTATGGTGGAAAATAAGTATTTGGTCACCTACAAACAAGCAAGATTTCTGGCTCTCACAGACCTGTAACTTCTTCTTTAAGAGGCTCCTCTGTCCTCCACTCGTTACCTGTATTAATGGCACCTGTTTGAACTTATTATTAGTATAAAAGACACCTGTCCACAACCTCAAACAGTCACACTCCAAACTCCACTATGGCCAAGACCAAAGAGCTGTCAAAGGACACCAGAAACAAAATTGTAGACCTGCACCAGGCTGGGAAGACTGAATCTGCAATAGGTAAGCAGCTTGGTTTTAAGAAATCAACTGTGGGAGCAATTATTAGGAAATGGAAGACATACAAGACCACTGATAATCTCCCTCGATCTGGGGCTCCACGCAAGATCTCACCCCGTGGGGTCAAAATGATCACAAGAACGGTGAGCAAAAATCCCAGAACCACACAGGGGGACCTAGTGAATGACCTGCAGAGAGCTGGGACCAAAGTAAGAAAGCCTACCATCAGTAACACACTACTCCGCCAGGGACTCAAATCCTGCAGTGACAGACGTGTCCCCCTGCTTAAGCCAGTATATGTCCAGGCCCGTCTGAAGTTTGCTAGAGTGCATTTGGATGATCCAGAAGAGGAATGGGAGAATGTCATATGGTCAGATGAAACCAAAATAGAACTTTTTGGTAAAAACTCAACTCGTTGTGTTTGGAGGACAAAGAATGCTGAGTTGCATCCAAAGAACACCATACCTACTGTGAAGCATGGGGGTGGAAACATCATGCTTTGGGGCTGTTTTTCTGCAAAGGGACCAGGACGACTGATCCGTGTAAAGGAAAGAATGAATGGGGCCATGTATCGTGAGATTTTGAGTGAAAACCTCCTTCCATCAGCAAGGGCATTGAAGATGAAACGTGGCTGGGTCTTTCAGCATGACAATGATCCCAAACACACCGCCCGGGCAACGAAGGAGTGGCTTCGTAAGAAGCATTTCAAGGTCCTGGAGTGGCCTATCCAGTCTCCAGATCTCAACCCCATAGAAAATATTTGGAGGGAGTTGAAAGTCTGTGTTGCCCAGCGACAGCCCCAAAATATCACTGCTCTAGAGGAGATCTGCATGGAGGAATGGGCCAAAATACCAGCAACAGTGTGTGAAAACCTTGTGAAGACTTACAGAAAACGTTTGACCTGTGTCATTGCCAACAAAGGGTATATAACAAAGTATTGAGAAACTTTTGTTATTGACCAAATACTTATTTTCCACCATAATTTGCAAATAAATTCATTAAAAATCCTACAATGTGATTTTCTGGATTTTCTTTCCTCATTTTGTCTGTCATAGTTCACGTGTACCTATGATGAAAATTACAGGCCTCTCTCATCTTTTTAAGTGGGAGAACTTGCTCAATTGGTGGCTGACTAAATACTTTTTTTCCCCACTGTACGCTGTATTCTGACCTTGACTTAATTCCCTCATAATTGCCATTTTCCACAAGGTGAATATGACACAAAGACCAACCCTAAACAAGGGGAAGACCATTACGTTACCTCGTAGGCAGCCGGGTACCTTGGGACTGGGTCGACTCTTGTCCTGGGCACAAAGCCATTCCTTAAAGTTTTCCTCTGCTCGCTGTCTGCGCTCCCTCTCCTGGCTGCCTCCTCCTCTTACAACACAAGCGCTCCAATCTCAGCACCTGAACAGCTCATACTAGTTTCCATGGAAACCAACGCTATGTTGTCAGAAACATTCAAACTCAACTTCAAGTTGCATTTACAGGAATTTGCCTTACTTCAGTTCCACAAGTTCACATCAACTTGTATTCAGAGTAACAAACTGCTGTATACTTCAATAACATGGTTTAGTTGTGTGTTGATGCTGATTAGTTAGCATGAGGAGAGAGAGAATTGGAATATTTAGCAAATGGCTAGCATGCTAATGTAGAGAGCAAAGCAACAGAACATTTAATTCGTTTTCCTCTTTTTCAGTTTACTGTTCTGAATAATTATCTGAATAATTCCTCAAGGCTACAGTTAAGGAACCTACTGTATTTTCTCCAGGTCCTTCCTCCGTAACCACTCTCTGTACTTCTCCTCTGCTTTCTTTTCAATCTCCCTCTGCATCTCCTTCTGCTCCTTGCTCTCATTCAGCTGTCTCTCCTGGAGATGGCAAACAATAACACAAACATTCCTCCTAACCTTTAGGTGCCCAGATTCATCAGAAAGCACACAAACTGCACGGTTCCTCTCTGGGATTGGGTTAATAACTGGGTGAAAATAAGGGGGTTCTTTCTTCATCTGCAGCCACTCCTGGATCTTTTCTCCACCACCATCTTCTTCTTCTTCTGCTCTCTCTCCTGTTCCTCATTCCGCTCCTTCAGTAGGCGCTTCTAACAAAGAACACTTGCCAGTCCCAGTCACACTCAGTTGCTCCATGTGGAGACATTTGCGGCCCTAATTTACGGAATTGAAAATATTAATAATTATCAACAACTAAATGATCAAATTCTGACTCAAATGCAAACAAGAGATGCCGAACTGAAGAAGAAACTAAAAAGATATATGGCAGTGCACCTCCTCTGCTTCCTTTTTCTATTCTGAGTCGCTGCTCTTTGGCTTTCCAGACCAGCCACCTCTCCCATGCAGAGAGAGATGCCTCTGGATCCTCTGCCTCGGTCACTGCTGTCCTCTCTGGGGGCTTCTGTGGTGGATCATCTTTCCATGGCAAAAATTAAAACACGAAGCAGATCATACTCTTTGGTTCTTTAAAAACCAGCTGTATGGAGAATATTGTGTGCTATAGCTTGGGAAATAAATACATGTAACTCTGGATGACAACATAATGCTATTTGTTTCCAACATTAGGGCTGTTTTCCTAAAGAAATCATATCCCCTTCATGTTTTGTTTCCTTGCCACGATACTAACGAGTATCACGATACTGGTATCGTCCCGGCCCTAATGGATTGCTGTCATACCTTGTCCGTATACTGCTTACAGAGTAAGGAAACCAATGTCACATTTTGTAATTTGGGTGAACTATCCCCTTATTTGTTGATGAGGGGATCGACCCTAGCTAAACAGCAGGTGGCTCTAATAACAATTTAGTTCACCGTCTGCTGAGTCGAGTTGGGTAGCACTGCTCTTGTACACCAGCCATATCTGATGGGTGTCAGGGGTCTGGCATCTTTACTCCGTTTGGCTGAGGTGTCTGTTTGATGGGCGTGGTGAACTGCAGACAGGTCCTCATCACTCTCATAGCTGTCGTGGTGGTAGATGGGGGAGAGCAAAGAGTAGGTGGGGTCACCTGTCGAGTCATAGTCCACATTCCCTGCCACTGTCCTGGTACATCTTCAGAGGAGTTCAGCTGAAACTCTTGGAGGATGCTCACACTGATATATTGTGCAGTCACAGAGAAGGAAATGAATTACAGTTTAAACAATTTGATAAAATATAGATATGTCAGCAACAAAGCAAATCTCTGCAAAGGTGATCCTAAAACTGATCTGCAACTCCTATGAACAGCAGTATCTAACGTTAGTCTAGCGAGCATCATGTACATGGCTACTTGAACATTTACAGACCAGACAGCCAAAGCAGAGCTTCAAAGACCCACCAGCTTCACCACACATTACTAAAGTTATCCAAGCTATGTGCAGGGCCGAGCAGCCCTAGCAAGCCTAGCAGACTGTTGTTGAACATGCTTAGATCAATTACTGTAAACTAGCCTCCCTTTGCTAGTTAGCTATCTAGCTAGGTACCACGTTAGCCAGTTAGCAAATGAGCTAGTTACTTACTTGGCTACGCATGCTTTGTCTCAGCCTCCAGTATCTATGCTGCGATAGTCTATGTGCCGGGGGGCTAGGGTCAGTCTGTCCGATCTGGGGAAATTCTCCTTGTCCTATCTGGTGAAATTCTACTTGTCTTATCTGGTGTCCTGTGTGAACTTAAGTATACTCCCTTTAATTCTCTCTCTCAGGATCTGAGACTACCTGGCCTGATGACTCCTGGCTGTCCCCAGTCCACCTGGTCGTGCTGCTGCTCCAGTTTCAACTGTTCTGCCTGCAGCTATGGAACCCTGAACTGTTCACCGGACGTGCTACCTTGTCTGTTGCATCCTCTACAGCCACTGTGATTATTATTCGACCCTGCTGGTCATCTATGAATGTTTGTACATCTTGAAGAATGATGTGGCCTCAACTCTTATACAGTGGCGATTTTAGCATGTAAGTCTTAGTAGGGCATATACAGTGGGGAGAACAAGTATTTGATACACTGCCAATTTTGCAGGTTTTACTACTTACAAAGCATGTAGAGGTCTGTAATTTTTATCATAGGCACACTTCAACTGTGAGAGACGGAATCTAAAACAAAAATCCAGAAAATCACTTTGTATGATTTTTAAGTAATTAATTTGCATTTTATTGCATGACATAAGTATTTGATACATCAGAAAAGCAGAACTTAATATTTGGTACAGAAACCTTTGTTTGCAATTACAGAGATCATACGTTTCCTGTAGGTCTTGACCAGGTTTGCACACACTGCAGCAGGGATTTTGGCCCACTCCTCCATATAGACCTTCTCCAGATCCTTCAGGTTTCGAGGCTGTCGCTGGGCAATACGGACTTTCAGCTCCCTCCAAAGATTTTCTATTGGGTTCAGGTCTGGAGACTGGCTAGGCCACTCCAGGACCTTGAGATGCTTCTTACGGAGCCACTCCTTAGTTGCCCTGGCTGTGTGTTTCGGGTCGTTGCCATGCTGGAAGACCCAGCCACGACCCATCTTCAATGCTCTTACTGAGGGAAGGAGGTTGTTGGCCAAGATCTCGCGATACATGGCCCCATCCATCCTCCCCTCAATACGGTGCAGTCGTCCTGTCCCCTTTGCAGAAAAGCATCCCCAAAGAATGATGTTTCCACCTCCATGCTTCACGGTTGGGATGGTGTTCTTGGGGTTGTACTCATCCTTCTTCTTCCTCCAAACACGGCGAGTGGAGTTTAGACCAAAAAGCTCTATTTTTGTCTCATCAGACCACATGACCTTCTCCCATTCCTCCTCTGGATTATCCAGATGGTCATTGGCAAACTTCAGACGGGCCTGGACATGCGCTGGCTTGAGCAGGGGGACCTTGCGTGCGCTGCAGGATTTTAATCCATGACGGCGTAGTGTGTTACTAATGGTTTTCTTTGAGACTGTGGTCCCAGCTCTCTTCAGGTCATTGACCAGGTCCTGCCGCATAGTTCTGGGCTGATCCCTCACCTTCCTCATGATCATTGATGCCCCACGAGGTGAGATCTTGCATGGAGCCCCAGACCGAGGGTGATTGACCGTCATCTTGAACTTCTTCCATTTTCTAATAATTGCACCAACAGTTGTTGCCTTCTCACCAAGCTGCTTGCCTATTGTCCTGTAGCCCATCCCAGCCTTGTGCAGGTCTACAATTTTATCCCTGATGTCCTTACACAGCTCTCTGGTCTTGGCCATTGTGGAGAGGTTGGAGTTTGTTTGATTGAGTGTGTGGACAGGTGTCTTTTATACAGGTAACGAGTTCAAACAGGTGCAGTTAATACAGGTAATGAGTGGAGAATAGGAGGGCTTCTTAAAGAAAAACTAACAGGTCTGTGAGAGCCGGAATTCTTACTGGTTGGTAGGTGATCAAACACTTATGTCATGCAATAAAATGCAAATTAATTACTTAAAATCATACAATGTGATTTTCTGGATTTTTGTTTTAGATTCTGTCTCTCACAGTTGAAGTGTACCTATGATAAAAATTACAGACCTCTACATGCTTTGTAAGTAGGAAAACCTGCAAAATCGGCAGTGTATCAAATACTTGTTCTCCCCACTGTATATATATTTCGATGCATGCCAGCAAAGCCACTACACAACACAACACAACACTAAACAATACATTAATTGCACTAGAACGGTGACAAACGGTGCCCACAAACTGTTAGAGGCTACATAAAGCTGTCCCAACAGCAGTCCCAACACCTTACCACCGCTACACCTGGCTATCAGCGAAGCCTTGTCTGGCAGCGAAACAGTTAATTCAGCCTCATTTACTGCCTTTTAAAAAACATAGCTGATATGGCTGACTTGCTTAAACAAATGTGGTTTCTACTGACAATTGAGATGTACAAACTATGGCATAAGGGGACGACGAGTAGATAAGAGGCAATCTGTAATTTTGATTAAGACATTAATGAGCGAGCTAGGACGGTCCTTTGTGGGCAAATTTCTCTGGATTTATGGTGCTTTCAAGACAACTGGGAACTCTGAAAAAACAAGGTTGAATCATGGCGTCAGTGATCTTCAGGTCGGAGCTCTAGAAAGAGGCCAGAGTCCCCGACTTGAAATTCAGAGTTGGATGATAGTTAAAAACGTATTTTTTCTGAGTTCCCAGTAGTCTTGAACTCACTGAAGTCTGAGATTTCCCAGTTCCGAGTTTCCAGTTGTTTTGAACACGGCAGAAGTCATGCTGGATTGACAGCGTGGCCAACGTTGAATGTTTATCCTTTTAAGCTTGGAAAAGAGACCCTTAACCCCAGATTTGGACCACACACCCACTCCACTTAAAAGCAGGCTAGTGATTGCTTTGCAATGTTTGCAGTTAGCCACTGATTCTTTCCAAACCACTCATTGTTGGAATAGTATAAAAGTAATCCTTCTAAAAAATAGGGTGGTTGTCCCACTGGCTATCATAATTGAATGCACCAATTTGTAAGTCGCTCTGGATAAGAGCGTCTGCTAAATGACGTAAATGTAAATGTAGATTGTCAACTTGATTCATGATGATGACTGCTAGCTTTTGTTAGCTAAGACTTTGAAAGTATGATGTTGACATGATCAGTCCAATCAAAGCTACAGTAGATATAACGTGATTTGACTTCATTTTATCTGTGGCCAATGACCTTGAGCATTCTTGGATGGGCACTTCTAATGTAACTCTATGGCGGCATCCAAGGGGCTTGAATTTTCGTGCTCTCTCCGTAGATTTTGTGGTGACATAGTGTCCGCATGAGTGACAGAACACTGAGCCAATCATGGTGCAACTAGAGAACATTACCAACCCCTATGCTCCATATTTTCCTGCACCACCACCACAGAAAGCACTGAGCTGGGCTGAAACACCTGCATTTTGGAGCTGCCTTACTCAAGAAAGCAAAAAAGAGACCATGTTTGTATGCGGCTTTATTAACTCCATTTTTATTTTTTACATTGTTTGCAAACTGATATGTGACATGTATTAATGCCTAAATAACATGCAAAACAGGCAATATACACCACCGTTCAAAAGTTTGTGCCTGTAATCAAACCCACAATTGCTGATGCTCCAAATACTCAACTAGTCTCAAGAAGGCCAGTTTTATTGCTTCTTTAATCCGCACAACAGTTTTCAGCTGTGCTAACATAATTGCAAAAGGGTTTTCTAATGATCAATTAGCCTTTTAAAATGACAAACTTGGAATAGCAAACACAACGTGCCATTGGAACACAGGACTGATGGTTGCTGATAATGGGCCTCTGTACGCCTATGTAGATATTCCATTAAAAATCAGCCGTTTCCAGCTACAATAGCCATTTACAACATTAACAATGTCTACACTGTATTTCTGATCAATTTGATGTTATTTTAATGGACAAAGAAATGGCTTTTCTTTAGAAAACAAGGACATTTCTAAGTGACTGTCACGACCTCCGCCGAAGTTGGTGCCTCTCCTTGTGCGGGCGGCTATCGGTGGTCGTCGTCACCGGCTTTCTAGCTGCCACCGATTTCTTTTTCCATTTGTTTATTATTATTATGATTATTTCCCTATTTAACCCTTTGGTTCCCACATGGTTTTGTGCGTGTTTGTTCGTTGTTTTGTGTCATACACTTATGTGAGCTGGTGTGTTCTCCCTGCGTGGAGATTAGTATGGTTTATTTTTGAGTTCTGTGTCCTGCGCCTGACTCCGTCCTACCGCTGCACATTTGACACATGACAGAAACACGCACCAAGAATGGAGTCAGCAGGTGCAGCCAGTCCTCCGGTACCAGTGGAGGAGCGCGTCCAGCAGCACGCGACGATGCTCCAGAATCTTGGCACAGCTATGGATCGCGTGTTGCAGACCATGGAGCGCTGGGAGAGAGGGGGTTTTCCCACACCCCCATCAACTTCAGGTCAACCCACACCGATGTCCACCCCTCCGTCACCTGGACCCAGTGGGATTCGGCTCTCGCTCCGAGGGCATATGATGGGACGGCTGCCGGGTGCCAGGGGTTCCTGCTCCAGGTGGAGCTCTACCTGGCGACCATCCACCCGGCTCCCTCGGGATACGAGAGCGTGTCCACCCTCATCTCCTGTCTGTCGGGGAGAGCGCTTGAGTGGGCCAACGCCAAATGGGGAGGAATAGACGCAGTGTTGGTTCGCTATGAGGATTTCACCCGCCGCTTCCTGGCGGTCTTCGATCATCCACCTGAGGGGAGAGCGGCGGGGGAACGTTTGTTCCACCTCAGACAGGCGAAGAGGAGCGCACAGGACTTCGCACTGGACTTCAGGACCTTGGCGGCCAGCGTGGGATGGAATGAGAGGGCCCTGATTGACGATTACCGGTGTAGTCTATGTGAGGACGTTCGTCGGGAGCTGGCATGCAGGGACACCACCCTTACCCTCGACCAGCTGGTGGATCTATCTATACGGCTGGATAACCTGTTGGCCACCCACAGACGTCCGGATCAGGGTCTGTCCATTCCATTCCCCAGCACCTCTGACCCTGCCCCTATGGAGCTCGGAGGTGCTGCTCTAAGGGTGACCGGAGGGGGGGCCGTTTCCTGCACCAACTGTGGTCGCAGAGAGCACACTGCTGGTCGGTGCTGGGGAGGTTCCTCAGGGAGTCGAGGCAGCAGGCAGGGCACTGGTGGATCATCCCAGGTGAGTAGGCACCCGACTTACCCAGAGCTCCCTGTTGCGCACATGTGTGTATGCATAGAATTTCCTGAGTTTTCCCCGCATTCCCAGCATAAGGCGCTAGTAGATTCAGGAGCAGCTGGGAACTTTATTGACCGTTCATTGGCCCGTAGATTAGGGATCTCTATTGTTCCTGTTGATGTGCCCTTCCCTGTACATGCCTTAGATAGTCGTCCTTTAGGGTCGGGCCTGATTAGGGAGGTCACAGCTCTTCTATGTATGAAAACGCAGGAGGGTCATGAGGAGAGAATGAGTCTCTTCCTGATCGATTCTCCTGCATTTCCTGTGGTGTTGGGGCTTCCCTGGTTGGCCTCTCATGACCCTCAAGGGGGGGGGGTACTGTCACGACTTCCGCCGAAGTTGGTGCCTCTCCTTGTGCGGGCGGCTATCGGCGGTCATCGTCACCGGCTTTCTAGCTCCCACCGATCCACGTTTCTTTTTCCATTTGTTTTGTCTTGATTGTACACACCTGGTTCCCATTGCATTATGATTATTTCCCTATTTAACCCTCTGGTTCCCACATGGTTTTGTGCGTGTTTGTTCGTTGTTTTGTGTCATACACTTATGTGAGCTGGTGTGTTCTCCCTTCGTGGAGATTAGTATGGTTTATTTTCGAGGAAAGTACGTAATTTACTCAGTTCTGTGTCCTGCGCCTGACCCCAAACTTTTGAACGGTAGTGTATATATATATTTTTTAGCTAAACAGGTAGGGCTCTCACCTGCCACTGCTCTTATAATCTCCACTAGGCACAGCCAGAAGAGGACTGGCCACCCCTCATAACCTGGTTCCTCTCCATGTTTCTTCCTAGTTTCCTGCCTTTACAGGGAGTTTTTCCCAGCCACCATGCTTCTACATCTGCATTGCTTGCTGTTTGGGGTTTTAGGCTGGCTTTCTGTATAAGCACTTTGTGACATTTGCTGGTGTAAAAAGAGCTTTATGAATTCATTTTATTTTATCTAGCTAGACTATCCAAGAAACATTTGGGTGTTTCTCTTTCCTTCTGTTTACTTGGTTGGGATTACAAACAATTTATTTTCCCATGATACATTTGAGTCATTTAGCAGACGCTCTTATCCAGAGCGACTTACAGTTAGTGAGTGCATACATTTTCATACTGGCCCCCCTGGCCCCCCGTGGGAAACAAACCCACAAACTTGGTGTTGCAAGCGCCATGCTCTACCAACTGAGCTACACGCAATGTCTAGCAAATCACCAAAGCAGAACGTGACGCTCCTTGTAGACGCTGTGTGGTAACCATAGCGACATCATGAGGCGAGGGTTGTTACCACAACCAGAAAGTCAAAATTGGCTATAGTAAAAATGTGCTTTTCGGTCTTAATTTAAGGTTAGGGATGGGCATAAGGTTAGCAGTGTGGTTCAATGTAGGGTTAAGGTTAGGTTTCATATCAGAATTTAAGAAGATAGATTGTGGCTGTAGTGACAACCATGAAAAAGTTGATGGACATGGAAATAGACCGTTTTATCTTCTTAAAAGGGGGTAAATATTGGAAAATGTACAATGCGATTATTTTTCTATGGGCCAGGCCAACCCTTAGGGAGATCCTATATTAAGTTATAATGTAATTATATGGGCATTTCCATATGGTGTTCCTATGATGATGGTGTCAGCAGGAAGCCTACATGAATGCAGCATAATTCCAGGATGACTAGTTTATATCAGTTTATATCAGAGCCAGCCTTGCTTGTCAGAGGAGAGGTGCAAACAGCTTGGAGACATGCTGACTCTTCAAGGTCTCACACTTCACACCAGCTGTCTAATTGTGGCAGCACCTCTTCAGGGTGAACCTAAATTAACTTTCACTTTGGAAGACTGCTCAAACAGTTGAGTGTGACATATTTCAGGTGTCTGTAATGGTGTTGGCCTCTATTTCAATTGTCTGTAATTTGATTTGATATAAACATGTAACATTTGTTTTGGTAGCCTTTTTGGGTGGAGGTGGGGGCACAGCCAGAGAATGCACTGTTGTCCAAAGGGTTTGATAACAAAACACAGCACCCAGAATTATAGTCTTTGATATTTTAGGAAATAATTTCGGATTTTTAAAAATAAATATAGAAAACAAATGATTTATTAACTATCAGTTATTCATAACTCCATCATTTTTTGTAGCAATATACTATAAACATTACAGAAGCCATCGAAGCCCCATTATCCCTTTATCATATCTCTGTTTTGTAACAGAGGATCCCTCAAAACAACAATATTAGTATACCCTGAGAATACCCTGAAGCTCATTTAGAAAATATGTCAGGGACACTTCCTAAATATCTCTTATCACTCACACCTGCGTATGGGTCACAGGGAACACATGGCACTGCATAATTTGCACGTGGTGGCCCCCAATCAAACTACTGCTGGAACCTTACCATCCTAGTCAGCAGACACATCTGAGCCACCACAGGATCAAGTACAGAGCACCCAGTACGGACACTTTGATCACTGATACCCCATTCCGGTTCCAGAGCACTCACAGAAAGGTGTATAATTCCAGCCCTGGATTCTACAGTAACTCCTCTTTTGAGGAGTGTTCTCTCTCTGTTGTAATATTCTCTAAGACGCATTCAGTCAGCCAGGAAGCCAGATAACCAGGCAGACAGGCAGTATGGTGGCAGTGGACCTCCAAGGGCTGCCGGAAGAGGGGTGGCACTACCATCAGCTGCATCGGCCCTCCATGGAAGTGGGGCACCACCAGCTGTGTCGGCCCTCCATGACCCCGTGCCCGAGCAGGGGGCTGCCCCAGAACTGTCCCCAGAAGACCCGCAAGAAGCTCCAAGTCATCATCTGCATCCTGCTGGTGGAGCTGTTTGAGAGGTTCACCTTCTTTGGGATCGTGTGTAACATGATCCTGTTCTGTACGGTCAAGCTGGGCTATGATCACTACCAGGCTGCTACCGTCAACCTGTGCTTTGTTGGGGCCAGCACACTCACTCCTGTGCTGGTGGGATGGTTTGCTGAGACCTGCCTTGGGAGAACCAAGGTGCTCTACTTGTGCGCTCTGCTCCACCTCTTTGGTAAGGTGCTCCTGTTTGTTTTCAAGGGGAGGGGGAAGTTTGGAACATTGATGTTGAACACTTATCCTTTTATATTGGTATAGGGAATACTTATTGGTCAAACTGATTTAATTCATGTAACATCATTTTTACTGTTTTCAAAGCTTTATTTTCTCAATGCCTAATCATTATCTATCTCTTAATGCAGAATAATTTCTGTGGATTATAGTCTCTTAGAGAAACTACAGGGTGGGGGGATGGGGATTAAGGTTCTGAGTTTACAATACATTTGCATTGAAGGAGAAGATGTGTGGAGTGTGGACTGCACTGCATTACATTGCTAGTTTTATGGGTTCCAACAAAGGTTTTCTACTCCTTCATTCGAAATATAATCATTTCTTACCATGGCCATTTCAGCAGTTCAGCTGTAAGGCCAGTTTCGGTCTAGAGACATGTATAGAAATACATGGGTCTGAGTGCTTTGGGTGAGAAATGCATCAGAGGACTGCGTGTGCTCAATGTTAGCAGTTGGACTCTGGATGTGAGCTCAAACCAACCCCATTACTTATGATGACTCATTATTTGAAGTTGCTGTCTCATCTCAGAGTTGCAGCCCAACACACAGTAATAGTAGGGAGCTCAGAAGTAGGGATTTAACATTTTTTTTACATTTTAGTCATTTTAGCAGACGCTCTTATCCAGAGCGACTTACAGTTAGTGAGTGCATACATTTTCATACTGGGATCTGAGAAGTAGAGAGCTCAGAAGTAATTCAGCCCTAATGTGTAAACTACACTGCTCAAAAAAATTAAGGGAACACTAAAATAACACATCCTAGATCGGAATGAATGAAATAATCTTATAAAATATTTTTTTCTTTACATAGTTGAATGTGCTGACAACAAAATCACACAAAAATTATCAATGGAAATCAAATTTATCAACCCATGGAGGTCTGGATTTGGAGTCACCCTCAAAATTAAAGTGGAAAACCACACTACAGGCTGATCCAACTTTGATGTAATGTCCTTAAAACAAGTCAAAATGAGGCTCAGTAGTGTGTGTGGCCTCCACGTGCCTGTATGACCTCCCTACAACGCCTGGGCATGCTCCTGATGAGGTGGCGGATGTCTCCTGAGGGATCTCCTCTCAGATCTGGACTAAAGTATCCGCCAACTCCTGGACAGTCTGTGGTGCAACGTGGCGTTGGTGGATGGAGCGAGACATGATGTCCCAGATGTGCTCAATTGGATTCAGGTCTGGGTAACGGGCGGTCCATAGCATCAATGCCTTCCTCTTGTAGGAACTGCTGACAAACTCCAGCCACATGAGCTCTAGCATTGTCTTGCATTAGGAGGAACCCAGGGCCAACCACACCAGCATATGGTCTCACAAGGGGTCTGAGGATCTCATCTCGGTACCTAATGGCAGTCAGGCTACCTCTGGCGAGCACATGGAGGGCTGTGCGGCCCCCCAAAGAAATGCCACCCCACACCATGACTGACCCACCGCCAAACTGGTCATGCTGGAGGATGTTGCAGGCAGCAGAACGTTCTCCACGGCGTCTCCAGACTCTGTCACGTCTGTCACGTGCTCAGTGTGAACCTGCTTTCATCTGTGAAGGGCACAGGGCGCCAGTGGCGAATTTGCCAATCTTGGTGTTCTCTGGCAAATGCCGAACGTCCTGCACGGTGTTGGGCTGTAAGCACAACCCCCACCTGTGGACGTCGGGCCCTCATACCACCCTCATGGAGTCTGTTTCTGACCGTTTGAGCAGACACATGCACATTTGTGGCCTGCTAGAGGTCATTTTGCAGGGCTCTGGCAGTGCTCCTCCTGCTCCTCCTTGCACAAAGGTGGAGGTAGCAGTCCTGCTGCTGGGTTGTTGCCCTCCTACGGCCTCCTCCACGTCTCCTGATGTACTGGCCTGTCTCCTGGTAGCGCCTCCATGCTCTGGACACTACGCTGACAGACACAGCAAACCTTCTTGCCACAGTTCGCATTGATGTGCCATACTGGATGAGCTGCACTACCTGAGCCACTTGTGTGGGTTGTAGACTCCGTCTCATGCTACCACTAGAGTGAAAGCACCGCCAGCATTCAAAAGTGACCAAAACATCAGCCAGGAAGCATAGGAACTGAGAAGTGGTCTGTGGTCACCACCTGCAAACCAGTCCTTTATTGGGGGTGTCTTGCTAATTGCCTATAATTTCCACCTGTTGTCTATTCCATTTGCACAACAGCATGTGAAATGTATTGTCAATCAGTGTTGCTTCCTAAGTGGACAGTTTGATTTCACAGAAGTGTGATTGACTTGGAGTTACATTGTGTTGTTTAAGTGTTCCCTTTATTTTTTTGAGCAGTGTATTTAGAATTAATTTTATAAAGCCCTTTTTACAACAGCAGTTGTCACAAAGTGTTAGGCAACTGAAAATGAGGTGATTCTGAGGAAATAAGTTCTGTAATATTAGATATAGTGGTGTAACTACAGTTGACCCCCAGTGTAGGCCTCTGCCAACTGACCATGGGAGTCCACCCTCTCTAGTGTTGGTGAACACATAATAAGGAGAGGGAGTACAAACCATCGACGCTAGACAGAGAGGAATTTGCTTAATGCAAAAAGGCAGTTTATTAAAACAGAGAGATCTTGTCCTGCTCAAGCTACATGCATGGACCCCAATCAATTGCCTCTTATGGAGACAGTTGAGAAGGATGTTTAAACAGAGTTTACAGCATTACTTTATACAATGTAACATAAAGGAAGGGGTCCTTCTTCTAGTCCCTTGATTGGTTCCCGAGGCGTAGGAGGCGGGTCTGCTCTGTCCAGAGCAGATGCCCCATTGGTGCACGGCAGAGTCCTCTGCCCTTGGCACCCGACCAGTAGACAGGGGAGTTGAGTATGAGTGTGCGTGCAAATGAAATATTGGTGTGTGTCAAGAGAAAGTGGTGGGGAGTAACTGGTGGTTTATGGCCGGAGAGGGGGTGTTGTCCTGTTATCGCATTCCTGCAAGACTAGGTCATCTGGTGAGAAGATAAGGTGTTCTCCTCTGTCCTTTGTTCTCTGACCTGGAACAGCATTTATTGAAAACAGGCTCCAAATGGGTCTTGCGCAACATTTTAGTCAGACCAATCTATAACAAATTATATTTACTACGACACTAGCGACATCTCTAAGGACCATGCCTGCTTGTAAAAATAACTGTTTATTATACCCCAACACCTAATGGGTTCTCTCTGTCTCCTGAATTACTCCCACAGCCTATCTAACTAGCCTCAGTCTACCTGACTAGCCTAACTTGCATCTCAATTAACGTTAGATCCAATGAGACTTAACACATAACAAAATCAAATCAAATCAAATCAAATTTTATTGGTCACATGCGCCGAATACAACAGGTGCAGACATTACAGTGAAATGCTTACTTACAGCCCTTAACCAACAGTGCATTTATTTTAAACAAAAAAGTAAGAATAAAACAACAACAAAAAAGTGTTGAGAAAAAAAAAGAGCAGAAGTAAAATAAAGTGACAGTAGGGAGGCTATATATACAGGGGGGTACCGTTGCATAGTCGATGTGCGGGGGCACCGGCTAGTTGAGGTAGTTGAGGTAATATGTACATGTGGGTAGAGTTAAAGTGACTATGCATAAATACTTAACAGAGTAGCAGCAGCGTAAAAAGGATGGGGTGGGGGGGCAGTGCAAATAGTCCGGGTAGCCATGATTAGCTGTTCAGGAGTCTTATGGCTTGGGGGTAGAAGCTGTTGAGAAGTCTTTTGGACCTAGACTTGGCACTCCGGTACCGCTTGCCGTGCGGTAGCAGAGAGAACAGTCTATGACTAGGGTGGCTGGAGTCTTTGACAATTTTGAGGGCCTTCCTCTGACACCGCCTGGTATAGAGGTCCTGGATGGCAGGGAGCTTTGCCCCAGTGATGTCCTGGGCCGTACGCACTACCCTCTGTAGTGCCTTGCGGTCAGAGGCCAAGCAGTTGCCATACCAGGCGGTGATGCAACCAGTCAGGATGCTCTCGATGGTGCAGCTGTAGAATTTTTTGAGGATCTGAGGACCCATGCCAAATCTTTTTAGTCTCCTGAGGGGGAATAGGCTTTGTCGTGCCCTCTTCACGACTGTCTTGGTGTGTTTGGACCATGATAGTTCGTTGGTGATGTGGACACCAAGGAACTTGAAGCTCTCAACCTGTTCCACTACAGCCCCGTTAACATAAGGGTATTGTGAGTGGCGCCAAGTAGACAAATCATCTAGATAGCTAGCTATGTATTGAGGTCTAAGTCTTGAAAGCTAATATGCCACATACAATGGCGCATTGATTGCAGTACATTAATTATCAGTACATTTAGTAGCCTATTGTTTGTCATAGACTCGTGGCTCAGATCAACTAGCCTAGCTCATCTAGCTAGTTAGCAATTAGCTACCTTGATTTTGCAAGTTTGGATTTTACGACAGTTTGGAATTTGGTAACTGGTTATGTTATTCCTAAACTGACTGATCTGAGTCTGACAGTGCGTATAGAGATATTTGAAAATCATTCGAGACACTTAGCTACTGGAGCTAGCATCTTAGTAAAAAAAAACGTGCATCTAAGATGATGCAAAAAAACGTTAACTTACCTTTATCTTATCTTACATTCTAAATTAAACTTCCTTCTGTTTCAGTATTCACCAGCTCTGCTATCACTGTCATGTACATGGCTGCACTTTCAAATGTGTGCCTACTTCTACCAACCCCTGTACATTTTCCCAATCCAAATAAAATCCCTCTAATGAAAATCTGATTCCACTCCCACGTCCTACCTCAGGCACAGCCATGCTCCCAGTGGTGGCGTTCCCGTTCGAGGACTTCTACATCGACACACACAACATGATCCACCAGCTGGAGCACCGGGAGCAGCACATCCTGTTCTACACTGGCCTGCTGGCAGCTGCCCTGGGCATCGGCGGCATCCGTGCCATCCTCTGTCCCATGGGGGCATACAAACTACAGGGCTACGACCAGCACCAGCTACTCTCCTTCTTCAACTGGTGGGTTGCTGCGTTATAGAGGGGTGTGTATGTGCTATACATGGTAGAGGTGATGCCTTGAAACAGTAACTAAACTAGTAACTTGACCATTCAGAGAGGGGGGATACACATTTAACCTGTTGTATTGGACAGACTTGAAAAAGTCTGCAAAAACAGGGAGTCAAAGTCATACTGATCTTACTTTGATTTTATTCATCTGACATTGATCAAAAACACATATGAAGCCATAAGTACTTGCCCATCTACTAATATAGACAGAAATTGAGTGGTCAATATCTGGAATAAAACATCTAAATAAAATAACATTTTATCTGTCATATGTGCCATGAAATGCTTACTTACGAGCCCTTAATCAAAAAAATTGCCACTCCTTTTTAACAGTGCTTTTTACAAAGGCAGAGCATGTTTAACTAAAATAAAATAAATAAAACCCCAATAGAGCAAGCCTAGGGTTAGTGTACCAGAACCATAACATGTTAGGAGGGGTTTGAGTGTTGTTAGATCATGGTCATGCTGGCAGGTGGCATATCTTTAGAGATGATCCTAAATCAACTCCAAACCCAGGGTAGAGGGGCTCAGTGAATATAGTCTGAACTCTGTGGAGGAGGGTCATTGTGTCAGAGACGCTGTAGAAGGACAGAGTACCTGCCTTGTGGTCCAGGTACACTCCTACTCTGGAGGAGCGGGGGACAGGGATTTTGGTTTTGTTGTTATTATTGTGCCAGAATGAACAACTGGAGGGAGAGCAGACCAAACTCCAGGATTGATCATTGTGTCCAAAGCAACAGTCATTGCCCCAGCCTTTCCTGCTGATCCCTCTGTATGAGACCGCCACATCAACGATGCCCCCGCTCCACTCTACCTCCCAGTAGCAGGTTTCAGCCAGACCCACTTTGCACAGAGCCTGGTGATAGTAAGTAAACCTTTCTGGATGGTCTGAATAGGCCTGGGCCTTGTCACTCCATGCTATATCCTTGTTTCTGTTGGACAGAGAGAGGGTTGCACATGCTGTGTTGGGATCCACTTCCATGCTTCGATAGTCTGCAAAAGAGGTCGTACAAGATACTAGGTCAGTGCTGTGTGTGTGTGTGTGTGTGTGTGTGTGTGTATGTGTGTGTGTGTGTGAGAGAGAGATGGGAGGAGGCAAAGAGAGAAAGAGAGAGAAAGGGCGAGGTTGAGAGAGAGAGAGGCGGGAGTGAAAAAAGTAAGCCGTGCTCAGCATCATTATTAATATATTATTATATATATAATATTGTGGCATCGAGAAACAAGGAGGTGCTTGGAGAAGAAGAAGAACAGAGGCTTCGGAGAGAGAGGTTGAGCTGGAGGAAGCAGAAGTGTTGTTTAAAGCTGAAAGCACGTCGAGTACCCCGAGTACATCGAGACACTTTTGAAGTCACGAGGATGGTGAAGAAGACGCTGGGAAAAGTGGATGCCGTCAAAGTAACAAGGAGTGGTATGGTGTTGATATGGTTTGTATCTAAAGAGCAAAAGGAGTGTGCATTGTGGCTCGCGGAATTATCGACACATGAAGTGGACAGCTGGGCATTGGGCCAGTAAGTGAAAGGTCGCTGGTTCGAATCCCCGAGCCAACTAGGTGAAACATATGTCAATGTGCCCTTGAGCAAGGCACTTAACCCTAATTGCTCCTGTAAGTCGCTCTGGATAAGAACGTCGGCTAAATTATGAAACATTTAATTAAAAAGAGGCCACAGTGCTGAAGAAGATATGGCGGTGGATGCACCGCAACCAGTTGCAAATGTTATACGTCAATCAAGTGATCTGGATAGACTTATTTGGAAGAAGGTGGATTTTGTAGCATTTATAGCCACAGTTATTAATTGTACTGCACAAGTGTCCAAGAAGCTGGACATCATTATATCTGCAGGCAAGACGTTTTTTGGGGCCTCCAAGACTTCACGGCAGAAGCACTGCAAGGACTACTGTCGCCAGGAAAGGTCCTTCTGAGCCTGTGTAGGGACCTGATTAGAATGTTGTTAGAAAAGCAGGCTGATTTAGTTTAATTTAAATGTTGTTAGTGATAGTTTGTGTATATACACAGTACATTCAGACTCGTTCCCTTTTTCCATATTTTATTCTAAAATTGATTTTAAAAAAAAATAATCTCATCAATCTACACACAATACCCCATAATGACAAAGTGAAAACAGGTTTTTAGAAATGTTTGCAAATGTATTAAAAATAAAAAATAAATACCTTAAGTATTCAGACCCTTTGCTATGAGACGCGAAATTGAGCACAGGTGCATCCTGTTTCCATTGATCATCCTTGAGATGTTTCTACAACTTGATTGGAGTCCAACTGTGGTAAATTCAATTGACTGGACATGATTTGGAAAGGCACACACCTAACTTATAAGGTCCCACAGTTGACAGTGCATGTCAGAGCAAAATCCAAGCCATGAGGCCAAAGAATTGTCTGTAGAGCTCCGAGACAGGATTGTGTCTAGGCACAAATCTGCGGAAGGGTACCAAAAAATGTCTGCAGCATTGAAGGTCCCCAAGAACACAGTGGCCTCCATCATTCTTAAATGGAAGAAGTTTGGAACCACCAAGACTCTTCCTAGAGCTTTCCGCCCGGCCAAACTGAGCAATTGGGGGAGAAGGGCCTTGGTCAGGGAGGTGACCAAGAACCCAATGGTCATTCTGACAGAGCTACAGAGTTCCTCTGTGGAGATGGGAGAACCTTCCAGAAAGACAACCATCTCTGCAGCACTCCACCAATCAGGTCTTTATGGTAGAGTGGCCAGACGGAAGCCACTCCTCAGTAAAAGGCACATGACAGCCCGCTTGGAGTTTGCCAAAAGGCACCTAAAGGACTCTCAGACCATGAGAAACAAGATTCTCTGGTCTGATGAAACCAAGATTGAACTCTTTGGCCTCAATGCCAAGCGTCACGTCTGGAGGAAACCTGGCACCATCCCTACGGTGAAGCATGGTGGTGGCAGCATCATGCTGTGAGGATGTTTTTCAGCGGCAGGGACTGGGAGACTAGTCAGGATCGAAGGAAAGATGAATGGAGCAGAGTACAGAGAGATCCTTGATGAAAACCTGCTCCAGAGTGCTCAGGACATCAGACTGGGGCGAAGGTTCACCTTCCAACAGGACAATGACCCCAAGCACACAGCCAAGACAAAGTAGGAGTGGCTTCGGGACAAGCCTCTGAATGTCCTTGAGTGGTCCAGCCGGAGCCCGGACTTAAACCCGATCAAACATCTCTGGAGAGACCTGACAATATTTATGCCACGACGCTCCACATCCAACCCGACAGATCTTGAGAGGATCTGCAGAGAAGAATGGGAGAAACTCCCCAAATACAGGTGTGCCAAGCTTGTAGCGTCATACCCAAGAAGACTTACGGCTGTAATTGCTGCCAAAGGTGCTTCAACAAAGTACTGAGTAAATGGTCTGAATACTTATGAAAATGTCATATTTCCGTTTTTTTGCAAAAATTGATAAAAAACTGTTTTTGATTTGTCATTATGGGGTATTGTGTGTAGATTGATGAGGGAAATAATTTAATCAATTTTAGAATAAGGCTGTAACGTAACAAAATGTGGAAAAAGTCAAGGGGTCTGAATACTTTCTGAATGCACTGTGTATATATATAATATTTGGTACAGAAACCTTTGTTTGCAATTACAGAGATCATACGTTTCCTGTAGGTCTTGACCAGGTTTGCACACACTACAGCAGGGATTTTGGCCCACTCCTCCATACAGACCTTCTCCAGATCCTTCAGGTTTCGGGGCTGTCGCTGGGCAATACGGACTTTCAGCTCCCTCCAAAGATTTTCTATTGGGTTCAGGTCTGGAGACTGGCTAGGCCACTCCAGGACCTTGAGATGCTTCTTACGGAGCCACTCCTTAGTTGCCCTGGCTGTGTGTTTCGGGTCGTTGTCATGCTGGAAGACCCAGCCATGACCCATCTTCAATGCTCTTACTGAGGGAAGGAGGTTGTTGGCCAAGATCTCATGATACATGGCCCCATCCATCCTCCCCTCAATACGGTGCAGTCGTCCTGTCCCCTTTGCAGAAAAGCATCCCCAAAGAATGATGTTTCCACCTCCATGCTTCACGGTTGGGATGGTGTTCTTGGGGTTGTACTCATCCTTCTTCTTCCTCCTCCAAACACGGCGAGTGGAGTTTAGACCAACAAGCTCTATTTTTGTCTCATCAGACCACATGACCTTCTCCCATTCCTCCTCTGGATCATCCAAATGGTCATTTGCAAACTTCAGACCGGCCTGGACATGCGCTGGCTTGAGCAGGGGGACCTTCCGTGCGCTGCAGGATTTTAATCCATGACGGCGTAGTGTGTTACTAATGGTTTTCTTTGAGACTGTGGTCCCAGCTCTCTTCAGGTCATTGACCAGGTCCTGCCATGTAGTTCTGGGCTGATCCCTCACCTTCCTCATGATCATTGATGCCCCAAGAGGTGAGATCTTGCATGGAGCCCCAGACCGAGGGTGATTGACCGTCATCTTGAACTTCTTCCATTTTCTAATAATTGGGCCAACAGTTGTTGCCTTCTCACCAAGCTGCTTGCCTATTGTCCTGTAGCCCATCCCAGCCTTGTGCAGGTCTACAATTTTATCCCTGATGTCCTTACACAGCTCTCTGGTCTTGGCCATTGTGGAGAGGTTGGAGTCTGTTTGGTTGAGTGTGTGGACAGGTGTCTTTTATACAGGTAACGAGTTCAAACAGGTGCAGTTAATACAGGTAATGAGTGGAGAACAGGAGGGCTTCTTAAAGAAAAACTAACAGGTCTGTGAGAGCCGGAATTCTTACTGGTTGGTAGGTGATCAAATACTTATGTCATGCAATAAAATGGAAAATAATTACTTTAAAATCATACAATGTGATTTTCTGGATTTTTGTTTTAGATTCCGTCTCTCATAGTTGAAGTGTACCTATGATAAAAATTACAGACCTCCACATGCTTTGTAATTAGGAAAACCTGCAAAATCAGCAGTGTATCAAATACTTGTTCTCCCCACTGTATATATATAGAGAGAGAGATTTTATTTATTTCATTTTTATTATAATTTAAAAAATATATATATATATTTATTTTTTGTATTATTATTATTTTACAACGCATTATTTCATCTTTATTATCCACAGTAGGTGACGGAATGCACAGATAATTGTTGTGAACGCCATTATACCAAAGAAGAAGAAGCGAGCCAGAGGCAGGGAGATAGGACAGGACATAAAAAGGGATGCTGAGAGTCCATGTGTGTTTGTGCAATTATTACAAAATAATTATTACTCACCATTCAAAAATGTACTTCTTGTACTGTCCACTTGCATAGATGGTGAATATGGTTTTGTCACTATGAAGACAGATGGAGCGTTACTGTCACAGAACTTTTACCATAGAATTATGAAACTCTTATTACTGTAACCAGAAACGTACCAAGAGAAAGTTAAACCATTATGTATTACTTCTCACTGCAATTCAACCACCTTAATAATGATTTTATGATTGTCACCTGACATACTATATGTATAAATTATACTGAACAAAAATATAAACACAACATGCAACAATTTAAAATATTTTACTGAGTTACGGTTATTTGAGGAAATCAGTCAATTGAAATACATTTATTAGGCCCTAATCTATGGATTTCACATGACTGGGAATCCAGATATAATGCCTCACAATGGGCTTCAGGATCTCATCACGGTATTTTTGTACATTCAAATTGCCGTCGATAAAATGCAATTGTGTTTGTTGACCGTATCTTATGCCTGCGCATACCATAATCCCCACCGCCACCATGGGGCACTCTGTTTACAATGATGACATCAGCAAACCGCTTGCCCACACAACGCCATACACGTAGTTTGCGGTTGTGAGGCTAGTTGGATGTACTGGCAAATTCTCTAAAACAACGTTGGAGGTGGCTTATTGTAGAGAAATTAACATTCAATTCTCTGGCAACAGCTCTGGTGGACATTCCTGACATCAGCATGCCAATTGCATGCTCCCTCAAAACTTGAGACATCTGTGGCATTGTGTTGTGTGACAAAACTGCGCATTTTAGGTTGGCCTTTTATTGTCCCCAGCACAAGGTGCACCTGTGTAATGATCAGGCTGTTTAATCAGCTTCTTGATATGCCACACCTGTCAGGTGGATGGATTATCTTGGCAAAGGAGAAATGCTCACTAACAGCGATGAAAACACATTTTTAAAGAACATTTGAGAGAAAAACCTTTTTGTGTGTATGGAACATTTCTGGGATCTTTTATATCAGTTAATGAAACATGGGACCAACACTTTACATGTTGCGTTTATATTTTTGTTCAGTGTAGATAAGATTCTACTCGCCATACACATATTTCTTTCGAGACAATTCCACATCTTGTCGGTTTCCTCCTTGCATATATTTTTCATTCTCTCTTTCTGTTCAGAGACAAATTTCTTCACTGCTTCAAAACTGCTAGGAAAGGCCTTTGGTCCAGGAGGGTCACAGAGAGAATCGAAACTCTGAAAATAAATTGACAATGAATTGAGTCAAAGACTTCTGGAGCTCAAACACACTTCACTGACAACATTGTCTAAGGCAGAGAGTAACGTCACCTGGAGGAAATGGATGTGATCCTCTATGTGTGAGAGCTGCTCCAGCTCAGAATCTCTCCTCTTCAACTCAGTGACCTCCTGCTCTAGTTGCTCCAGGAGTCCTTCAGCCTGACTCACTCCAGCCTTCTCCAGGGCTCTGACCAGCTCCTTCACCTCAGAACGCCTTCGCTCATTGGAGCGGATATATGAAAGGATGTGCGTGGTACACATTCTCTCAAAGTCATCCACTGCTACCCATGAAGACTCCTGTTAGGACACAAAAACACAGCTCTCACCAGGACTGTAAACCCCCTGTTCCTCTTGGCTCCCCAAACCCAGAGCCCCAGCACCATTGACACCCCCATCATTTGAACCTTGATTTAAACTCACCTTCATGGCATCTACAGCATGTCTCAGCTCCTGCAGCTCCTTCTCTCTCATCTGGGCTCTCTGCTTCCCTTCCCCCTGTGTTTCTCCCAACTGTTGCTGCTCACAAATACATCACATAGCATACTTTACTAGTAGAAACTCTGCCATACCAAACACATCACATAGCATACTTTACTAGTAGAAACTCTGCCATACCAAACACATCACATCACATACTTTACTAGTAGAAACTCTGCCATACCAAACACATAACATACTTTAATAGTAGAAACTCTACCATACCAAACACATCACATAGCATACTTTACTAGTAGAAACTCTGCCATACCAAACACATCACATAGCATACTTTACTAGTAGAAACTCTGCCATACCAAACACATCACATAGCATACTTTACTAGTAGAAACTCTGCCATACCAAACACATCACATAGCATACTTTACTAGTAGAAACTCTGCCATACCAAACACATCACATAGCATACTTTACTAGTAGAAACTCTGCCATACCAAACACATCACATCACATACTTTACTAGTAGAAACTCTGCCATACCAAACACATAACATACTTTAATAGTAGAAACTCTACCATACCAAACACATAGCATATTTTACTAGTAGAAACTCTGCCATACCAAACACATCACATCACATACTTTACTAGTAGAAACTCTGCCATACCAAACACATAACATACTTTAATAGTAGAAACTCTACCATACCAAACACATAACATACTTTAATAGTAGAAACTCTACCATACCAAACACATAACATACTTTAATAGTAGAAACTCTACCATACCAAACACATAACATACTTTACTAGGAGAAACTCTGCCATACCAAACACATAACATACTTTACTAGGAGAAACTCTGCCATACCAAACACATCACATAACATACTTTACTAATAAAAACTCTGCCATACCAAAAGGAAAGGTCTTTGAGAGTTCAACATACTTATCTTACTGATAAAAGTTGCATACATTATGGGGTAGTTTCTCAGACACAGATCAAGCCTAATCCTGGACTAAAAAGCATTTTCAATTGAGATTATCTATTAAAGTTGCACTATGCAGAAATCGCTCCGCCATTTCCTGGTTCATAAAATTCTAATAGTTCGCCTAATTTCAGTTTATGTGACAAAATAAGCAAGTATAGTGTAGAGAATCATTGTACAATCTAAACCGCTGTGAAATATATTTTCCATAACCAAAAATATTGTTGTTTCAGTTGTTTTAAACTGGTGTACAAAACCGAAAGTAAAAGACCCCAAAACAAAATTTAAGCGCAGGAAGCATAGAAATAGCGCACATTGAACATATCTACCGCTTCTTAGACTTGCTTTCAAGTAGAATGACAGATCTATAACTCACATTTCTATGTTAATTTGGTGAGGTCGACGAAAAAGTTACATAATGCCACTTTAATCTTGCATTTTAGTCCAGGACTAGGTTGCATTGGTGTCTGGGAAACCCGCCCTTTATGTTTTAGTGTGCTGGCTTATGTTGAACTTGCTACTCTCTAATGGTGGATATTACATTGAAGGCATGCTAATAGATTCTAGTTTTTGTTGGATCGGTTGACATTAATGTTGTGTGGTTTGATCCGTCCGATAACAATGCAATTCTTTATGTAAACAAGTATACTGTATATCATGGGAGAGTACTATTCAGCATCTTACCTGTTTCTCAGTCCTCTCTGCTGCAGCTGACACTGTATCATGGCCTTTATGTTCATCCATTGTACACTGATAACAGATACACTGCTGATCGGTACGACAGTAAACCTCCAGCAGTTTGTCATGGTTTGGGCAAATCTTCTCCTGTAGATCTGTCAATGCGTTGACAAGCTTATGCTTCTTTAGTGGGGGCACATGGTAGTGAGGCTGGAGATGAGTCTCACAGTAAGAGGCCAGACACACCAGACAGGACTTGACAGCTTTGAGTTTTTTCCTTTCGCAGACGTCACACTCCACATCTTCAGGTTCAGCATAACAGTGTGCAGGAGGGGTACCTTGGAAATCTGCTGTTTTCAAATTCTCCACCACTTCAGCCAGCACGGTGTTTCTCTTCAAAGTAGGCCTTGGACAGAAGGTCTGTCTGCACTGTGGACAGCTGTAGACACCTTTCAGATTATCCTGATCCCAGCTTTCTTTAATACAGCCCATACAGTAGCTGTGTCCACAGGCAGTAGTCACCGGATCCTTCATCAGATCCAGACAGATGGAGCAACAGAACAGTTCTAGATTGTCAGCCATTTTAGTGCTTTCACCCAATGGTTGAGCAACAGAATAACAAAGATTACTTTCAGTTTCATGGAACTCTACACCAGAGGACAGGGAGTGGCTTCCTACTTGACTGTGAACTCTGTATGTAGAGGGGGTATGGTTTCTTTGATAAGGAAGTGTAACAGAGTGTTGCGTAGTAGGCAGAGATGGTTAGTAGTTCTGTTACATATATTTGAAATACGTATTTGAATTACTTCTGAGTATAGGTCATTTGAATTATGCTGGGCTGAACTACACTACTGTAATTTGTATTTTCAAAATAGTAAATACTTTTCTATGCCATTTTGTTTTATAGCGGTTCAGAATAGTCTGGTGGTGTGATAAGAGCGTCTGCTAAATGAAGTAAATATACATGTATATGTAAAAATGTTGATAAATACTTTGTTGAAGGAAAATGTACTTGATACAATTGTGATATGTTGTTGTCTCACCCAGCTATCTTAAGATGAGTACTAATGCATCAATTGAAAGTCGCTCTGGATGAGAGCATTTGTTAAATGACTAAAATGTAAATGTACATTTTATAACTACAGAGCACGCTGAGGATTATTCTAATGAGCTCCGCCCCGAATAATAATACCCAGTGTGCTTTGCAGTTAATTTGGTATGTTCATTTTCACATTTGCACTTGCATTTTAGTCATTTAGCTTATCCAGAGTAACTTGCTCACAGAAAGAAAAAAGGTTTTGGAACCGTTACTGAAAATGTTGTTGCTGTTCGGGCTGGATACTTGCAAATGTATTTTTGTATTTTTAATTAAATACATTACAAAATACAAGTATTATTTTTGATACATTGATTTTTATGGTATTTTGTATCTGTATTTTGTAATTTTATTTTTAAAATGTTTGCCCATCCCTGGTAGTAGAATACTCTGTATGCAGGGTGTTTTCAGGGCATGACCACTGGAGGCAAAGGACCAGTTGAAAATAAGTTTTATTAAAACTAAATGTTTCACAAATCACTTTCAAAAGGCAAAATAAAATAACTAGCTCTCTTCAACGCATAATCACTTTAAAGGGATACTTCGGGACTTCCAGTTTTGGCGCTAACGCTAGTTAGCAATTGTGCTAATGCTAGTTAGCAACTTCCTTCAAACTGGTATCCACGAGTTCATCTGGCTCTGGGGAAGTAAATATAGGGCTTCATTGCCAAAATCCTGAAGTATCCCTTTAAGTCAAAACTATAACTGAAATGTCTTTGGCCACCATACCAATCAAAACTACATCAAAAGAGTTCATCAAGAGGTCCATAGTGTTTGAGATAGTGGCTGGGTTGGTGACAACCAGCCGCATGGTGGCTCACCAAACAGGCATAGAGAGCTGACTGCAGCAAGGTGTACTGCTTAACTAGGATGTGGCCCTAGTTGTAGAGTGGCTTTAAAGCCAAGTTATGCTTGATCCGAAAATGTGGTTGGAGGCGCCGTATGGATGGTGTGTTGGATGGTGTGTTGATAAATAGTCTCTCAGTGACTAGCTGATTTGGTTATGGGTACCAAGATTAATGTGGAGAGCACAGGGCCTGCATTTAATTCCAAAAAGTTTCCCCTCATCCCTGGTTGTTATATTGTCCTCTCAGGTTCTACTGGCTGGTGAACCTGAACTCGACGGTAGTGTTTCTGGGTATCGCCTACATCCAGCAGTCAGTGGCCAACAACCTGGGATTCCTCATCCCCTTCATGTCTGTGCTGCTGATGCTCATAACCATACACATGGTCCGCAACAACCTCATCTTCAGGCCCAAGAAAGGTAACACAACCTCAATCTCACCTGCAGGCCCAAGAAAGGTAACACAACCTCAACCTCACACACAGACTATCTCACCTTTGTGTTACAGTGTATGTACCTATGTTTCTGTGGTCAATTCTAGTATTGATGTGGTTGCTGTGGTCAATTCTAGTATTGATGTGGTTGTTGTGGTCTGTTCTAGTATTGATGTGGTTGTTGTGGTCTGTTATAGTATTGATGTGGTTGTTGTGGTCTATTCTAGTATTGATGTGGTTGTTGTGATCTGTTCTAATATTGATGTGGTTGTTGTGGTCTATTCTAGTATTGATGTGGTTGTTGTGGTCTGTTCTAGTATTGATGTGGTTGTTGTGCAGGCAGTTCCCTGTTGACCACTCTGGGGGTGTTCCTGAACTCTCTGAAGATGTGCTGCCTGCACTACCGCCACCTGAGTGGGGGCGTGGCCAGCTGGCTGGACCGCGCCAAGGAGAACAACGGGGGGTGCTACAGTGAGACACACGTGGAGAACGTCAAGGTCCTGGCCAGGCTCTTCCCCCTGTATGGCTTGCAGATACTGTACCGGGCCTGTATCACTCAGGCAGGTCATTATAATGGAGAATATCAGGGCTCTACATTGACATGCTTCAAAAGGAGATTTTTAGAGCATTTTCAGGTCATTGGCAAGTGCAAATACATCATTTTTCAGATGTTGGGGGTAAAACTGGCAAATCTATAATGTTTATTTATGCTCCAAAAAGTTGTCCTAGAATCTGTTGTTACCCTGACCTCTCCCACAGATTCCAGCAGGTTACTACATTCAGACCATGAACTCTAACCTGCACCTGAACAGCTTCCTCCTGCCCATCGGTGCCATGAACGTCATCAGCATCCTACCTCTGCTGCTGCTGGCCCCTCTCATGGAGTGTGTCACCTCCTGCTACCTGTCCATGGAGAAAACACCCTTCTCCCCCGCCAGAGTCATCAGTAAGCACACACACACACACACAGCACACACAGAGATACATACAGGCACACACACACACACAAGCATGCACACACATGCACAAATACCATCCTCATTAACGAGTCAGTCAATGTTAATGTCTCTCTCTCTCCCTCTCTCTCTGTCTGTTTCTCTCCCTCTCCCCTCCTCTCCTCTCTCAGCGCTGGGTCATGCGTGTGCGGCCCTGTCTGTCCTGGTAGCGGGCCTGTCTGAGGTCCACAGGAAGGGCTATCCTCTGACGGAGCAGGCCCTGTCAGGGAAGGTGCTCCAGGTGTCCTCCATGGCCTGCTTCCAGCTGGCTCCCCAGTACATCCTACTGGGGCTGGCTGAGGCCCTCGTCACCCCTGCCTGTGAGTGACAGAGAGCCAGCACGTATTTCTGACACACCTATTGCTGCTACACTGTTCGTACACAGAGACAAACTGGGTTGGAGATTTACAATGTCAATGGACACCATATGTAGTTGGGATGAAGTTAGAATGTGGAGTGTTGGAACCAACTGCCAACATGGAGGATAGTATTCTGAACTCTGGAAGCTAGGGTTAGGATGCCCCCTACTGGTGTATTAGAGACAGACAAGAGACGTTTGAACCAAATGAATGCTTCTTTCTCTTCCCAGTCTTCCTCTCTTCTCTGTTCCAGGCTCTATGATCTCCTTCCACCTGACACCCAGTCATATCAGAGGCATCTCCCTGCACTTCCTCACCCTGTCCTACGGAGGGGGCTGTTTCCTGGGAGCCCTCATCATCCAGCTGGTCTACCTAATCTCTCGAGGTAAAGGCTTCACTAACAGATGCATCATCATAACCATAGAAACTGAAGAGGAACATACATTCATGTTGGAATGGTTGATGGGGTTCTGTCTGCATTATGGTGATTCAGTCCTATGGCCACTGATAGCACTGTTCTCCTGTCCAACTACAGGTAACTTCTACCCAAACACACTGCATGAAGGGAATCTGGAGCATTTCTTCTTCTTCTTAGCCATGTTGATGACCATAAACACTCTGGTGTTCTGGTGGATATCTTCCAGGTACAGTATGAGAACCTCTCATGTATCAATATAGTCACTGTAGATGAGACAGAGGACATGAGGAGGAGAGGAAGCCATTAGAGTTCTTTCAGTCTTGGACTTCAACATTTTCAGTCAAACAAATTGGAGAATTTCCTTGACCCCTTGATGTGATCTGAACAAAGTATCAATATAGTCTGTGCAGCTGAGAATGATGACAGTATTGAGAGGTGACAGTATTGAGGCAGGTGACAGTATTGAGACAGGTGACAGTATTGAGACAAGCGACAGTATTGAGACAGCCGAATGTATTGAGACAGGTGACAGTATTGAGAGATGACAGTATTGAGACAGGTTACAGTTTTGAGAGGTGACATATGGAAAAGCATTGACAGAGTGAAGGACGTGAGAATCAGTTATGAATGAAGGTGACAGTATATGACGAATGACAGTAAC